CTAAAATCTGAATAACTCCCCCTCAAAGCCTCATTCACTGAAGCTAGCCTTTAAGAACTAAGAAAGCTCGGTCTTGTTCGGATCTTGCATCGATGGTCCTGTGAACTGACATGTCTGTTTCAAATACTAGGGCTAGCTAAGGAATGAAGTTTCTGGGTTTAGGGGTTTCGGGCTTGTATTATGGAATGGTAAGGTCCTTCCTTTCCCGAAAGCTTCTTCGGAGAAAAAAAAAGTTCGCCCTACTACACTACACCACCATCACCACACTACAATCACCACACTACCATCACCGCACTCCAATCACCACTACCATCACCACACTCCAATCACCACTACCATCACCACACTGCCATTACAGTACCATCACATCACCTCCTCTATGAAATTCTCTCTTATTTCTTAAGCTGGGGTGGGTTTCGCCGCGGCAAGCGCGATGCACCCTCTGCGGGATCGTGCGTGTCGGAGCGCTCCCGCTGTGCGTTTTTGCGCCCTCTGCGGGGATCGTGCGTGTCGGAGGGCTCCCGCTGTGCGTTTTTGCGCACTTGGGCTTTGAACAGCAAAGATATTTAAGCGTGTTGCAGGCCCGTTTCAAGTTGCCATGCGCCCAATGAAGAAGAAGATTTTGGGGACGGGCGACGTCCCCTTGTGCGCGTGGGTTTGGAGTGGGTTTGACCGTGTTTTGAAGGGACTGAGAATAGTGGGTGGGTTTGGGGTGGGTTCAGGGTGGGTTTGGGGTGGGTTTGGCTGGGTTTGACCATGCTTTGAATGGACTGGGGTGCGTTTGACCGTGTTTTGAATGGACTCGGGGTGGGTGGACCTGTTTAGAAGGGGTGCGGGTGGGTGGGGTGGGTTTGACCGTGTTTTGAAGGTGGGATGGCTTTGGGGTGGTTTTGACCATGCTTTGACGGGGCTGGGATGGGTTTGACCATGTTTTGAAGGCGCTGAGGGTAGCTTTCGGGGTGGGCTTGGGCGGGTTGACCATGCTATGAAGGGGCTGGGTTGGGTGTGACCTCTTTTGAAAGGGTTGGGGTGAGGGGGGGCTGACTGTGTTTTGAAGAGGCTGGGAAGGGGGCTTGATTTCCAGCAAGTGCTAGGAGACCGAGTTCCTGCCTCGGCTTAGAACATAGGGAAGGTCACTTTCCTGCTACGTGGTGGAGGCCCTCCACCCCCGTAGAGTCTCAGCAAAACGGACCAAGGCGAGCTGCCCGCGAACGGCGGAGTCGTTGTGTTCCCGAATTCGAAATCTTTGGTAAATTGCAATTTGCGAGGACTCCGCCGACTCCGGCGAGGCTTGTCACGCCGACTCCGCCAGAGCTACAGTAGTAGGTGCCCCTCTAATCTTGATTAGCGACGCCCCGTAAGTGGCCAGGGGTAGAGTTGCGGGAAGAGCACGTGACTATTGGCTGGAAGTGTATCAGATAGTAGAAGCAGAAGGCCGTGTGCGCGTGAGGCTTGCAGCTGTGATTCTGTGACCTCCAAATCTGGGGTCGGAAAATCTAGGCAATTCTGGCTTCGGGTGTGTGGGCCTCCCCTGTGCAAGTTTCTCTCATGTTGATCACTTCCACAAGAAAGCTGCCTGCGGAGGTCGTGGTTCTCACCCAACCCAGCCCCTTCATAGCATGGTCAAACCCGCCCAAGCCCACCCCAAGCCCACCCGAAAGCTACCCTCAGCGCCTTCAAAACATGGTTAAACCCATCCCAGCCCCGTCAAAGCATGGTCAAAACCACCCCAAAGCCATCCCACCTTCAAAACACGGTCAAACCCACCCCACCCACCCGCACCCCTTCTAAACAGGTCCAACCCACCCCGAGTCCATTCAAAACACGGTCAAACGCACCCCAGTCCATTCAAAGCATGGTCAAACCCAGCCAAACCCACCCCAAACCCACGCTGAACCCACCCCAAACCCACCCGCTATTCTCAGTCCCTTCAAAACACGGTCAAACCCACTCCAAACCCACGCGCACAACCCTGTCGCTGGGGACGTCGCCCGTCCCCAAAATCTTCTTCTTCATTGGGCGCATGGCAACTTAAAACGGGCCTGCAACACGCTCAAATATCTTTGCTGTTCAAAGCCCAAGCCTGCCAAAAAAACTTACTCTGCGCAACCGCAGAAAACGTTGACGCCACGTTGGTCAACTCCAGAGCTTGAAGCGTGACTCCTATCCACAGAAAACACCAACAAAGACCTGCAGCTCAACTGGCGGGCCAGCAGCATTGCCAGGACGAAGCCCAAGTTATGGGGAAGTCGGGCGGCCCCGCTTTCAGGGCCGCAAAACACAAGCAATTCTGGCTTCGCCAGGACAGGCCTCCACAGTTGCAGTTCTGCCTCACTGCAGCATTGCAAAGACGAGCGTGCAGCTGATTCGGACAAGCTCCCGCACGCTCAGGGCGACGCTGCCCAAAGTTACTAGAAAAAGAGCAGGCGCGATCGGGTTGCTTGCACCCACAAGCTCAAATTCAAGGGCCAAAAAATAGGCCGTCTTGCGGCCCCAAAAATGGGGCCGCGAAATGGACCCAGCTCCCGCAGCATAATTTGGAACTAGATTGGGGGGGGTGAAACTGCGACCTCAAAATTGGGGCCGTTTGGCGGCCCCAGTTTTGGGGCCGCGAATTCTTCTGTTTTTGGCGCTTTCCAGACTGCTACACTCAGGCGACTCTGGCCCACAGACAAAAGCACTCAACGTGGAAAGAGCAATTACTGTGACCTCTTTTGAAAGGGTTGGGGTGAGGGGGGGCTGACTGTGTTTTGAAGAGGCTGGGAAGGGGGCTTGATTTCCACTGCAAGTGCTAGGAGACCGAGTTCCTGCCACGGCTTAACCTGCTTGAGAACATCGGGAGGTCACTTTCCTGCTGCGTGGTGGAGGCCCTCCACCCCCGTAGAGTCTTAGCAAAACGGACCAAGGCGAGCTGCCCGCGAACGGCGGAGTCGTTGTGTTCCCGAATTAGAAATCTAGGACTCCACGGCACTCTATTGGTAAATTGCAATTTGCGAGGACTCCGCCGACTCCGCCGAGGCTTGTCACGCCGACTCCGCCAGAGCTACAGAGTAGGTGCCCCTCTAATCTTGATTAGCGACGCCCCGCAAGTGGGCAGGGGTAGAGTTGCGGGAAGAGCACGTGACTATTGGCTGGAAGTGTATCAGATAGTAGAAGCAGAAGGCCGTGTGCGCGTGAGGCTTGCAGCTGTGATTCTGTGACCTCCAAATCTGGGGTCGGAAAATCTTCGAGTTTAGGGTTGCGGGAGCTGGTTTGGCTGGTTGGCGGAATTCACCGCCCGATCCAAGGGCTTGGGGTCTTGTTCTGTCAGCCTCCGTGCGCTCGAACTTGACTACATCCGCACAGTGTCATCACAACCGGCCAATGCCAAGCTTCCCTCAATTTCTGGGTATGTAGCGTCTTCTGCATCACACAAATGGGGTGTAGGTTTTTTTGGTAAAGTCGGCTAATCATCACGTAGTATTTTCAGTCCATGAACGAACTGTTCCTGTGGGAGTAGGCTCTTCGGAACCGTAGGTTCCTGCCAAGTTGAACACTGCTCCTTCAACAACACCTCATATGGCATATGGGTAGTTCCCTAGGAATTACCTATCTGTGGTTTGGGTAAGTAGCCCCCCCCATGCAGGTACTTAGGACCCTTTGGGCTACCTTCATCAGTTCATGTTTAGAGGCTTTTGCTCCAGGTCGACTTCGATGCTGAATAAGGTTAATAAAGTATTTGGATTCATTATAGGCAGATTACTGACTTCAATCTAGGTTCCCTCAACAGAACCCCGATGAATTCTGTGCGCATAAATCCCGTCATCAACATCCCACAGATAAAGCCCCAGGCCACGATTCCCAAAAGGCGTATTGACATTTGCCCGTTGTTTCCTGCAAAATTCCCATAAGAAGATTGAGGCCACTTTCTCTTTCCCGAATGACTCGAAATGCGCTTAACGCCAATGGGTGTAGGAGTCGAAGGGGTTGTGTTTAGGATCTTGTTCCATGGTCGTAGAAATTGAAGGGTTTACCCTCTGGATTGTCCGAGCGATCGCCGAAACCCTGAACCTTAAACCATAAAGGAGTCGCTCTTCCATAAGAGCCCTTCAACCCTAAACCATAAGCCCTACACCCTCGGAGTCTTGAGAGGGAGCCACTCTCAGGAGTTTATCCACACCACTCGCAAAAATTGCACGAGGCGCCCTCGATCACAGCTTCTTCTTGGTAGAGGAGTTAGGGTTCGTCGGTCTCGCAGCAGAAACCCAAGACCATACACCTGTACCCTACAGGCCATAGAGTACCCTAAAGGCCCTAAACCAGAACGGTTTAGGCCTTCAGGGCGTAGCAGAAGCAACTATAACAATGCTGATAATGAAGCACGTAACAGGAGAGCAGTACAAACCGAAGAATCCTCATAGCAACAACTCTAACTATACCAAGAGCAAGAACAGAACAATAACACGAGCAAGAGCAAAAAATGGAACAGTAACAGAAGCAGGAACACGACCAAGACCAAGACCAAGACGAACAACAACAACAGTCTCAATGCCAGTAGGAAAGACAGAACGACAGCAATTACACGAAAACTAGCAATACACGTTAATGCTGACGCAATAGCCATCATCATATAATGGTACTGATAAGACAATAGAATAGTACTAATGCGGCTCATAATGTTTATAGAGTTATAGGATGGTAACCGTATTCACACGAATGGCAATAATTGTTGTAGCCACACATCAAGAACAATAACAATAGCAGCAGCAATAGCGATGGCAATGGCGCTGGCAATAGCATGGCAATGACTATGACAATGCCCATATCACGAACAATTATCTGAACGCGATCTGGAGCCGGAACAATAGCAGCAATATGATAATAGTGGTGGTAGTAGTAGTCATCGTCGTCGTCGTCGTGGTGGTGGTGGTGGTGGTCGTCGTCGTCGTCGTCGTCGTCGTCGTCGTCGTCGTCGTCGTAATGTTTAAGAACACCCCAAGTACTGAGTAGCAAGTTCACGCATGGCACTTTCTCCTGACCTCTTGGCTCAATGCCGCAGCAGCTGCGAAGAACTCTTCGCTGAACGGTTTGCTGCATCGTTTCGTTCCCTTGAGCTGATGTTTTGGATCTTGGCTTTCCTTTGTGCAGCACATGCCTGCGCAGCACATGCCGCAAACACGACTTGTTCACCGGGCATGCAGCTGCTTCAGAAGGGGAATTCTGCCCGGAAATCGAAGCAGTTCGAATGGCTGCCACAAGGTGATTGTCCAGCTGGTTCGTTCCAGATCCCACCGGACTACCGACGCGAGACGTTTTGGCAGTGTTGCAGCGGTCGTTGCCCTGGTGGTGGTTGCTTCTCAGACTGCGGCTGCAAATGCACTTATGCCACGAACTGTGCAGAGCTTGGTGAGGATGGAGACCGAAGCTGCAGGGATGGAACGGGTTGCCATTGGACGGGGGAGGAGTGCGTGGATGCAGAAGCAAATGGCATCACAACCACGATCTTTACCCTTCCAGCAGGTCACATCATAGTGGATATTGGGCACAGCGGGCGCAACGAAAAGTGCGTGCAGGTGTCTGAGTCCGTCTCATGCGACTCTGATGCTGGCAACCTTGAGAAGCGGGCGAATGGGAACCCAGCCCCTGATACGTTTCTGATCTTCCTTAGGCCGGAGAAATCGGAAGTTTGCGCGCAAAGGACCGATAGCCCCAGGGGAATGGGTCTAAAGATTGTGTGTGCTGTGGCGGGAACTACCACTACTACTACAACGACAACGACGCTGTCCACCTCGATGAGATCTTCCCACCCCAGCTTCACCCCTGCTACTGAGCCAATGGACCAAGCTTGCCGTGGGCGAAACCATACCGACAACTCAGCTTCGTATTACGAGGTTATTGATGTCACTGGAGTTCAGGAATGCCGGCAGAAATGTTTGGACATGAATGGCCTTTGCAAGGGTATTGAGTACTCTGGCCTTTCTCGCTGTTGTGGACGCGGCCAGAGGGCATTGGTGCCATCAACGGAGTGCCATTCTTCAGTTGTGAGATAAACGTGCAAGCACCAGTGTTCTCGACACCTCCCTGGGTTGAAGGCGGTCATCACCGAGCATGCCGGGGAGCCCATCCTCATGACAACGACCCAAGCTACTACCAGGTGCTTCCTGGAACGGCTACCTTGCGAGATTGCCAGCAGCGTTGCATGGAAACCAACGGCTGCAAGGGCATCGAGTTTTCCGCAAACCGTTGTGAAGTGTGGACCAGAGCGGGCGGCATTCGAGCTGTACAGTACATCCCTCCAAGCCTGGCGAATTTCACTTGCATGGCCTACGGTGCCTACATGTAAGTAAAAGTACAAGACAACTTGGCAGTGCCCATTTGCAGAACAACAGCAGTGGTCCTTGCCGAGTTGTTCTGCTACAGCTGAATTCATAGCCGTTCTCAGGATTGGCCCTTACAGGAACGGATCTTTGGTGTTCGCTCTTGTTGGATTCTACAGCACAGCCAATTCCGATAATTAATGGATGTGGTGCACGCTTGTCCCGATAGAGACGACGGGAAAAGGCGACAGCGATGTATTGAGTCAGCAGCCTCGCATGGGGTCTCGGAGTTCTGCGCAATGCTTTAAGAAGAAGAAGCAAACAAACAAGCCACCAACCAACCAGCCAGCCCGCCAGCCAGCCAACCAACCAACCAACCAACTAACTCACCAACCAAAAAAACAAACAAACAAACAAACACACAACCACACGAACGCACACGAACGCACACCAATGCACACCAATGCACACAAACGCGCACAAACGCAAAAACACATACCAACACACAAACACACAAACACAGACAACGGTGAGGTGAACGGCCGGTCGCAGTGGCGGGGGGGTAGGCAGGATGGGTGCTGGTGAGGTTGGAGAAATTTTATGTCGATGGGTTGGGTGCCCAAGGGGAAACGGCAGGCCGAGGGACGGTTCCTTCAAAAATGCCTCTGAGAATGACCTCGGAGGAGCGGCGCTGCACAATGGTCTGGCTGTTGTGACATTCCCATTCTGTGGATTACATGATGAGATTTCGAATGATGCCATGATCACTCTGTCGTTTTGCCAGGTCCTTTGGTCCTTGCTTCGATTGAAGATGGGTGATCTTTAGCTTCTTTGCTGCTCAAAAACACATCTTTGCCTCGGTTCTGCATGGCCGATCTGGCAAGAACATCCTGGAAAAACTGAATGTAGAGAGATCAGTCCTTGTGCACTGAGCTGCTCGAACGCTGACTCGTATTTTGGTGTTGCTATCACGCGAAAAGAGTTCAGACCAATACACACGACATTGTGCACCCATGGCTGAAGTGACGATCATCACCTGCGCGATGGACAGCGCTGATCCGATGCCTTCTTGGATTGCAGCCGCATGAGCAGGACGTTGCATGAGTTTGCAGACATGCATGGATGAATGTCGGACAGGGTGTGGTGTGCTCGACTTGGCATGATACTCATGATACAGTTCCATGATCGGCTTCCTCTGTCAAAATTCTGGCCAACCAGTGAACAGTATGTAAAGCCCATGATGAGACATGGATGCAGTTTGGGGTCTGTCTTCTGCAGGTCTTGGCTTTCGTACCATGTTTGTATCAGCAGCATTGTGTCAAGGATTAACACCCTATGGCGAGGAAGGCCGGGGGCAGCATGGAGAACACCCTTTCGAATGTCGGAGTCAACGGGGGAGCTCCTTCTGGTGAGAGAGCCATCGGGTCTCTTCCCGAAGAACGGCCCCTCAATTCTTTGAAGCGGCAAGGCTCTCGCCGCGAGCACTTTCCTGCTGTTGTCCATTTCGTTATCATGGGTGGGCGCCTGCTCCTTAGAGACCTCGCCCCAATCAACGAAGAGCAAATCTGGGGGTAACATGTCACTGAGAAACTCCTCAGAGGTCGCGCAGTTGGCGCGAGCGGCAGAGGCCCGGACATTTTCAACGAGCATTTTCTGGGAGCAGGGTATGGAGCCTTGGGCGCAAGGACAGACGTAACTTTTGCTTGGTGCAGCAGGTAGATGCTGAGAGGCTTCAGGCACGTTCAGCCGCCTCCCCAACCTTGCCGAAGAAGTGAGCACAACTGCGCAGCAAGTGCAAGCAAGTTTCAGTGCGAATTGCTTTGCGGGTTGTGTGGGCATTGTGGGCTTGTTCTTGGATCCTGCATGGGTGGTGCACTTAGGTTGTGCCCCTGCTGACCTGGGCGAATGCTACGGCCTGGATCTTCCTGGCCCTTCCGCACATGCTAAGGCCCAACCGCTGAGCGCCAAGGCGGTTGGAGGTTGGTAAGCCTGCTTTCACAAAAGCGCGCTGGTCATGGCAGGCGCGCACGAGCCGGGGCAGACATCCCAGGCACAGGAGAGCGCAAGAGCCATCCAAAGTGGCCGATGTGCAGCTTTACATTCTCGCACGTCCCACAGTCAAAACCGATGAAATGTTGGCAGTGCCTTTGATGGAGTGGCTCCACTGCTCAGTTCCAGCCTGTGGCACCCCCCTGAACAGAGCTTCTGAGCTTCCTTCATGGAGCTTTCGGTGCCGCTCCGACTGAGCCATGCATTGTGCATTGAGCCACCCAGTACAAGGCTGCTAAGAAAGCATGGCATCCCCAAGCCGCCGAAGCCTTCCGCGGTACCGGCAGAGGAAGGACAGCTCTTTTGAAAAGGTTGGTGCAACCATGCAATCGGTCTCAGGCCAAGTCTTCTAAATCTGGGGGTAGAATTTAGAAGAGAAGGCCTTAATGGGGCATGTTCTGTGCATGCAGGGGCAAGCCGCACGTGTCCAGGAATCGTGTCGAGCCAGACAATGTCCCTTCCGACACACGTGCGATCTGGGACTACCTGCGATCAAAGCAAGCTCTCTGAGCGCTCTGCGAGCCCTTCATGAGAAGCCTCGTGCTTCGACTGGTTTGCAGCTAGCTGTTGAACAGTAGCGCTGGCCCGGAAGCCGCGCGCAAAGGCCAGTTCGTCGAATTCGCGTACACGCGTGCGCAGGAAGAGATGGGCATCTTGTACAGCTGATGCCATCAAGTATGAAGTATGAGTTTTGGCTGTGCGAGGCATACGCTCTTTAGTCTTGCTAGATTGTGGGAGTAGGTCATGGGCAGGGCACAAATGGATTCGGACAGTCTTACATCTTTGAGTCAGTATGCGTGCGCAGCTGCGAGTCCCCGTGGTGCCTGTCCTTTCGCGTTCAGCGGACAGGAGATTCCTTCGGAGGTGAAAGGGGACGGGCCAACTCGTGTGCAGACATGGGTGACAAGGGGGTGACAAGGGAAGCTTGACAGGACTTCTACTGGAGGCCATCAGTGTTGGAAGTTTGAGAATGTGCTTCTAAGATTCTGGTTGTCCCGCAGTAGCTCCTTAGCTCTGGACGAATCCTGTGATCCTACAGGGGCTCCCGACACTTCAACCGTTTCGTGACCAGGGTGCTTAGCCTCGGTCCCATCGGTTGCTTCGCAAATTTTGCTCCGTGCTTTCGCAGTGCTGGTGGACGTGTGAACCTCAAGCACCCCTGAGCTGTGAGAGCCCAACAACATCCGAGCATTTTGTTGAACCCCCTCTGAACCAGAAGGAGAAGGTTAGAGCATGCCCCCGAAGGCCCCGCCCCCAACCCACGGCAGGTTGGTGCAAGACAATGGGGTTGACACATCTGTTGGCCGATGTGGAAGAGATGTTATAGGGTGACTGGGTGGAGAGCTCTCCTCCTCTTTGTTTTTAGAGGGGGGGGGGGAGCTCTGCGAAGCTCGCAGATCGCAGGCCCGTGGGACTGCGTCAGCTGACATTGAAAGGTACGGGTGCAGTCGAGCATCCCCTTCGGCAGGGGATGCAGGTTCTAGAAGTCCTGGGCTTCGAGCTTCGCAGAAACCTTCCCGACTTCATTTCGCAGCGCAAGTCGACATATGACATTGGAATTCATGCCGGAGTATGCAGCTCCGGAAGCTGCTGGTGTTCGCGTCGATTTTTGTGGGAATGCGTGTCCACTCGTTCTGCTCTTCTGGTTGGTGCTGTCATGTCTGACTGTCATTGCAATTGTGCTGTTGCTGTGTTTCGGTGCAGACAGTTAGTTCACTGAGTTCACTAAAGGCATACTTTGCTGGCATTTGCTGCCGATTGCCGTAGGGGTGTACTTTCAAGATCCAGGCTCACCACAGCCCAGAGCTAAGCAGAACACCCAGCAGAGAACCGGAGCATGGTGGCTGAGCCGTCACGCTGTGCGTGGTACTCCAAAAGCTTTGGGTATACGGTCGGTCGAGCAAAATGATGGCGGAGTATATAGTTGAACCGTGTGACGCCCAAAAGGGGGCCCTTAATCTTTCTCAGCTTGTGTAAGGCTTCCTGCTGCTTTCACAGACGTGGGGAGGAGCCAGGCTGCTGGACTTCGTGACAACCGAGGCCTTCAAGGCAAGGGGTCCCAGGGGGGTGTAAGCTTGTTAGTCGTGAGAGGTGCGAACAAGCATACGCTGAGCTTACATTAAGCCTCTTGAGTCCTTGTTTGCCATGGCCCCTGCTCCGAAGGCTTCGGGTGGATGTCCTAAGCGTCCTAAACATATGGAGCCAAGAGCTCCTCCAAAGATCGGACCAAAAACATCTGCAAAGCATCTGCAACCGCTGTCAAGACAACACATATTTCATGGGCAGGCAAGGTGGTTGCTTGTTGCATGCAGGTCTCGCACCCACCTCGATTCCTAGCTGTCGCCTCAGCACATCAGGCCCTGGCTCTGGGATGCAAGCCGAGTGCAAACGGAAAATTGTAGTGAAAGCCGCTGCGGCTCAAGACGCGGTGAGTTTTCGTCTCAACGCCAATTGTAGGCCATCCAAATCTCTGCATGAGAACACTGCTGTATGTACGGTGACAAGTCAACTTCTCACGATGTACCCTTCGGCTGGCCCAGCATTGAGCCTGCAGAACTCTGTGAGCCGCTTCGCACGAAGTGGGTTCCCGTCACACACCTGGCGCCTGAACCAGGGGGCGAGGACACTCTGTGCTTGCGTGTTGAGAGCGCAGCAGATGGTTCCGTTGGCTTCGTCAGGTGCTTGTAGAGATTTGTAGAGTGATGTCGGCAAAGGAGATGGGCCATCGGCGCACGCTGCGGGCTGGGCACGTTGGGCTTGGTGGGCTTGGTTGCCCATGTTACTGGAGGCCGGCCGCGAAGGCTTCGACATCAAGGCCAGCTTGCCACCTTCCCAAACGCAAGACCTTTCTTCCGGCTGCATGTCAAGTTCCGCAGGTTCCCTATCGCGAGAAATATTTAAAGATAGTGAACATTGCATTCCAAAGCCCCTTCGGCTGCCCCTGCCAGATGAGCGCCGCGCCTCCTGCCATGCGCTGAGCGCCACGGCGCCAAGCTGGGAAGAGCTGGCTCGCTGCTTGGCGAAGATCCGAGGGGGCGCGAGGGTGGGGGAGGGTGGAAGACAGTAGACACATTAGAAAAGCAACAGAAAACACGACCCCGGGGCGTCTCTGAGGTGAGGCGGGCCCGCCTCGGCAACGCCTTTTCGAAGAGAAGGCGAGGCTCTTCGGCGCCGAGAAGCCTGAGCTGAAGTTCTGGCACGATGCAGCCGGCTGGTGCCCGCACTGTCTCTTGGCCCCCGAAGCCCGCAGAGTCGCAGAGCTTCAAGGCCCTTTAGGGGCCTTAAGAGGCTAGGTATTGCAACAGGGGTTCTTTTTCAGTGCAGCAGCTGAGAGCAGATTGATCCAGGGGCATGAGGCCCTGATTTGATAATAACTCACCCCGGTGTTGGAGTTCCTTTCCGAGGCATGGTCTCATGGGCTGTGCTTGAGGAGATGCAGATCCCCTATGTCATGGAGACGACGCCCCTAAGGGCTTACTTGAGGCGAGCGCACCAAGGGCCCTCTTTCCCTCGGAAGAGCCTCTCCCAAAGAGTGAGACGACTTGGGCAGGCCGGGGGAGAAGAAGCGCCAGCGCCTGGTGCCAGTCATCCAGCTGCTGGACCAGGTGCCTTTGCCAGGAAGCAGCCTGGGTCCTTGGATGTGACTGTGGTGAGTGACCCATGTTTGGACTCTCTTCGTCCCAAGGAGAAGAGCAGTGGAAACTCGTGGGCTTTTCAACCAGCGATGCGAGGCGTGGGACGCGGCGAGCAGGTCCCAGAACCGCAAGTATGTTCCAAGTTCTCTTTCTGATGGCACCTGAAAGAGCACCTGATGGCACCTGATGGCACGAGGTCTGCCAGATGCTGGCAGAGCGGTTCCCGAGCAAGAGCCTTTGGCCGAGAGGGGCCTCTGAGCGAGCGGCAGCACAGTCTCAGCTGCCGCTCTTCTCGAACCTTCAGAAGGCAATCCGCATTTTAAACAGAATGGTGCAAGTCTCATGAAGCAATGAAGAACCGACTCGAATCATGCGGCTACCGCCTGCCTAGATGCAGATGCGCGAGTTCTCGGCACGAGCTGCGCCTGCGCTTGTGGCGAGGCCCACTCGGCCTACAAGCGGCTGCCCGGAGGAAAGCCCACCTGGGGCGTATCCCCTTCTCACAGCTGCTTGGCACCATGCTTCCCGCCTGTTTCGCGCATATTTGTTCTTCTTTGCTTCGGGTGTAAGCCGAAGCCGAGCTCAGGCCGGAAGGATGAGGAGACGACGCAGGGCACTTTTTTGCTATGCATTGCAGTTTTTGCCAAATTTGTTCTCATTCCCCGGTTCATCTCCTGAAGAGCACCATGGAACCGGAGGAGCTCCTCTTTTCAGCCCTGGACGCCTTGGAGGCGGCCTTGCGTGTCACCCAGGCCTGCCATCCCTGATGTCCCTTTTCAACATGGCTCGTGTGGCTTGCGTGGCTTGGGTGGCTTGGGTGGCTTGGGTGGCTTCTCCTTCTCTCCTGGTCAGGGCTCCTTCCTGGGCGGCCCGCAGCCCCACATGGTGGATCTGATGTTGCTCGGATTGACAAGGCTGCTTCAAGGTTCAAGGTGCGCCTGCAAGAGTGTCAGCACCAAGGCTCCTGCCCATGTTGGAACGGGTGGAGGCGCTCTTGCTGCATCCCTTCCTGGGTGGACCTCAGCTGGTTGATTGGGTGCATGTCTCAAAGATGCTCTCCACTGGCCGCCAGCCGGGTGTCTGCTCCTTTGGCAAGCTGTGCAGCGATGCCGAGACTCTCCTTGCCATATCCTTGCGTGAGGACCCAGGCCGTACACCGGCTATGTCCTTGCAGGACACCATCCTAAGTCCCACGCGCTCGGTGCTGGAATCTGCCCAGGCCGCAGCCCAACACCCGCAAGATGCATGCAGGGAGGCCGCTTCGCGCATCTGCGCCAACCACGCCGCCATCGTCGCATTTGCGTGCTGCGGTCGAGGGTGTGGCCGCAGGAAGGAGGAAGCCCGGAAGGCAGCTGAGGTGTACACTGACAGCCCAACCGTCGACTTTGCTCTCCGGCAGGTTGTGGCATCCCTGCTCAGAAGCTCACGCAACTCCTACCACACGGAACTCGAGTCGGCCGCACGACGAGCAGCGCGGTTTTGCCCAGAGGCCAGCGCGGCCTTGCCGCCACTGCGCTTCCTGTCTTGGAACGTTGGCGTGCCCCGCGACATGGCCGCCGCCCCCGCCGCCGCGCTGCGGGCGCACTTGAGGCTCCATCTCGCCGCCCTGGAGGGCCGCGGCCCAGCCAAGCGCCTCACCCGACCAGGCCCGCGGCCGCAGCGTGGCGTTGCGGCCGACAACGCGCCGAGCTCCCCGAGCTCGCCAGGTGCGCCCATGTCGCCGGCCCCCAGTCTTTCGGGAGAAGCCTTGTCGATCTCGAGATCCGATCTGAAGCCGAAGCTGTCGAGGAAGAGTCCCGCTCGGGACGCAGTGGACATGCCACGCAAGAGATCCAAGTTCGGCCGGCAAAAATAGAGATGGCTCACATTGACGGCGAGCCATCAAGGCAGATTCATTGTAGAATCGCAGAACCCGGTTCATGTAGGCTTTGTGCTATTTTCGGCCGATTCTTCGCTACGAGCACACCGGAGGATGGCATACCAATCATACCACAAAAGCCTCTATCCCAGTTACCATGAGCAGGCACCCCGATCACTGCTAGACCCCGATCACTGCTAGCTAAATCCGAGTTTCGGAATTAGCACGCTTGGTAACTATAATTCAAAGCCGGGGGGACATGGGAGCTGGGAATCAAAATGCCAGTCCGTCAGTCCATGCAAAAAAACACCAAACGAGTGTTCGACGTGATTCTTGAGCTGCGACGCTAAGTTCATAGCCTTGACCACCAACTTCTCCTACATAGGTGTCCGGACCTCAGAGGCCTTGTAGTAGGGGGATGCTCGCAGACCCAGTGAACCCTACACCCCAAGCAGCCCGAAGCAGCCTTAAGCAGGTGTCGGGAGTGCTCCAATAGTGCTTTGAGGCGCTGCACTTCCTGCCCGCATCCCTCAATACCGCCATCTTCAGCAGCAGCCCAGTCCGCGCCTCCCAAGAGCCGAAGAGAGAAGAAGATTCCACAGCTCCGCTCTCAGCAGGTCTTTACGCTGCTGCTCCAAACCATGTTCCTCGAGTCAGGCAAGTTTACAATGTACGGACTCAATCAGTTGCTAGGACTTCTCGGTTCTCTGCGGGGCTTCAGGGGAACATCTCCGGGTCGTGTACTGGGCTCTCTTGGGGCCCCCAGGTTGGCGAGGCGACGTGGTGGCCCAAGAAGCACATTGCACGACATCAATTGCCACGTTCAGCAGAAGGTCACACAGAGACTCCACAAGCTAACAGCTTCAGAGGTTCTCAAAGCTTCTGTAGTGTTCTCTCACGCCAGTTTTTCGTGATGCCCACGTAGGCAGGCCATGCGTGCACAACTGCGCACCCACCCTCTATCCGCGACTCGTACGAGGGACAGTTGGTACATTCTGTGTGTGTTTTTCAGATGAGTGGCACGTAAGTTCGCCGATCTTCGCAACACAAGTACAGCACACAGCGCTTGCTGAAGTCCAGCTTAGGGCCCGTGGTGGCCACCAAGTGCAATTTGAGCCCAGCAGGGCCCTCAAGAGCCCCACTGAGGCCGGCTCCCAAGGATGGAAGGCTGGAGCACCACAAAATGCACCAAAAAAGTCGTTTGCCGCGTTTTTTTCGTGCATCCTTATGGCAGGCGCTCAGCGTGGGCCTTTCCGTGGCCGCGGCCTCAGCTTCTGCTTGGGGGGCGCTTCGTGCCACGAGCTTTCATGGCTAGCCCTGCGCCTTTGATGTGCAGTTGCCGGAGACTAGGTATAGGTGGGTCCTTTTCGAGGGACCCTAAACCCTAAACCCTAAACCCTAAACCCTAAACCCTAAACCCTAAACCCTAAACCCTAAACCCTAAACCCTAAACCCTAAACCCTAAACCCTAAACCCTAAACCCTAAACCCCTTACTTGGGGGTGTCCCAACCTTTTTGCGCCACAACTTCCCATGCCCCTGGCACCAGGTCGGAGTGCTGCTCATCGCGGAGCCATGGCACGGCTCTCTGGGAGGTTCTAAGCCCACTGGGGGGGGGGTTTAGGGTTTAGGGTTTAGGGTTTAGGGTTTAGGGTTTGGGGTTTAGGGTTTAGGGCTTAGGGCTTAGGGCTTAGGGCTTAGGGTTTAGGGTTTAGGGGGCACCTTATTCTGGGGAATCCTACTATCTGGGGGTCTATTGTAGGGGTCCCCTATTTCGTAAACCCCCACTTTGGGTAAGTGCGTCTTTTGACAAAGCAGTTCGGGGGAAGGAAGTGTACGAGGGCAGGCACGCGCACACACACACACAACACTTTTACTCCCCCTTCGGCAGGCTCAGACCTCGACGAGCAGAGGCTGAGGAAGCTGTGTGCATGGGCAGACATGGGTTTAGGGTTTAGGGTTTAGGGGATCAGTTTGTAATGTAGGGGGCAGTATCGGTCAGTGTACTTAGAGGTGCTCGTTCAGTGTGGCTGCCGAATTCGAGGATCATTGGCGTGCTGCTTTCGCTCTTCTCGGCCTTGGGCACAGCAATCTACCAGGCTGCCTCGAGTGTGGCGCTGGACAAGGCTGATACTGAAACCGCCAGGTCTACTTTAAACAGACCTTTGGTGATTCCATGCGCCCAGAGGAGGCAGAAGCTACACCCCGTGGTGTGCAACAGCTGTGCAAGTGAAAGCTGAGAACATGATCATGATGCGTTGTGGTGCTTGCAGGCTCGGCTCTAGTGCGCTGTGCAGATTCATGCCTGGCTTTCGTTGCTGACCTGAAATACGTCAGTTTCCCGGGCTTAACCACCTCACATAAAAGACTGAGGGTCTGACACCTCCATGTCAGTTAAAACTCCTTCAAAACGGCAGGCAGAAGGCAGCCCGGAGAACTGAACGTAGAGGGTAGGGACATGTGGCTTCCCGCGCGGCTTGGCTCCACGCGTGTGGCTTCTGGATGCTTTTCTGGTGCTCCGCGTGAATCTCAGCGCCCAGTTCTTCCGTGTGAGCAGATGGTTTCTGCAATGCCTGCATTAGAAAAAGGTAGCTCAGAGAGTCGGCAGCCCAAGGTCCCCACATGGCCCTGGCCTTGAGAAGCATGAGAGCCCTGAGGAGCCTGGGGAGCCTGAGGCCCCCCCTGCAGACGGATGCTCGATATGTGCTGTGCAATGCAGTGCATCTTGTGTTGACATGTTGCAGATGTTCCCAAGATTTCCCAAGCTGTGCCTGCTTGCGGTCTTTCTCAAGCTCGGTAGCTCGGTAGCCCGAAGAGTCGAAGACGCCGCGATCCCAAGATGCCGGCCATGTCCAAGATCGCCACGGCAGCTGCAGGCGCAGCCGCCCTCACCGCAGCCTCGGCCTTCGTGGCACCGACGGCGGCGCCGGCGCGAACAGCCCAGGGAAGTGCCCTGCGCGGAGAGCGTCGCTCGAGCTCGGTGTCCAGCTTGGGCTTGAGCGGCCTGAGCCTGGGTGCAGTCGGTCTGGCGGCCGTTCTTGCGCCCCCCTCCTCCAAGCCGGCCAGCAAGAGTGTGGCGGTCAAGGCCTACGACGCATCAGGAGAGATCGGAGCCTGCGACCCCTTGCTGTTCTGGGATCCGATTGGCTACTGCACGGAAGGCTGCACCAAGGAGGACTTTGACCGCCGCCGTGCCGTGGAGCTGAAGCATGGCCGTCTCTGTATGGTTGCAACCATCGGCATGGTGTGGCCTGACATTTTTGGCAAGTTCGATGGCTACCTCTCGCCCTCGCAGAACCTGAAGTTTTCGGATGTGCCGTCCGGAATTGCAGCAGTCAGCAAGGTTCCCCTGGAGGGCTGGCTTCAGATCTTGCTGGTGGCGGGCCTTATTGAGACGCAGCTCTTCAAGGATCAGTCCTTCGGAGGCTTCGCCTACGGTAAGTATGGTGCCGAGCCGGGCAACTTTGGCACGGGCTACTGGGGAAGGAAGATCCAAGACCCCGCTGAGCGCAGGCTTAAGCTGACCACCGAGCTGAACAACGGGCGTCTGGCAATGATTGCGATGGCTGGTATGCTCATCCAGAACGGCCTCACTGGGCAGTCCCCGATCGAGCAGCTGCAGGCTGGCCACTACTCGCCCTTCAACGATGGCCAGGGCTTCTTCGCCTTCGACCCGTCCCAGGAGCTTGGTGCCTGCCCTCCTCTGGGCTACTGGGACCCCTTTGGCATGATGGCTTTCCAGGATGAGGAGAAGTTCCGCCGCAACCGTGAGCTGGAGCTCAAGCACGGAAGGATCTGCATGGCCGCCACCATCGGCATGATCGTGCCTGACCTCTTTGGCCGCTTCGGTGGCTACCTCTCGCCCAGCGCAGGCCTGAAGTTCTCCGACATCCCGTGCACCATTGAGGCCATCTACAAGGTCCCCACCTTCGGCTGGCTGCAGATCTTTGCTCTGGCCGGTGCCATTGAGGCAAAGAACCAGGCCTTCCCAGAGAACTATGGCTACCCTCCCTTCTGGGGCCGGATCAACACCCTCGAGCCCGAGGAGAAGCAGAAGAAGCTGCTGGCTGAGATCAACAACGGCCGCCTGGCCATGGTTGCCATGGCTGCCATTGTGGCGCAGAACGGGGCCACGGGCCAGTCCCTCGTGGAGCAGTTCACCACCGGCAACCTGAATCCCTTCGTGGGCGGCTATGCCCAGCGCGAGGCGAGTGACCGCGTGGCTTTGAGGGCCGAGTTCGGCTCTGGTGCCGGCAAGTCCACGGCCCTCCCTTGGGATCCCATCCCTGAGGGCCTCACCAACGACATCTTCAACCAGACCTACGTGGGCGACGTGGGCTTTGACCCTGCAGGCCCTCGGATGCCCTACTTCATCCTACTTCGAAGCTGCTGCCACCTGCGAACTAACCTACCAACACAAATCTACAAGCTGCTCCCTTCCCCGCATTCCCCCTACTCTCGCTCTGCCCCCCCCTGAGGCTTCGCCAAGAACCAGCGCCTGCTGCCCTGGTACCGTGAGGCCGAGCTGGCGCACGGCCGCGTTTGCATGCTGGCAGTCTTGGGCTACACGGCGCCTCAGAGGAAGCAGAGATGGAACCCCCAGGGCTTCTTGTTTCCTTTTCTGTGGCTCTTTGAGAAGACGTGAGTCTCGACTCCCAGGTGCAGACCGCCGGTGCCAAGTTCGAGCCGTTCATCACCCGCTACCCGACGGACTCGGCCGATCCCCTGAAGGCTGCCACCCAGGCGCCTGTGATCTTCAACACAAGACCGAGGAGGGCGGAAGAAGCTCGATTAGTTGGGGGCGGCATGCCTGCTACAATACGGGAGCGGCTACATGCGGAGTAGGAATGACAACGAGCCTGAACGAATAAACAGGCTGATGTATATCCACATGCACAGGCTGCATGACGCCAGGTGCCCATCATTGGCTGGCTTCAGATCATCGTCGTGATTGCCCTGTCCGAGTTGTGGCGCTACGAGAACGTCTCTTGGCCGTGCATGTGAGGAGTTCTCCGAGCATGGCTTGGAAGCAATTCTTTCGAAAGCGCATAGGTTAGTCCACACTCTGAGGCAGCTGAGAGAGTGCCCCCCCCCCCCCCCACTTCGTGAGTGCCACAACGCTAGACCCTAAACCCTAAACCCTAAATCCTAAACCCTAAACCCTAAACCCTAAACCCCGAGGTCATCAGCAAGTACGACCAGGGAGTCCAGCCCGGAGACCTCGGCTGGAACCCCACGGCCCCCGTGGGCAGCCCCCGCCCCAAGTGGCTCCTGGGCTCGGAACTGTTCTTATCAAGATGATTATTATTATCATTTTTTTTATTGTTCTTGTTATGATTTGGTATTTATAATTATTATGATTATTATTGTCAGGATTATCATTCAAAATATTTCCTAAACCCCCCCAACTCCCTCTTGGCAGCCGGCAAACGAGCATAATGCCCATGTTGTTGAGTGCAACCCCCTACTGCGTGGGATTGTTGTCAAGTCCCCCCCCCCCCCCCCCACCGTTTGTGGGTAAGAGAGCCGTCAGCAAAATGTTGCCGAGTACGCGCCGGTTTGCCCCCGCTTCGTGCCAAGGTTCGGCCCGACCTTCACCGCCGCCTACCAGCCAGAGGCCCAAAACCCCCCAAGCACAACCCTCAGCAAGCAGGAGTTCGAGGTTTTCAAGGATGCTTTTTGGAATGGTATTCTTTGGGGGGGTTGTATGATGGGCTGCTTTCTAAACCTGCCTCCTGCCTTGCAGGAGTGGAACAACATGAAGCTCCGTGAGATCAAGCACTGCCGCCTCGCCATGGTGGGCTTCTTCTTCATGGTCCTCCGGAATGCCTCCACAGGTGCTTGAAAGCGCTTTCATAACTTTAATATACTTTAATACTTAGTCTTCTTTAACATTTTCTGTGCAACATTTCCCCAAGCCCCCAAATTTCCCCCCCAAAACCCCCCCTCCCCTCCCAAAAACACCCGGGTTGAGCGTGCCGCTCGCTGTGAGGCGAGGGGCCCTCCCTGCTCCCGAACCTGGCCGCGGCCGAGTTCCAGTCTTCCGTTGGTGACTTCATCCCCAGGGACATCTGAGCCTCCCCAAAAAAAGAAACCCCGGAGAGGGCGGTTTAATTGGCAGAGTTCGTGATAGTGCCTGACAGATAGTGTCAGGCAAGTTTTTGCCTTTTGGCCAAACATATGCACAACCGGAGCCGGCAAAGGCCTTGTGCTTGCAAAAGCAGCTGCAGACTGCATTGTTCTGACGCCAACGGCTTGCTGAGGTCTGAAAGTTGAGTAGAGCATAAACGACTCTTTGCCAACAGGTGCGGGCTTGCGTTTCGTCGTGCGAGTCGGGCACCTGGATCATGTGACGCAAGTGTGGAGGATGCAGACATGCACAGGCAAGCACGGCCCGCAAATGCCAAGAGGTACCATTGCCGTCCTGATCGATGGTGAGAATATCTCGCCCTCCTCACTGGGGCCTTTGATGCAGGCAGCTTCCGAAAAAGCCGAAGCGCAGAAAGGTCCCTGAGGCCCCAGAATGTTTCTGCAAAGCCCACTCCTCGAGACTTCCCGAGGCAGCTCGGTCAGCTGGTGAGATCCAGTACAGCCGGGCCTCCCAAAAGCCGAGCAAGTCCTCATACAGAAAGAGACTTTCACGGATTTCACCAGGGGGGGGGGATGCCATAAACATCCACAAACCAAGGCCGAATCTACCTCAACGAGCACAAGGCGTGAGCACAAAATGTCGCATTCTCTCTCTCTCGGTCTGTCTGTCTGTCTGTCTGTCTGTCTGTCTGTCATTTTTTTTTTTCTCTTTCTCTCTCTCTCTCTCTCTTTGCCCGATAGCCTCTTCAGACATGCCGTCTCAGAGGCTTCGCTTTTCAATGACCGGCTCTCAGAGCAAGGCTGGGCCAGAATGGGCCGAACCCTGCACGCCAGGGGGCGCTGCGCTTTCGGCGGCTTTCAGGGACTTGGGGCCCCAACGAGGGCAGAACGATCTTCTGCTCTGTCAGGAATCGAGGCAGTTGTGGTGCCGCAGCTGTCCTCGGGGCTGAAGGAGAGCAGGGGCCACGGTCAGATTGGAGTTGCGGGAGAGGGCGCATGAAGTGCTTGAGGTGGCGTGGCTCTGCGACAGCCAGAAGCGAACAGAGGATTGGAATGCGTCACATGGATGCCAGGACCCATCAGACATCATGCTGGCCCTAGATGCCGTCGAGGAATGCTTGAAAGGCGGGGTCTGGCTTGGATGAAATGATTAGACATCTTTAAACATCTTTTCGGAGTGGGAGTGCTCATGGTACTTGTAGCTCCCATCATGGCGGCGCTTTTCTCTAGATGGACATCATGGGCCATGCAGGTACTGCTTCTGCCATCGCAGTGGCCTCGGAGGCGGGAACATGCAGCAACCTTCCCGCAGCTAATATAGGGGTCGGAAGAATTGCGAGAAGCATTCCCTGGTCCCGTTGTAACTATACTCTAACAAAGCCCCCCAAAACACTGTCCTAACTTCTGAAGGCCCCTAGATCACCCGCACTGAGCGCCTGGGCACATCGCGTACCACTGGGTCGGGTCGTCGAGTGCATGGGGTCACCGTGCAGGATGTGGACTTTGCCCTCGTGTTGAGGAAGGCCGCTTGACGGCACACGCGTTAGGGTGTGGTTCCGACATCGAACATCACAGCCACGCAGAGTTTTGATTCCCCAGCCTTCTTCCCTCGCTTCGCTCGTTTTGGCTTTGCCTGGATCCGTCAGGTTCGTGAGCTCGGTCGGCGCTCATTTGCGGTAACTCCCCTGAGAGCGCCCTCGCGGTCCGGGCTCCCGGACAAGTTGCTGGAGCCAGCTGGAACATGACTCAATGACCCCCCCCGGCATTTATCGCCATGCATTGCCCCAAACTTGCTCAGATTCATTCATTCGATTCATGCGCAGTTTTGTTTAATTTGAGGTCCCAAGAGCTTCTCCGCTCGGCCGCGGACGGGCTCCTGTTCTTCGGGGACCACCCGGCGATCAGCAAGGTCCTTCACTCGCTTTTCTTGGAGCTGGGGGGAGCTTCGGCGGGACCTCAGAGGCAGCTCTGAGAGTGTTTCTCAGGTGGCCGAGCATCTGGACACCTCGCGCCTCGACTCCGACGTTGAGTTTTCGGAGGCCCCCGAACGAACCCTGAAGATCCCTGAGCTCAGCGCCCGCAAAAGACTGCAGAGGGTTCAGACTGAGAGGGCTTTTTTGCGGGCCCTGTGGATGTAGATCCTGGTGCGCGGGACCTGCGGGACCTCTGCCAGGTTTCCTTGATCCCCCAGGCCTTGAACGAAGACCGGCGGAGGCCTTCCTTGAAGGGGCGTGATGCAGAAGTGTCTTTCTTTTTTTTTTTTTTTTAATTTTTTGGGCCGGTGCGTAGCTGCGCAAGCAAGCATTCGTAAGACCCCTGGCCAGCTTTGGCAAAGCGACTGCAAGAGGCTTGAGATCTGATCTTAAGGAAGATTTACATGTAGACGAACTCTCTAGGAAGATGGAGCAGCTCGAGCAGCTTTTGCAGGAACTCGGCTACCTGCCCGAAGCCCGGATGTTTTGGGATTGTCTCTGGCAATTTTGGAGGTTTCTCGGACTGCGGTTCACCTGATCTCTGGTCCTTTACAGGCCCAAGCCGCCCCAGCAGGGCCTTTGCCTCAGAGATCAGATGGGCGCTCAAAGGTGGCGAGCACAAGTGCAACAGCAACACGCACTCCCAAGTCGTGCGAGAGGTGTAATGGTGGCAGCGCTGGCCAAGTTCTTCCATGCAAATCAGCCGCGGGCCTGGTCAAACAGGCAGCCCCAACAAAGGTGTGTACTATGTGTGCGTGTACGCTATATAAAAAACTCATATACATGCTTATACTCTTGATATATATATATATAGATATAGATATAGATATAGATATATAGATACTCTCTGGTATGTGGTATGTGCGATATTTTCCTGGCCTATGGCACGTCTTTTTTCTCGTATACTTGTTTCTGTGGGAAGCCGAGGCTTGGTCGGCTCACGGTCCGGCCCCTGCACGAGGGCCTCACACAGGCGCCCCCGTCTCTTCAAAAGCTGTCGCCACCCAAAAAGGCCCTGCGGTGTGACCCTTCAGGGTTTATCGGGTTCAGGGTTTAGGGTTTAGGGTTTAGGGTTTATCGGGTTTAGGGTTTATCGGGTTTAGGGTTTATCGGGTATAGGGTTTAGGGTTTAGGGTTTAGGGTTGAGAGGCCTTCTCTGCCCTGGAGAGGCCGCCGGCTGGAGGCGCACCCTGTGGTGGCACCCTTTCGAGATAGGGCCCAGTTTGGGACCGCTGTCAGGGTGGGCTCCGGATCCCAAGAACCTGGTCTTCCTGAAGCCTCCAGCTCAGGGACATTCAGGGACTCAGGGATGGAGGGCGATCTCCCCACATGGCCCGGCACCTCGCAGCACGAAGTTCGGATCCGTAGAGAACACACAGGTGGCAAGCAGCATCTAGTCGACGCAAGTCGCAAGTCGAAACGGAGCTCGCAGTGCGCAAGGGGCGCCTCTCACAACGAGGAGAGGATGCCCGGCGCCATGCTCGGGTGGTTGGTGGCCTTTCAGAGCCTGCCTCTGGCTTTGTGGGTGTGGATTGCCTGGAGGGGTCCTGCCACCAGCGTGCCTGGAATGCATCCAGTGTGGTGGTAGAGTCCCGTCTAGAAGTCATCAAAGAAGCCAGAAGGGAAGCCATGAAGCCAGGAAGCCATCTAGAGAGCGAGAAGTAGAACCCTTGCCGAAGCCATCCGAAGCCCAAAGAGGCGTGGAATGCCTCGCAGCCGGGCATCTCACCGACTGCTTCGTCTGGTCCGGGTGTGGACGAAGCTTTCCTCAGAGCCTTCGCTGGGCATGTGGGCTTCATAAAGGGGGGGTTCCTGTCTGCCCTCAATTTACACAAAATACGGGTGAAATTGGATGAGCATACAGGCAAGCGTGGGCTGTCGCTTTGTGTCGTCATGGCAGGAACCTTGACTGGTGACAGTTGGGCGGTGGTGGTCGCTGTGCTGCTGCTGGCCGCGATGGGATTGCAGTGTGCTGTCGACGAAATGGGTCCAGGCGGCGTTGCGGTTTTTCTTGCGAGCGGAAGCCCAGTTCTTATACTGTTCCTGACGTGGCGACGTCTGGGAGACGGCGTGAAGCCGGGCTTTGTGGCCTCCATGTACTTGCACAGCACCATCTTGGGCGTAGCCCTGTCTCTGGTGGGGGAGCTTCTGGCCTCAAATCTCTGGAGCCGGACCTTCCCCAATTGCAATCTCGGGCTGGGAGGGTCATCACAGATGGTGATAAGCCCGATGACGGAGCGCTGTGAGGTTTTGGGCCTCGCTGCCTGGCTCTGCATCCCCGGGGTGTTTGAAGAGACCTTCAAGGTTGTGTGGGTCTTCTACCGACTGCGCCGCAGCCTGAAGGAGGTACCGGAAACATGCTGCTGCGGCGCTTGCTGGTCCGTGAGTAGCATGGACTGCGGCTGGTGGTTCAAGTTGGCCCCGACGCCCCAGCACGTGCTGCTGGCTGCCGTGGCTGCGGGGGCCGGCTTCGAGGCAGCGGAGAACCTGAACTACGGCCTGGCGACCGAGGTGACGTGGCTTCAGAACTTCAGACAAGACCGGGATGTTCAGGAGAGACGTCAGCGCGCAATACGTGTGAGCACATGTCGCCTGTTCCCAAAGAATCTGAGGACGTGGCACTTGCACTACCACTGGTGATCATGAGAGGCTTGTACCCTCTGCACATCTGCTGGACGGGGATGATTGGAGTTGGCCTGGCTCGCCGCCTGTTCTTACCGCGAGACCAGAGCCCTTCTCTCTTGGCCATTCTGTGGCCGGCCGCTGTATGCAAGAGTCTGCGTTCTCAAGATTTCTGTGTAGTGTCTCGATTGGCCCAATCCTTGACAGCAAAGTGTACTTTAGACTTCAAGACGCAGGCAGTTCTCCTTCATGGCCTGAACGACTACTGCGCCATCCTCATTCAGACCTTCGGCACGGAAGGACACTATCGCCACTGCGCCCAGGCAGCCTGCTTTGCTACCCACCCCATGCCCTTGAGACCTGGATCGTACTGCCAAGTACGGAGGCCGTGGTGCTCGAGCTCTTCATCTGGACCATCAGCATCTCGCGTTTTGCGGTGGCCTCGGGCCTCCGGGTCACCACTCCCAGGAGCCCGTCCCGTGAGGTTCATGTCAAGCGCATCCTGCATGTGCTGCATCTCGCTGCAGGAGTTGCTGCTGCGCCCGGGCTGTGTGGGAAGCGCAGTTCCAGCAGCCATTGGTCGGGGAAGCGTTCGCTGCAAATCTCCAGAATCCCTTGCTGGACACGTAGAACACGTAGAAGGGGCCATTAGCAGTGGCGACAGTTGATGCTCGGAGAGCAGCTTGGACGCCGCTCATGAGCTGTCATTAAGATGATTCGCTCAAAGGAGAGTCGGTGCACTACAATCAGATCCAGGCAACCCACGGGCTATCCCGGAAACCTGAGCAGGAGGAGGGGTCAAAGTGTGAGCCAAAGCAGCTCCGGCCCCTCACCGAGATCTTCGGGCCTTTGGGCCTTTGGGCCTGTTCGCCGGTTATGGCGGTTTCATGTGGTTTCGCTTTCCTCTCCCCGCGGAGAAAGGAGATGCCCAGCCATGGAGAAGACTCGATGATAGACCCTAGGCACTACACCTCCCTAAGTGAGCCCTAGTAATCCCCCCTTTCAAGACCACTCAGCGCATCTTTTGTGGTGCCCAGGCACAGAGGTGAGGCAGGCCGCGGACCTGCCGTGACAGATACGCCCCGGGAGGCGGGGTGAGACTGCGAGAGCCCTTCGTTCCCAGTGTGAACATAATACGGGGGGTTTCCGAAAATAGGGGGACCTGGAGCTCCAGATGTGAATGTAGCCTACTCCTTTTTCTGCTTTGCCTCCTCAAGGAGCGCAGGCTGAATTTTGGAGCTCCTCTGTTGAGATACTGTTGGACTCCCAAGCTGCGTGGAAGCTGCAGTCTCCAGCGCGCCCTGTGCAGGCCAGGAAGGAGGGCCCTTTCTTGACATCCATCAGCCCAAGACCAAGCGCCATGACGTGCTGTGTGCCGCCTCTTTAAGCTGTTCCTCACTCTGCTCCCACGTCCTGCTGTGTGCTGTTGAGCCTTCAGGCGACAGCCTCGTGGAGCGAGTCCTGCTCCGATTTGGATACCTTCAGGCTGTGCTTCTTCAGCTCCCAATACATCAAGTTCCTTAGGTATAGGTATTGTCGCTATGATTGGTGCACAGGCTGGTGAGGAAAGCCGCGAGCAGGTGACGGAAGCGCCCGTCCTAGCTACTGCCAGAAAGAAGAAAGAGCCTAAGTGGAAGTAGCTGTGCTGGGTAGCATAAAAGCCCAGGCTATCCAGCTGTTCTGCGACCGCAACCAGAAGGAGCTTCAGAAATATGGCTTGCAGGCTGCGGCTTGGGGCATTGGGCGTCCACGCCACGCATGGCAAACACCGCTGCTGTAGTATGCTGTCACCTTATATATGCAAGAAGCTTCAGTGCATCGAATGCCCCTCCTGCTAAACGTTCCTGCGCGTCACGAGCTGTCAGTGCAGCTGTAGATGAGCAGCTTGGCTACTGATTGCCGACTACCATCGACAGCCCTGTCTACATCCTTAGAGTCGTGCTCGTCGTACTTGCGATTTCTTGCGATACTTCGTATCTTGAAGTGCTGTCACTTCGCAGAGATCGTTCATTGGGGACTGCTGAACTGAGTCTGTGTGCGCCGTCCTGAGACAAGCTTCGTAAGAACGGTCTCAGACGCCGCTCTCGGTGAGAATGTCCTGGCGTTCAGGCCGCACAGCAACAGCTTCCTGACGCCCGTGAAAGTCTGCACCAGATCTTCACGGAACCAAATCGGCTGCAGGCGATGTGCTCAGGATGTGCGCCGTCATAAGTTGCAGCAAGGAATGATGCACTCTGAGCATCTCAGAGCCGGGGAGGTCTGGCGCAGGGCTGCCGATGACGTCAAGGTCCGGAGTCGGCTCAAGGAGTCTTTGGCGCTACTTGGGGGAGATTCGCTTTCGAAAGTCCTGAGAGCAGGACGTTGGCGAGATCCGGCATGCCGGGGCCCCGAGCTTTTCTTATCAACGAAGAGAGCACGCATGATGAACATGATGAACATCATGAACAATCCTGCCAGCAGAAGCCGCCCCCCCCCCCCCCCCCCCCCCCCCCCCCCGCCCCCGCCCATCCTGCGCCTCTCAGAGGCGGGCGCGCCGCGGCCGCAGCTGCTGGAGGCCATGCGCCGGCTTCTCCGGCTCCGGGCGCCGAGGCGATGCGGAATACGGGGTGCCAAAAACAAAAAGCTCCCGGAGGGTGCCTTGCACTCAAATTGGGGCCCTGTGTTATCGCAAGATGCTGAACATTCCTCCCGCGTGGCGCAGACGGCATGCAGCAGAGAGAACAGCCGATCTGTGGCAGGGAGGAGCTTCCCCGCATCTATGCTGCGCACGTGGCGCGGTGTTTGCAGCACCTTACCCGCGCCTTGGCCGTTGGTCTCAGAGTCAAGAATGGATCTGATATCTCCTGCCAAGCCCTGTAAGGCAACGACCCGAGCAACCGAAGGTAGTCGGCTTGGAGGAGACCCGATGCGAATGGCCACAGATGCCATGGATGCCTCAGCATGCAGCAGTATGCCCTGTCGTTTCTCAGACTTCGCCCAGCCCACGCATGCCAACGCAGCCGCAAGCCCCCCCCTTGGGACGGGAGACGGCAAGGCCGGAGCACACGTAGTGACTCTGAGAAGCTGAGTAGGTTGAAAGCCGTTCCGACTCGCCACCTTGAATGTCCACATATGGCCACCGGAGCGGGACGACTGCGACGCTGCGCGGAAGAAGCTGAGTGTTCAGGAGCACGGGACGTGCGGGATGATGAGATGTGATGAGCGTGCACATCGACGATGCGGTGCACATCCTAGAGGACACACAGGACGGAGACCTGCGTTAGATCCATCCGGCTGCCACAATTTCAGAGTCAGGAAGTCAGGAAAGAAACGTCCCCAATCACAGCTTTCGACCATTTCGGCCCTGGCTGCCACGCCCAGGGCGTTGCTTTCCTCTCAAGCGCTTTTCAGGAGTCGCTGTCAAGGAGGTCACCGGAAGTCACCGGGACGGCAACGATGGAACTTTGCCTCAACAGCCGTGAGCCTTTGTGAAGCGAACGTCCTCACAACTGCAGATCGGCCGAACTAGTTGAACTCATTTAAGTTGCTCCCGGAGTGTCGATGAAAAGTGGAAAGCAAGCATGTGCATCTGTTGTCACATCTGTTGGTGGCTGCATCATGCTCGTTCAGCTTAGAAGTTGAGCAGCTGATGCTGATGCAACTGATTCAGCTGATGCAGGTGGGGCTCTTTCTCGCGCACATGGGATGCTGTGAACTTAAGCTAGTCCATGATCTTCGAGCCTTTGCAGGCGAAGCGCATGCCCATGAGTCAACGGAGGTTGGGCGTCGGCTCTGATGGGAGCCCTTCTCTGGTTTGCGAACCTCAGGACGCCTGCGCTTTCTTTTTTTGTTTTGTCTTCGTTTCTCTTGACGCCGGCGGGATACTTGTTGAAAAGGGATCACGCTCGGCGTCGAAACTTCTGAGCCGTGTGCTTGAGATGCCAAGCCGCAGGGGCATCTACTCCCTTGACTGGACGAGAGTCCCATGGGCCGTGGGCCCCAGACATGAAGACATGAGATGACTAGAGGGTATCGAGCTTCCAGCGACAGGCTGAAAGCTTACCTCTTCCCAGTGTCGGGCCACAGAAGCCAGAAAGAAGGAAGAGTCCCCTTCGTGGAGTGGAATGAGGAGGGAATGGGGTGGGTTTTCCCCACCAAGGGGGTGCCCCAATCCTAGGAGTTCCGGTCTTGTTCAAGGATTGTACCCTATTCCGGCACGTACCAAAATAGAAACCCCAACTTCGAAGTCATGAAGAGTTCTCAATTCCGCACACCCGAGGTGATGGTGCTTCTCACTGCCTTGAGCTCTGCAGCCACTGGGCTCGGGGTAATGTTGGCCGCTATGTCTTTCGCTTCGATTGTGGGGTTCTGTGGGCTTTCGAGGGTTGGGTGATTCGGGCGTCTTGGGTTGTAGGACCCACTTGTGGCATGGCCCTGAAGCCCGAAAACGGCTAAAGGGTTCGTGAACCGCTGTCTTCTGAGCTTTTCAACTTCCTCATCAAGTTCGGCCTCTCTCGGGAGACGCCGGTGACCACCAGCCTCGGAACGCAAATAGGCCGGGTGGATTTTTTTTATCGCCTTGGGGCAGGGGGAGGGATCCTTGCGACTTTGCGTTCCGCACGACCCTGCTAGGCATTCCCCTGAACTTCTTGCTGGACCTCTTCGTGGTTCACAGCCACTTTCGATGGCCTCAGGCCTACAGAAACCTCCTCTGCTTCTTTGACGCCAAAGGAAAGCATCATAGGTTTTTGTAAACCTGAGATAACTTGAGAAATAACGCTGTTGTCTTGGTGATGACAGGCCGTTGGCGTGCTGACGATGCTGCTAAGCTTCAGCGTTTGGCATCACTCGGAGGCCTGGGCTTGCAGAAAAGTCTCTGAGAAGAACCGTAGTACTGCTTCTGGTAGAACATGGTAGAACTACGGCGGCATCATGGTATGGCTACTTGTTTGTTTACCCTGGACAGTCTTGGGACATGGAACACTTTCCTCAAGGGTACTCAAAGTGCGTTCCATGGACAGGCTCGGGAAGCTGAGGGCCAGAAGCCAGGAGGCCTGTCTTTGCATGCAGAGCATCCCGTTTCCCAGGCTATTTGCCTCATGTGTACGGAATGTTGGCACAACGTAGACACGTCAGTATCGGAATCCGGCAAGAGCTTTGTGAGTTTACCCCTCAAGAAGAGATGGTGCGGACCACAAAGCCTGTGTAGAGATGTATGATGGCAGCTCGAACAGCCGCTACCCCACAAGCAAGGGCAACCTGACTCAGCTCTGCAGGACATGGACCCACCGCCAGGCCGGCCCTTGTGGGAGCCAAGCAGTTGCAATTGCGCGTGCCTCCTGCAACCTCCACTTCAATACCATCGCCCAGATATGTGTCTTACTTGGCCACCTTGGCTGCCAGGCTTCTGAATTAGATTGTGGCGCCAATGACGCCCACAAAGCCTGATACATGGCCCATCACATGTAATTTCTACATGGCATGCCAGCGGCGCCAACGACGCGCACGCAGTTGTGGCTGATGCAGCTGAAAAGAGCTCTGTGGTGCTCCAGTGCTGCAAGGGCTCATGAGTTCTGACACGGTGTCTGTATAGGGGTCAAGATCGAGCTGCAAGAGTTAAAGAGCGTAGGACGTCGATGACGTACGTGAAACATCATGTGACTCGGATTTCGCCGTCGCTTCCTTTTGCTCAAGTTGCTGTTGGATGGAACTTGTCCCTGAGGATGCTTTTCGTCTCTGTGCACTGAAGGACTTCACCATTGGACAACACATGCACAGGAGCCGATCGGAGCAGATTGCTTCACTCCCGTGGATTATGAGCTCTAGCGGCGCACCGCTGGCCCTCACTGCCATGGATGAATCACGCAGTGACAAGGACAAGGAGGAGGCCCTGCAACGACATGTTGTATCCGAGCATCCGTAGAGGGGCAAGAACTGACCATGGGGTCTTTGGTGGATGTGCCATTGGGTGTGCGTGTGAGATAGTTGCAGTACAGCATGTTCGCTATGCAACACCATGCAACACCTATGTCTGCATACTTGTCACTTCTTCTGAGCATCCTTTGAGGCAGACGATGCCTTGACAAGGCAAGACTTTGCCTGCCACAGGGAGTCGCCGAATGGAGCCTAGTGGTATCCATAATTTTAACGCTACGCGACCCGCCTCGGCCCGGCCCAGCGCATCCGCGTGAGCATGGTGATTCCGCAGCGCCCAAGTCGCTGGACCCCAAGCAATAAGGGTTGGGTTGAGGGTTGAGGGTTGAGGGTTCCGGGTTTATGGTTTATGGTTTGGGGTTTGGGGTTGAGGGTTAGTTTAGGGCTCAAGGTTCACGCTTTGGGGTTGAGGGTTCGGCTTGGAGTGATCGTAGGGTGGGCGACTGTTGGGGTGGGGGGGGGAGGGGGGGGGGGGGGGGGGGGGGGGGGGGGGGGGGGGGGGGGGGGTGTGGGTGACGCTTCAACTGCCTCTGGTCCTGGCGAACCGACCCCGGTTTCCCAGGGGGGGTACCCATTTGAGGCCACAGGCTTTGGGTGCGGGGGGAGGATTTGTGAACCTATACACCTCGGCCGTGCTCACACCAGTTGAGCCTCCGGCCCTCAAGCCAGCGCGTCGGAGCAGGAAACTCCGCCTTTCACAAACACCTTATGTGAGCAAGCGCCAAAACCCCCAGCCATTCAATTAAGCAAGGGGTGGACACGAATGCCCAAAACCCTGTAAAACGATGGGAACACTTGAAAAGCGACACCCCTAGGTTATGAACCATTGGGTGTGCCATAGGACACCTACTGGGTCGATGTGGTTTATTAGCCCGCAAGCCCAGAAGATAGCCCAGTCGCTGTGTGCCCTGCGGAATCAGCAAAATTCACATAGTTGGTGCTTACCAGGTTATAGTTCTGTAAGCTTCGCTTGGAACACGAAACGCGAGGGCACGCTAGCAATGAGCATGTGAATATGTGACCGTTTTATATGCTGTAGTTGATGCGCGATACGACTCGAAACGCCAAGGTGCACCTGCGAGGGCGTTGCAATCAGGGTTCAGAGTAGTAGTTAAGTCAGAAGTCCAGGGTGTTTAACAGGCCCCCGGCGTCTTTCAGACCCACAGCCATGTCGCACTCGTAGGTTCGAGTGCATGTTGGCCTTGCCAAGACAGGTCCGAGGCATCGTTCGCGGTATCGTTCGGGTATCGTTCTGACAACAATACAGACACCCCCATCCAAAGCCCATTTCTTCAGGTTACGTTTCAAATCGCAGTTCTGGAAAAATCGCTGTGCCCTGCGGGAAGGCTCTGCGAAATAGGCGTTTTTTCAGCGTCTCAAGCTAGACTCACGTGGCTATCACCGAGAGGTAGCTTCGAAAAGAAGTTCACGGGTGGATTCATGGCAGCGGTACTGTCTTATCGCTGTGCCCTGCGGGAAGACTCCGCAAAACATGCGTTTTTTTATAGGTACATCCTAGTCTTAAGATGCTATCCCCAAGAGGTAGAGAGTTTTTCCTATCATTATCGCATGATTTGGGACTTGTGTGCCCTCGGGATTTCGGTTCTGGGCTATCTTCTTGACATGTTGGGCTACCTTCTGTGCCATGGGGTTGGGCTATCTACAAGGTGATTGGGCCAAGAAACCACGCGCGCTCGTACAAACATCAAGCCTCTTGTTGCGTCCATTAGCACCTCGAGCCCAGCCGCTCATGTGGCTTTTGGGGAGGGACAAAAGGGGGGGGGGATAGGGGGGGGTGTTAGGGGTGGGTCGTTGTGGGGGGGGTGGGGTGAGGGGTGGGATTGGCAAAAAAGGAGGGGGGGGGGGGGGGGTGGGGGGGGGTGGGTGGGGGGGTGGGAGGGGTGTGTGCGGGGGTGTGTGGGGGGGGGGGGGGGGCCTCTGGTCCTGGCGAACCATCCGCTTGCGGACCCTGCTCACCTAGGGGGGGTACCCATTTGAGGCAAAAAAAGGGGTCCGAAAAAGGGCTTTGGGCCTCCTCCGGAGGATTTGGAGGGGGGTGCCTGTTCTGACTACCTATACACCTTCGGCCCGAGGCCTCGGCGGATATGTCTACATCTGTGTCTATTTCCATACTCGTATCTATGTTTGTATCTCTACAAAGAAAAGCCGTCGAGTTAAGGTGGTACTGGGGCGGGGCATCTGCTGTTGAAGTTGCCCTTCAAACTGGAAATGCGACAAAGCTTTAAAGTAGTACCAGATTGCGGTGCAAAGCTTGCATGATGCGTGCCATTGAGATGCAAGATGTTTGGACCAGGCTCCGTTGTTCGATCTTGGAAAAACATTGCAGTTGCAGAGATTTGGATCATTTTGCAAGCCATCGACCACTAGGTCCTGTCACAAGTGGAGAGGTGTTAGCGGCGGACAATGGCACGCCTAGGTGAAACCATGTGTGGACGAAACGGCTCGAGACGTACGAAGATGGTCCGAAAGTGATAGCTGCCTGATAGCTGGCAAGCATCGTTTCGGAATCGCAAGTTCCCGTCATGACCTCGCACACGCTGTGACAAGTGCAGGTTAAACGTCTATTCCGCTCTGCTCCCAACAGCAGCAATTGGCAAGCCCCTTTTTTCCTCCGCTTGCAAGACATGCCACAAAGACATGTGCTTGAACTCCCTGAATGGTGCTGACCCGAGGGTGCCCCCCCCTGTACTGACAGGTGCCTCAACAACTTGCATCGCTGCTGGTTCGAGCTCGGCAGTCAAGCTGAGGCGACTGTTGTGAAGTCACCTGAGTCACCCCATTTTGAAAAATGGTCCTAGCGGCAGCATGCCACCCTAAAGCCCGTACTAGCGCCTCAGCAAACCATTGCTACCCGCTTTGCTGCCTGGTAGCCAGGCACAAGCTCTGATTTTGATGCAGAACCCACAAGCGATCTTAGTTTTGCGCAGCACAAGATTGAATGAAGTAAACTTCAGGCCCCAACGCCGAAACATCTTCCACAGGCCTTGCGCTCCGAGAACCGTGTGCTCAAGGTGCGCCCCCTTGCCATCGCGGCGCAAGAATGCTTGAGACTTGCGCTTAAGAGTTGAGGGCTGCTGAGGGCATATTCGCGAAATAAGGGTTAGGGTTTAGGGTTTAGGGTTTAGGGTTTAGGGTTTAGGGTTTAGGGTTTAGGGTTTAGGGTCGTGGAACACACCGGGATGCGATGGGCTGCTGGAACTCCCCCTTCAGGGCTGTTTTAGGACTTCTGACTCCTGAATGCCAGGCCCAGATCCATGACCTGACGATGCCAAGTCGAGCCACGGCGCAAAATCAAGGGAGACGAAGAAACTGACCTGTCAAGTGGGTTTAGGGTGTCGGGTTTAGGGTTTAGCGTGACAGCTTTGTGAGCCAGTGTGGTGGTCGAGAACTTCGGACGACCCTGTCTGGGGGCTTGCATTTCGTGATTCTCGCATTGGGTGGGCGCATGGGTCCTCGAAATGATGACCTTCTTGGTGCTGCCGCATGCTTCTGATGCTCCTGCCTAGGTGCCGCGCACATATCCGAAAGGTGAAGGGGTGTCCCAGACTTCGCGATCTGCCAGATCACGAGTTCGCCTATAGGTCCCTCGCACATTCTGCATTTGACATCGTGCTCCCAGTTAGGCCGCGTTCACCTTTGGGAGGCGCATTCTTCCTCTGCTTTTTTTTTGGAGTTTGGGGCTCATGGATGTCTTGGCTTCGTGCTTCCCTCTCTTAACATGCATCTGTGGTGTGGCACATGGCTCTCTCCCGCTCCGAAATGCAGAGCTCCTTGTTGCGGTCTTGGGCCCCTGGAGTTTTCTTGGAGTGTTAGGGTTTAGGGTTTAGGGTTTAGGGTTTAGGGTTTAGGGTTTAGGGTTTAGGGGCTCTTGGCGTGGTCTTGGAGTGCTGCTCTCTGGTTGGAGTGCTCAAGGAGTGGCCATTGCATGCTTTTGGAGTCTCGGGGGTGTATGGAACTCTTGTGAAGTAGCTTTAGACCGTTTGGGGGGACGCAGGCAAAAGGACCGTCGTATTTTTGGGTTTATTTCGGGGGCCACCGAGACCCCCATTTTATGGGAAGATGCCTTGCGAGCCGCGTTCCAAGGAGTCTGCACCAAGGACATTTTCGAGTCGGAGGAACAAAGGCAGGAAACATGTTCTCAAAGCCCTCACGGGTTCAGGGTGCTAAAAGGTACCTTAAACCCGACATGCTGAATCCTAGAATCAAGCCCCATCGTGACACCAGGTCTGGCAGCCAAAGCAGGCCTGACAGCAAAAGCGTGCCCGAAGAGCAAGCGCCGGGCACCAAGAGGAAGCCGGGAAAGTTTTGTCTCCTAGATTCCCGAACGGCCCTCGCCCGTCCAGAAGGGCCCTGGAGTACTCAAGTCCTCATCCCTCAGCCCGAAGCCGTCCTCAACTTTGCCTGCGAAACGCTGAGCTCCTTCTCCTTTTGTAAGGCCGATGCTGCCGGGAGCCTTCCCAGAAGACCTCGAGATCGTGGGAGCCAGCGCCAACTTCGAGGTCCGGAGTAGAGGGCACGTTTCGTGTGGTTTTAGGGGATGGTAGGTTATTGGGTTGCTCTTCTGCTGGTTTTTAGGGAGGCCTTTAGGGTTTTGAGGGTTCTTGGGGTTTAGGGTTTCGCAGCACCCGCGGCAGGACTCAAGGGCAGACTCCAGCAAGACCCTGACGCTGGATACGCTGGATACGCGAGTTCCAAGTCCCAAACCAAGGCGTCGAGTGCAGGCACCTCGCGTCAAAGGAGGGTTTTCAAAATTTCGGTGTTCGTTCAGCACACTGATGTAGCCCTTTGCGGGCCTTGGGCAAGCAGATGCGTGTCCCTGCCCACTCGGTGAGTGGAGCACAAAGAGCACATGAGGCCGTATGCCTGCAGGCAAGCAACGACGCCCAAGAGGCGTAGCCAGAACGAGGAACATAGTCAACCGGGAGGGAGCGAATGCAAGCCTGTGCGATCCTCCGGCTCAAGTCGATGAAGCTCCCTTAAGAGCCCTGTCATCAGGCACGCGCCAAAACATCGTGTTGCTCCTTTGGCATCCCCTCCACCCCCTCGGCCCCCTCGCCCGTACAAACTGCGGACCGCGCTGGGTGCCTCCCTAGAGGGGAAGCTGGGCAAGCTTGACGTTTAAGGGGGCCTACTCAAATCTGACCAGCCATGACTGATTACGAGGATCATATATAATCATCCGATATCTTCAGAACCAATTTTCCGAGTCATGTTGGAAAGACAGGTCCCAGGCGCAACGAAGCATTTTCAGGAGCTGCAAGGACAGCCAACCCCGAACTCACCCAAAGAAATGCGAGCCCTATATTGGACACGCCAGTTTCCGTGTAACCGGAAGGCAGCGGAAGGCATCTGTTGACCCTGCTGTGGTGTTCTGTCCAGGGGTTCACGTTCACCGGGGATGTAGAGGTTGCCCTCTGTCAGCGATGCCTGAGAGGGTATGTGCTAGTGTTCGAGGGGGTCTTCCAGAGAGCTTCAGCCGCCTGGGCCGAAGGTAAAGGCGGCCCGAGAGAGCCTACGAGCACGGACCTTCGGGCTGCTTGGCCGCGGGCACACCTCTTGAATCCTCTTTTCATGGGGATTGACATTGAGTATGATCTCCCTTTCTTGGAGACCAGAAGCCCGCCTCCCCACCCCCTGATGGAGTGAGACGCAAGTTTCTCACACCTCAAGGGGCACTTTCAGTTCTCCAAGGCTTAGTGATTTCCATGTGTCTCCAGCATCTTGCCCCAGGCTAAAGGAGTCCGTGAACGTCTCGCTTTCCGCAGCCCGTCTCGGCATGCTGACGCAGCGGGAGATTCTGATGGAAGAGTTGGAATCCCAGGCTGCGATCGAACCCGAAGTGCCCAGCATGTTGCAGCTAAAAATCCTAGACCCTAAGATTTTCTTGGGGAGACCCCTGGAGGCCAGCATGCGCCGAATGATGTCGGCCTTTGTGCCTGCTGGAGAGTTCGAGTCTCGCCGCCACAACGTCCTGCAAGCGATCTCCAGGCCCAGCTTTCAGAAGAAAATTGGTTGGCACCCTTGCACCACCGTTTGTCTCCCAGTCGCCCATCCGAATCAGGCACATTGTTTTCAAAATTCTGGTGATGGTTGCCCCTTGGCTGCATCCTGTGCAGCGGCAGGGAGCCTGCAGAACCCGAGACCCTGCGAGATTCAGGCCATCCTCGCCAACTCGTGCTACCTGGGCTATGACGCTGACCTCCAGGTCGGGACCCAAAACCACCTCCCCCCCATCAAAAAACTCCAGCAGCTATGTAGAAAACCCACAGACCCTGCGCCAGGTTCGGAACAGTTTCCGGCGGATCCAGAGCCAAGACACCGCGGCCTTGCTACCGGCGGCGGACGTCGTGTTTCCGGCTCCTCAGCGAGCTTTGTGTCAAGAGGGATACCGCGACAAAGAGACGTGATGCTCCTGCATCCCCTTTGATGTACAAGACCAGCGTGACATGCGCCGGGTAAGGTCATTTTTGTCGTCGAGCTGTTTATTCGACTTGGCGCAGAACGGCGCAGTTTCTTCGAGGGCGAGGAGAAGTGGTGGAGACATTGCTGCGCATATGTTGCTGCATTCTGCCGTGCAAAACCCCTTCAGAAATTGTCTCGGGGTTTTCAACTGCCTCCGTGTGAGCCAGATTCTACTCTAGAGGTGTGCAAATTCCCTTTGCTGCTGGCTGAGGAACATCTTTGACATTGTCAGATCCTGAGCTACCTAAAAGGTGACGATCTGTCCTCCAAGCCATAGGAAGCTGCAGAACAAGGGCATGAGGCTAGAACCGGAGGCACCCTGATTTTTTATATGGGAGTTGAGGGGCCATTCTGCTCGCTCGCTCGCTCTCTCTCTCTCTCTCTCTCTCTCTCTCTCTCTCTTTCTTTGCTCTTGAAGAAAACCCCGGCTTTAGAGGGCATTGGATGTGCCTACTACTATAACTACTACACTTGCTTTAATTTCTACGAATAGTATAACTGCTACTGTCTTGTGGAGGTCCTGGTGCTGAACTCCGGCCTGGAGAGCTTCACCACCTTTGCCAACTTCAGCTTCCTGCGGATCCTCCGCGTTTTCCGTGCCGCGGCCGAGTTGGCCCCTCTGAACTTCTCGGGTTTAGGGTTTAGGGTTTAGGGTTTAGGGTTTAGGGTTTAGGGTTTAGGGTTTAGGTGTTGCCGTGGCAGGCTGTAGCGGGAACATGGGGGCGCAGCACGGAGAAGCACGCTGCTTCGACCTGAGGACTCGTGCGCCTGGTCCGGGTCGTACGGAATGTGAAGATCCTTGGGCAGCAAGTGCCCAGAAGGAGGCAATCTTTGGTAGATGTTCGTAGGTCGTAGGTCTTTGTCAAAGCGGAGCAAGCTGGTCCCTCAACGGAGCCTGCGACAGCTTCAGGAGTCTCAAGTCACTGCGGACGATGATCTTCGCGTTGATCAACTCCTTTGTGTCCCTGCTCTGGGCTTTCGACCCTCGCATGGAAAGTTCGAGCAGGGCTGTGCAGCCTTGGGAGTTTCGAGTTGGCTGGTTGGCGAGTTTCAGCAGATTGATTCGCATTGATTCGCCAGTGCCAGCACAATGAAGCCTTCCTCCCGACCCATCCTTGACTATTGAGAGCCCCCCGCTTGCAAGCGGGGCTCTTAAGCAAAGAGGCAGTGGCCAGCTGGAGCCTGGACCCATAAGAAACCATCAGATCCACTTTCCACTTTGAGAGCACTGGAAATTCAGTAGCCCCGCGCTCAAGGCGATGATCTGCCTGATCATCTTCATCTTCAGCATCCTCTTCTGCAATGGTGCCGGCTCCTCACGAAAAAACCGAAATCTCCTAAAAAATTCAAAAGGTCTCACGCCATTCTGTTTCCAAGGTTGCCGCTCATAACAACACGCTTTCAGTCGAGTTGGACAGCCACGGCAACGTCACGACCTCTGAAAGCTACGCCATGGTGCAAGAGGCCAGGGGGGTGGGCAAAGGCCTTCTTTTGCAAACTCAGAAGCCAGGAGTCTCTTTCTTGTCTTCATGAACCTCTCATGTCGCGTTTGCACATGAGCGGTGCTCTACAAGGCCCTCTTGGCTCTCGACCACTTCGGTGGGCTGTGGCCAACGTGCATCAGCCTCTTCAGCCATGGACCTCAGTCGGGAGTCCATAGACGCCGGAAGCCTCACGTCAAGACATGTCTCACCTTGGGGGTTCGTACAGTAACGTTGGCAGCTCTCTCTCTCTCTCTCTCTCTCTCTCTCTCTGCTGTCCCAGAGCACGTGATCTCAGCGTGGGTTTTGGAGGAGAGTCTTGGCTGCGGTCCACCCTTTGTCTCGTGTCTGGCAGGTGCTGTGACAGGCGGCAATGATTGGATGATGTATGGGGAGATGCTGAGGCGGGGTTGGATTTCGTAGTGTGGTCTCAGAGGTCTACGATCTCCTGTCGAAGCCTCGCATGAAAGCCCCGAGGAGACTGCGGGCTGACGAGGGGGACTTCACTGGAGAGCTGTATTTCATGGTCTTCGGCTTTTACGCTTCTCGGCTCTCTAGTGGTGACGTTGCCTGGGCGAGTCGGCCGGTTCAGCTCTCCAGCAGTCGTCACGGTGTCGTAGCCTTCAAGCCCAGGTGGCTTTCTGCATGATCGGCCTCCTGAATGCTGCTGCCACAGCTGTTTCATGCTTGCTGATGCCTTCTTCAGCAAGTTTTGGCATGTGCACCTCGTCAGGTGGTCACCGGTATCTTTGTGGACAGCGCCGTGTCCACTCGAACCGAGGATGAGGTTGTTGATGCCTTCACAGTCCCTCGGACAGGATTCAGCAGGCACTGGTGAGGTTGGGTCTGGCAGGCTTTCTGGTAGACCTGGTAGACGTGTAGCCAAGAGTTGGGTCATTGTGGAGGAACTACTAAACGCTTGCCAGAGCATTCGAGCTGTGCTTGCATCTGTCATTGGGCCCCACAGTCAATGACAGCTGCGTATTGGCAGCCGAAGTGGACATCCTCGACACAGCCTTGTGCCTTGTGGCGTTTCGCGTACCAAGGAAACAATGGCTTCGCGATGTCGCGAAGTTCGGCGCATCTTCAACGAGGCACCTTTGGGACAGTTTTCTCGTGTCTTCTCCGCGTTGTCGCTCAAATTGCCTAGGCGAGTGCTTGCACTGCACCGCCGGTAGGATAATAGCGGGCAGTGCTGCCAGGCAGATGTCGAAGGCAAGGGGGCTCTCACCTACGAGCAGCTCAAGGACGTCCCCGCCTAGCACTCTCTCTCTCTCTCTGCCTGTGCTTGTGCTTGTGCTTGTGCTTGTGCTTGTGCTTGTGCTTGTGCTTGTGCTTGTGCTTGTGCTTGTGCTTGTGCTTGTGCCTTGCTTGTGCTTGTGCTCGTGCCTGCGCTTGGGCTTGGGCTTGTGTTTTTTTTTTGATGTGTGTGTGTGTGTGTGTGTCTCCGTTTGTGTTTTCTGCTCTGGCTCATGGGCATAAGGAAGTCACGCCCAGACACTACGCATGGTCGCTTGCCTGCCTTCTCCTGTGCCTTGTTGGTGGGTGGAAATGTTTCTTGCTGTGTGCTCGCAAATAGTTCGCAAATCTACCCACAAAGATCAAAAAGTTCCAGCAGTTGCCACAGCATGCACGTTTGTAGCAATACGCTTACCTGTGTACCGACAGTTCGTCAGCAGCGTTCCAGATCCGTGCACCCGGGTGGTCAGAGGTTGTTCAGAAAATCTGCTTGTATGTGTGTGATTCTTTCACACCTTTGCCGCGCGCGCGCGCGCGGGTGGGTGGGTGGGTGGGTGGGTGGGTGGGTGGGTGGGTGGGCGGGTGTGTGTGTGTGTGTGTGTGTGTGTGTTTTTTTTTTGTCTTTTTCTTTTGTGTGTGTGTGGGTACTCAGAAAGTTCCGCTACTTGCAGGACCAATTGAGCAACCCCTGGGTGAAGGTGGAGACCCTTGCTGTTTGCTGTTGAAAATTTGAATGACGCCTGACTTCGAGGGCATGCGCATCACCCACTGGCAGCCGCACTTGTATGTATATATATATATATGGGGGTTTCGCGATTTTAAGGGGTACCTTCTTGGGGTCCTCATTATCAGGGGATCCTACTATGTATGGGGTCTACATTAGGGTCCCCTTATGCTCGCAAACGCCTTGAGTCAGGAATCAAGGGGTCCCGGTGTGTCGGGCTCCTCATGTCGTAAAACGCTTTCGGCACAACCCAACCTGACAATGCAGGCGTATTTCCATGGACTGGACATCGATCCCAACGAGGCCGGGGGCATGGCCATCGAAGAGCCCAGCACATGGGGGCTCAAAATTATGGTCCCTTTTGTGGGTCTCCCTGATGGTCCCTTTTTTGGGGTCTCCAAGATGGTTGTAGCTATATTCCTTCCAGCCCAGGGTACGAAAAAGGGCCCGAATGGTTAGATCACCCCCCTCCCCACCCCCCCCACGTGCCTGAGCCAAGCCGTCGCAACCTCGAAGGCAGCGATCATATTCACCCTGATGGCGGCGACCTCGGAACTGGTGCAGGGGCCTTCTGCCGTGTCTACTCCCCCAGCTCCGACTTGCTCCACTTGTGAGGGAGTAAGATCAGGCATAATAGGTACAGTCGTTCCAGGTCTTGTATTGAGGCGCGTGCGTCATGTTCGTCGTTGCACCTAGGATACCGACCACAACGGAACCGAACCTTGGCAGCAAGGATGTCAAGGATCTGGGCGTGGATTCGGAGAGTACAGCCATTTTGCTCGGCCGGGATTGCGAATTTGCTGCAGGCTCAACTCAGCCCGAGGCCCTTGCTGAATTTCTCGTTGCCGAACGAACTGATAGGACACTTTGTGACACTTTTCGTAGGCTTTTGACATGGAGCCCCTCCGCCCCCTCCTGCGGCTGCTTCTGCCGGCGCCTTTCCTCGGCCCTCGAAGGGAGAGCATTGCGGGGGGGCTCCTCATGCCGAGCGAGGTTTGGGGCATGATGGGCATGCGCTCCAAGCACCCGGTCGTCTGGCCGATGGCTCCTGCGTGGGCGTGTGTGCTGGGCACAACTTATGCTCCTTCGCCGCCTAGCGCCTGCGCCTTCTCCACGGGAAAGGTCTTTCAAATTTACAAATTGACTTGCTGCAAATCGCAGCAAGCACCTCGAAGTGCTTGCATCGAGGGCTTTGCTGCAGCGCTCAACGGCCTCATTGTGATTTGTTCCCGGGCTGCTGAGCGCCTTAGTGAGCGCATTGGCTTCCCTGTTCGAGCTCCTATAGCTCCTCCCCCGTCTCCCGAAAGGATCCCGCTCGCATCTTTGTTAACATAGGAGCGAGGCCACCCAAGTTCGCGCGGTGGGAAGGTTGGCGCCGACTTGGCGCAGGTGCGGAAGCGGGGGAATTCCGTGTTGGTGGTCGCGTTCGACTCTCAAAAAAAGATGCTATTGAACATAAATCAAGGTGGACTCGAGCCTTGCATCGCGGCAAAGGTTTTCAAAACTGGGCAATGTTCCGCAAGACTCACGCGACCTGGGCACTGAACTCACTCTCAGGTAACTGCAGATGAGTTTATTGATGGCACCATGAAGCTCAAGGGCTCTGCCAAGAGCTCCCCGGCTTTGTTCGGGCACCAGTGGCAAGTTCACTTCGGTTGTTCTTGACCGCCTGAAATGCCCTCACCCCAAATCTCTTCCAGCCTTAGCCGCTGAGCTCAGCAAAGAGCATTTTTTGTCTCATGTCCGCTTTCGGCCCCCCGAGGTGTGGACATGCTTCTGCTCATGCCACTGTCCTGCAGCTGGGAAGAGGGTGTAGGGACTGATGGACCAATATGGCCCCAACTCCCAAAACCCCCCTAAACTTAAAAAACCCCTGAAGTCCTGCAGGTCCTCTAAGAGACCTAAACCCCTTTGGCCATGAGGTTCGACCAGGTCCGGCCTCTTACCTGCAACTGGGGGTGCTTTGCAGGTCGATGATGGCACAGGCTTAGTGTCACCATGCTCTTGCATGCGTTTACGAGCTTGGCTCTTCCCGTTTCCTGGCTGGCTCCGCCCTCAAAAGCGGGTGTAGTTCTGTCTGCTTCTTTCCTCCCTCTAAGTAGGCAAGGGTGTGCTTACCTTTCAGATGGTCCCTGGCTAGACTCCGAGTGGCCAGATATTCTTGCATGTGCGGGAAGTCATATATATATATATATACATGTATATAATATTTACTGAAATACATGTATATATATATATATATATATATTTATATGTACTTTCATGTGCAATACATAGTGCAGCACATTCGATGAAGAACGCGCTGATGTTTGGGCACGATTTGAAAACAGTGCAGTGGCCACTAGGGCCATATGTTCCAGCCCCCAACCCCGAACTTTGAACTGGGAGTCCTAAACCCTTCAACTTGCAACACGAGCGTGGGACGTCCGTGGGGTTCTGTACGGCAGGGCTGAAGGCGCGCTTTTTGTTCAGATGCGGTTTTTTGAGGAAGATGCTTTTCAGCTTGAGGCTGTGTGGTAGCTTCGCCGAGGTTTACCACCAAGTTTAACTTCCTGTGCTCCTTCATTGAGGCGCTTTGCATTCAATCGGGCCTGGGTCGATGCAGCAATACTTGGATGGAAACATATACAAAATGATGTAACATATCTATAAATATTAAAAAACTTTGCCCACATTGTGCCCACATTGTGCCCTGGGTTCTTCAATAGCCAAGCTCTATGCTGATCAGCTCATGCCAGCAGATCATTCGCCGTACTTTCGAGATGCCCAGCTATGTACAACAGACATCTCTCTTACGAAGAACATAGAACCGTAAATATAAATATAAATATAAATAAATAAATAAGTAAATAAATAAATAAATATAAATATAAATAAATAAATAAATAAATATATATATATATATATACATATATTTATCCGTATATATATATATTTCTATGATACATATATTTGTGCATTATATATATATGTATATCTACATATATATATATATGTAATTACATATGCGGCACAGCGTCAGAGTCGCAGGGTTCAAGATTTCCCGCTGCTGAGGACGAGCTGCGAGGCATCAAGTCGGTGCTTACCCCAGGCCTCGTCAGCATGACTTCTGAAGGTTCAAAGGGGGACACGTAGAATACATACAAAGGAAGAGATCTATATGTCTGGGCGCGAATAGCAGCTTGAAGAAAATTGTCGGAGACTCTTACTGATGGTGATCGGGCACTTGGTACATCATTCTCCCAAAGCAAAAAGCTTCAGGAGGAGTTGCAAAATGTGTAAGCTACATGTTTGGACAGGGGGTGCAAGCAAAAGCGTGCCGGCAAAGATCTTCAAGGCACCAGACGGCACAGCATCTTGGCGGCAGTGTCGGCTTGTCTGGGCCTGTGCTTTGTTTGGTGGTTCGGGTCAGAAGATTCGGGGGTGCCTTATTGGGGCCCTTATAAGGGTATCCTACTATTTGGGGGTCTATATTAGGGGTCCACGTTTGACAGTGGGCTGAAACAGATGCTTGCAAGCTGAGCTGATCTGCTAATGCATTCAGTCCTGTTTGAGATCTTGACTGGCTTGAACGCCTCCCGCCAGTCCTCAGAGACAGATTGTATGGGGATTAGCTACTAAAAGATTCTCGCTGCCCCTAATAGCATGGTTGTCATGGCCTCTTGTTTTCGTTTCTGCGATGCTAGGACCTGCTAGGAAATATAGTCAGCCCGGGAATCTAGGAACAGCTACTCCTCCAGTTTTTGTATGGGACTTGCTCAGCAGCCTGTTGTAGCTGCGGCGTGCGTCGCCAGAATGACGCCTTGTGCTGCTGATGAGCCTTCTACAGCCCCGAAGCCACAGTGCAATGGTGCTGATTACATGGGCCTCAGCTCGCCAGAGAAGCTGAATCAGAGTCCGGGCTACACGCAGTCATTAGCAAAGTGGACGATTGTCAAGGAGGGTGAGCAATACTTTGTGGAGAGTGTCAACGACCGCAATGTGAGATTCAGGGCTCCGGATGGTAGCAATTTCGTTGAAGGCGTGGTCCATCCCCCGTTCGTGAAGCAGAAGACATGGGAGGTTCTGCGCCAAAGCATGAAGCATCAGACGTCAGATGTCTGGGTAGCGACATTTCCAAAATGTGGCACAACCCTCATGGAGCAGATCGTTCTGCTTTTGTTGAAGGAAGGTGATCCCAGCCTTCTAGACCCCCACAGCAAGAACACCTTCAACCAGGAGACAGGCGTTGGCAAGGTTTGGCCAGAGCAAAGTTTGTCAGTGGGAATTGATCAGTGGGTAATGAATGGCAAGGGCAAAGGAAAAGCCGAAGGCAAAGCTGGAGGCAAAGAAGAAGGTAAAGCTGAAGGCAATTCCGGAGGCAAAGCAGAGGGCAAATCCAAGGGACAATCCAAAGGTAAAAAGATGCCCCTGGAGGAGTTCAACAATCTTGAAGGACTCCGCCTGCTGAAAACTCACGCTCCCAGGCACATGTTCTTGGCCAGCAAGGCTTCAGAGCCTCCCTCATTTTCTGCGACTGGCAGGCCAGACCCTTTGAGAAAGGGGACGCGGGTGATCTATGTCTCTCGCAATGCGCAGGATGCCTGCGTTTCAGCATACTACCATGCTGCGAACCCTCAAAAGCTAGGCTTTCCTTTCGATGCATGGGTGAAGCTTTGGACTGCGGGCCTCTTCGAATCCGGGCGCTGGAGCGACCATGTGGCAGGATGGCGAGCCGAGGCACTTTCGAACCCGAAGCAAGTTCTTTGGGTCCGTTATGAAGATTTGTTGTCGCAGCCTGAGACCGAGATCCGGCGTGTGGCACGTTTTCTGGGACTGAGCCCTTCACAGCAGACCATCGCAGCCACCGTGCATCATAGCAGTTTCACACAGATGAAGGCGCAGGCAGGCGGTGCTGCTCACATGCGAAAGGGTGAGGTTGGGGATTCTGCGCGCCACTTCTCATCGGAATTGCTGCAAGAATTCGATGAGCTTCACGAGGAGCTTATGAGGGGGGTAGATGATCCGTATGCTGATGCCACACCAGACAGAGATAGTGCTGCTAAGTCTCGTCGCCTGATGTGAGGGCGCTTGGCTCTCGCATCTTGAGGATTCACGCAGAGTCCCATGCAGCTGCTCTGCGGAGTCCATCTAGAGTACATCGTTTGCTTTGGATCCTCGGTTCTGCCAACAAGCTCCAGCTTTGTGATTGCGGCTTGTACAGACTAAAAAGCGCGTCATGACGTACTGCATCATGTGCAAGACCATTGGGCAAGAGACGCTAGCTCTTGCGGGCTAAGACAGCGTAGGAAAGTTTGACGGGGGGGTGGAGATCTTAACGGGTTTGTTTGGAAGGGTGGGAGGGTAGTATTGTGATGGCATGACGGAATGTTAATTGTATTGGTACAAGATTGTTCCCGAATGCGCAGCAGAAGGGTTCTCGTTTTAAGGTTGGGGGTCTGGTGGGTCAGGGAATTGACGCGAAATGCGTGCGCAGCGTTCGCAAGCGTCCGCAAGCGTCCGCAAGCGTTCGCAAGCGTCGGCGAGCGTTCGCCAGTGTCAGATTTCGCGCTGTGAAGGGGGAACTCTACAGGACGCGCGTCCCCACGGCGTTCCGAATCAGTCAAGCTAAGGGGGAACTCCACAGGTCGTGCGTCCCCATGGCGTTCCGAATCCGTTCAGCTAAGGGGAAACTCCACAGGTCGCATCGTTCCGCGGCGCTCCGAATCCGTCAGGCAAAGGGGGAACTCCACAGACGCCCCTCCATGTGAAGTTTGTGGGCCGGGTCTCAAGGTGATCCAAAAAAGGAAAACTCAGTCGGTATCTCGTCTGCCGCATCCTGGGTGCCGTGCTCTGGGGCAAACGCGCGAGCTTATGTGGCTCAGATGTCAGCTTGTGTATGGCATCTTGCATCGTAATGGGGGCAAGATCTTCAGTTGGGGGACCTGTGAACTCATGACTATTTTATTAGTTATACGTCCTTGTTTCCGCAAGCATCTGTTGTACGCCATGGCGTCAGATGGCTTGCGGAAGTCGTGTAGAAAAATGCATGCGTTTATTTCGAGCCACGGTCGCCTGCTGGTCCCGAGCGCGTTTTGCCGCTTAGCAAACTATGTTTCACGGCAACCAAGTACCGAGTGCTCCTCTCGAGTGCTGATTTGCTGACGCGAAATGGCTTTATCATGTGCAGTCAAGTAGGATTATGTGAGCCTGGTGGGGCTTAGGGTTTAGGGTTTTATGTTTGCGGTTTAGGGCGGCTTAGGCTTTACCCGCGGCGTACGAGTCTCTACCCCCTACCCTCTACCCCTCCTACCACCCCTTTGAAGACCTCTTCAGAGCATTCTAAACACGGGTCCAATGCCACATGTGAGATGCAGCAACAGCAACATTGACACATCTTCTGCATCTCGCATCTACACAGATAGATGTTTGGAAAGCACTGTCTCGCACATTTTGTACACAGATCACAGATGCTGTGGTCTACCTCTGAAAAGGTCGTCTGCCTCTGACACTAACTTCCCATCCATGCCCATAGCGTCTTGATTCTTTTCGACTCGTGCCCAAATGTATACATCATGGACCTGACTTGCACTTGACGCCGCTTCAAACACCAGCAAAGCCGGCGACTATCCAAGCTGGACCAAATCCTCCTGGCGGCCTCTTCCGGCCCAACAAACTTGGGCATCCAGATGCAGAAATTCTTCAGTCGGACTGATGGCTCCCGAGTTCAAACCATGAGCCAAGTCTTCAAGCCTTCCGCCATCTTGAAAATGATTGGACAACGTCATTTGCGAGTACCGCACGGAGTCGACCCGAAACCAGCACCCATCTCTGTCGGGTGGCAACGGCTGCTGCATCAGTGACTCCTCTGTGCCGCCGCTGAAACCCTGCAGGAAGATTTCCGTATCTCCCCCCCCTTTGCTGTCGCAAATCTTGACAGCGCCACTGGTGCTGCCATGGCATGCCCGCCCTCACCAATGTACATGAGCCACTGCTCACCTATTCTCACCCTCACAAAACCAGCGGTTAGTCAACCAGAAATGGCAGTCATCGGTGTGAGCCTTGACCCACATGGCTGAATGCCACCTGGGTGTGACACAATCCTCGGCCAAGGGTTTGTTAAGCATACGCCTCTCCATGTGAAGTTTGCGGGCCGGGTCTCGCGATGTACTTTACCGCATAAATAATCGTGCGGGTATCGAGCGCGCAACTGCATTCGGGCTCGTGGCTCCTATCAGGTTTTGATTCCCTTGGGCTGTTTTACAATTTTTGGCAGGAGTTCTTTCATCCCACACTTTTCAGAGGCATAGCAGTAGCATCCCCCATTCCCTACTCTGAAGCAGCCAAAAGCTCTGCGTTATTAAGGCCTCCAAGGGAGACATGGAGTTCGTGGACTTGCTTGAGCCGGATTCGCAAAGGTGAGTGCCAAGTCATTGGATGCTTTATAAAGCACACGTGCCCTGAGATTCACCCTTGGGTTCTGGGATGTAGTTCTGCTCTGAAGCTTTAGGACTTCTTCAGCTTGAGAAGATCAGGACAAATACCAGTTTTATATTGCCGGCCTGGCGCCGTCTGCTCCAAATGGAGAGTACGGCATCCGAGGCCTCTTTTGAGATCTCACGGCGGCCCTGCCAAATGGCATGGCCTGCTTCATTTGCAAATGCCAAAGCTTTTAGGGCCATCCTGGTAATGGTCATCATCCCCTCGTCCCTGTCAGTATGTGAGACATGTGCCAACATGTGCCAACCTGTGCCAACCTGTGCCCAGACACACCCCCCCCGCCCCCCGCTACAAGAACTCCGCGTAAGACGTGAGCACCATCCCAAATCCCGGAACACTCAAGGGTTAGCTTTTCTGGTTCAGCCCGAGAAAAGGAGCGCCGGCAGGAAGCGCAGCCTTTTGCCGTGGGTTTGGGCAGCTCCGACGCTCCGGGGCTCCGGACAGCTCCATGATGTTCCCAGCTTGGCTCACAGATGCAAAGTCCGAAGCCACAGTGGTGCACGTGACATGAAGGCAGACCCCCCCCCAAAAAAAAAAAAAAAAAAACAAAAAATCGATTCCCAGCCGACTCGTTGCAGCTCTCCATCCCCGCAACCGGCCATCCCTCTACGACCCAATGGCATGCGCTGCGTGTTAAGCCCGGCTGCGCTCGCCTAGGGCCTGAGGCTTGCCGGTGGCTGCGTGCAGCTCCGATGCCTCTTTGCTCTTTCTCGGTGGAGCTGCTCCGCAAGATTCTGGCCGGAAATCAGTAAACTAATGAAACTAGCTAAACTAATCAAACTAATTAAACTCATTAAACTAATTAAACTCATTAAAATTAATGAAACTAATTAAATTAATTTTAACGCTACGCGACCCGCCTCGGCCCGGCCCAGCGCATCCGCGTGAGCATGGTGATTCCGCAGCGCCCAAGTTGCTGGGCCCCAAGCAATAAGGGTTGGGTTTAGGGTTTAGGGTTTAGGGTTCCGGGTTTATGGTTTATGGTTTGGGGTTTAGGGTTGAGGGTTAGTTTAGGATTGAGGGCTTAGGGCTCAAGGTTCACGCTTTGGGGTTTAGGGTTTTTTGGGTGTGGGGTTCAGGAATCGTAGGGTGGAGCCAGCGGAGGCGGTGGGGAGGGGGGGGGGGGGAGGGGGGGAGGGGGGGAGGGGGGCGTCAGGGGGAAAAAGGGGGGGCCCCTGCTGGGAAGGGCTGCAACTGCCTCTGGTCCTGGCGAACCATCCGCTGGCGGCCCCTGCTCTCCTACCCATTTTTGGCAAAAAAAGGGGTCCGAAAAGTGGTTTTGGGTCTGGGGGGAGGATTTGGAGGGGGGTGCCTGTTCTGACAACCTATACACCTTCGGCCCGAGGCCTCGGCGGATTAGATTTCTTAGTTCCCTTCGGCAGGCTGCTGGCAGGCATCTCCGACATGTGGCCGGTAGCAGCGGCCCTGGGCCAAGGAGGTCTGAAAGCGAGCTCTAAACCGCGTAACCGCGCACCCTAGGCCCTAAAGCCCCAATTTCTGCACATTCAAAGGGAACATGAGTCTGAATATCAAGAAATACGAATAGCACAAGATGAGAATGCCAAACCCTAACATCATGCATCAGGTGTATAAACCCTGCGGAGATGAGGCCTGGCTGCTATGCAGCGTGCTGGCGGAAGCAGCCACGGAGGCTCCCGGGCAGTCCTGTGTTTTGTGGACCTTTGGCCTTTCGGAACTACGGGTGCTGTGACTTCAGTCAGCCCAAAAGGGGGTTTACGAAAGAAGGGGGGGGCCCCCTAGAATAGACGCCCCCGAATAGTAGGGCGAGGATCCCAGAGAGTGAAGTTACCAATCAGGCTACGAGGGCGACAAGTCTAGAGGTAAAGATGGCCATGAACCAGAATGGACAAGTCCCGATGATGGGCAAGCTACAGCTTCCAATTGAGTCTTGGGGGAGTGGTTGACTTTCATTTGACAATCCTGGAGCTGGCCCGAAGTCTAGAACTGTTGCGTGGAAGGGAAACCCAGTGCGGGAACAATCTAGGCAGGAGGGGCAGGAGGGGGTGGGGGCTGGTTTCCCCCCCAAAAACGGACAACTTGCCCAAGTGCAGCCTGAAGGATTGCCCTTCAGACGCGTTGGCACCCGCATCGTCTTCTTGACCTCACGCCATCTCACGCGCAGGAATCTTCGGAAACAACGGGAGTCAATTTGGGTATTGCTGTGGCCTGGCCGCAAGACACCCATGAGTTTTTTGAAGGCCTTCATGGCTTGGCGTTGCAAGCTCTACAGCAAGCTCTACAGTGTGGCACACGCATGCACCGAGATCATGCTCCTGGGTAGCATCGGCTTCATGATGGGCATCTTCTACTTAGCCGGCGGCTTGGTAGTAGCTGGGGACGATCTTCGCCCACTGCCAACATGTGCAGCAACCGGGTTTGGGGTGTATGCACCGCACGACATGCCATGCGAGAGGGACGCATGGATTCCCGACTGCTGCGGCCTCAAAGTGCGGCTGCCTCAGGTCAACCATGAGGACAAGCAGATGCAGATATGCACTTGGAAGGTGCCTCTCTGTCTATGTATAGTATATATATATATAGAGATATATGATATATGCAATATGTATGTATCGTTTTCTGCATCTTTGCATCCTTTGTGTTGCGCAGCCCTTCGGTATGAGATCTGGCATAGAGTGGGGGTCTGCCAGGTCATTTGTGCCACCATTTCCATTTTTGTGTCCGTCTTGATCTACCAGGCCGTGGAGGGCAGAAGAGTGGGCTGTGCTCGATTCACGTTTCAGATAAGCCCCCCTAAATCCCCAATGCCCCAAAATGCCCCCCCAAAATGCCCCAAAAATGGCCCCCCAAAATGCCCCCCAAAATGCCCCAAAAATGCCCCCCAAAATGCCCCCCAAAATGCCCTAAACGCTGCTCCTTCTTTTAGGCAGTCAACGATGTCGTCAAGGCGATATTTCTCCGAGGCTCCTCCCCGTTCGAGGAGATACAGGCGGGCCGGGTTTCTTCCAGTCTTGAATAATAACTGCAGTAACTAAGGGTTTAGGGTTTAGATCTTAGGGTTTAGGGTTTAGGGTTTAGGGTTTAGGGTTTAGTTATACTCTTTAGTAAAAGGAAGTACGCCAAAGCCAGGGAAAGCTCCGGACAAGCATTGGCAGGCCCCAGTGGCATGCAAGCCGAAAGCTGCATTGCTAAAGGATTTTAGCAGAAAGTAGCTCGGTTTATTCGGGCCTTCCGTCTTCAGCGGCTCAGAACTCAACATGTTATTCAAGTAGGGCTTGTCTTCATTTCCTCAATGTCGGGTGGCAACAAAACTTCGGGCTCGTGTTTTTTGTATGGGGGGTAGGCACAATATGAAGCATGGATGCAGCCGGGGTGCTCGAACGACACTTTTGTCCATCATCAGTCTTCGATTTTCGAGCAGCAGACACCCATCCCGGGGCTCCCGGGGCTCCCGGGGCTTTGATCAGGTATCGTTTGCACACAGCCTGGTCTGGTTTTTCACTCTACAAGTCTTTTTGGCGACAGTGCCGGCGGCTGAGCAATGCGGCAAAAGCCAGAGATACAGCAAAGTTCATGATATGCGTCTCAGGTCAGCGGCCATTACATGGCCGTGGTGTGGGAAACCAGATCGGTCTGAGGCCAGTGGGGTGAGATGCATGTCCGTCGTTGGCATTGTCCACAATGTCAAAGAACGCAAAGAAGGGACTTGCGATGACAATTTTCGGCACACCTCTCTTGTCTTCATGACAAGCATGTCCACGCTTGGGCGGCGCTTGTGGCGGCACCCCCTCTCCATAGCTTCAGGAGGCTGACTCCAAGCGTGCGTTGGACTTGAAGTGCTGGGCCGTGATCCTGGGCGCGGCTCTGAGGTGTAGCACCGATGTGGCCTGCGACAGCAAGGGAGATGTAGCATCCGTTAGCATCCCTCAGGCCACATCACCGGCTTCGCCTTCATCAGTGCCTGGCTCGGGCCCCGAGAATCCAGTGAGGGTGCTATGAAGTGCCTCTCGGAGAGCTCGCTGCGACTCTAGGCCTTCCGAAGCTACGGTAGCAGGAATTTCGCGTTCCCAGCCGGAGTGCAGTGAACCCAACGAGATGAGAAGGTCGCAGCTGCATGAAGTCTTGGAGGGCTCCTTGCTGATCTTCCCCCTCGCGTGCGCCTGGGTAGACTGGGGCTGCTGTAGCTGTGATCTGGCAAAGCATCTGTCACCCCTTTGGAGGTACTGCGTCTTTCGACTTTTGTTCAAGCTGACGGACCTATAGGGTAGAGGGCATTCCTTGAGCACAGAGGTTCGAGTTGTAAATTCAAAACTCCTCATGTGTAGGAGAAGTTGTGGAAGGATATGACTCATGACAGAGGGAAGAGGCTGTGTCTCGGGTTGCAGGAGAAAGCGCGGGAGTTCGTCATCTTTGCAGATGACGGCGAGAAGGCTGGTAGTCCGTAACACCCTGACGAGTGTTGCAGCGTTACAAGATACCAGCATGATCCAGCATCCCTGATCCCTAAACCCGAAACCCTAAACCCTGGACCCTAAACCCTAAACCCATGTGGAGGATGTGTTAGAAGAGCACTGGGACGAAGCCACAGAGGCCAATGGTTCCATGTAGAAGTTTTCAGGAGCATGTCGTAAGAGCAACGTGCTCGGCCCAGTGCTTTTCGGCCCTTCGGCGCAAAGGAGACGGAGGATGATGTCATGGGCCTGACGATGTCCTACCTCGTGGTCCAGCGAGCCCGGCCAAGTTGCCCAAAGGGGCCCCGAAGAGCAGCATGGTGCAGCGGTTGGGCCCTACTTTGCTCCATGCTGGGCCGGTGTCCCTAAGTACGAAGCACACTGGCTTAGTGCTTCTGCAATCCTGCCTCTCAGTGTCTATAGTCCTCTTGCAGACCCTGAAGATGCTTCGATGTCTTGCGCCGAGCTCTCTGTTCCACATCAGCTCTGGTGGCGCTGCAGGACGCTCCGCTTCTGGACGACTGGCTACATGCCCAACGCAGAAGGAAGCCTGCCCCAGGGCAAATCCACCAGCAACCTGCAGGCTGGGGAATGCCAAAAACCCGAAGCGGCTGCTTGGGGACTTTTTGGCCTTCCTTTCCAGGCGGCGATCTTGATGATCGTCGGCATTCTGTGCCTTGGAAGATACCTCTTCATCCCTGAACCTTTCAGGGATCAGACATGATTTCGTTGTGGAGAGTTTATAGATGTATAGGGCGAAATCGGGCTGGAGCAGATTCGTCGGTACCTCGGCTGTGGGACTGAAAGGAGCCAGCTTCTCGCTGAGGATAGCGGTTGCGTCGTACATGCGCACCGTGTACTTCCCTGAGACCCGACCTCAGCATCGAGCCTTCCGTGTCTTTGGTTCGTGGTAGTCAATCTCGGGTCTGTTTCAGTCAACCTTGGGGCCAAGAGGAAGCTGGAGAAGTCTTCCCGTCGGAGTGTGACTTTACATCGTTCGAGCTTGTCTCTCCAACCCCCCAAGCCCTACTACCGACTTCTTGACTTCTTGTCGGCTTTTTGGCGGTTCCGATCTATTTGGAGTCAACACTTACGCATCGGGACTCTCTCGGAGTTGTCTTTTCTGGGCCGAGTTGGCATGGTCGCAATGCCATGTGGCTTCGACTGGTCGGGTGCTGAGCTGCGAAGGCTTTGCCGCTGTATTTGCTTTACGGCTCAGGGCTTAGGGTTTGGGGTGTAGGGTTTGGGGGTTTGGGGTTTAAGGTTTGCAGTTTTGCGCAGTTTTCTTGCAGCTTGAGCATCGCCAACCCACTCCTGGCTCGGCTGAGATCTGCGACTTCTCCTTTTCCTGGACAATCATGTTTGGGATTGACGCCTTCCTGTCCGGTTCCCGGCAACTAAGCAGTCTTCGGGTGGAGGCGAGGGGTAAAAACTGGCTTCGTTAACATGCTGCCATGTCAAGCTCGGAGAAAACAGGTGCAATACACGACTTGAGAGCCTGAAACAGCAAAGGCAAGTGCTTGGCAATGCTTGGCCGGAGAATTTGTTCAGTGCGTCTCAGTTTTGTCATCAAAGGTGTGAGAGAGTGCAAGACTTTCGGACAGCGTCGTCATATATATATATATGTATATACTGTGTGTGCTATGCTTGGATGGCGTTTGGTACTTCAGTGAAGGCTGCGCTGTTTTGCGATTTATCCAGCATTCAACTGTCGATATTGGCCTTACGGCTTACTTATCCCCTGTACCATTCCGATCATTTCCGATCAAACCCTAAGTTATCTTAACCAAAATAGCTCCGCCGTGCATCTACGGGCGGCCACTAGCTTTTCTGGCTCGTGCCCAGGACGAATTCTGGCCTTGGCGGTGCGGTTTTCGGCGTCGTCGGTGATGCCCGAAGCCTGGACCATTCCAGAGCAACTACGCCTTGCCCAGGGTTGCGAAAAGTGCAGCCTCCCTCCTCTTACTTCTGTCGCCGGTATCGAGGTGATTACCGCCTGCATAGTCACTGTCTGGGCCTTCGCAGCCAGAGCCCAAGGTCGTTGCGCAAGGGCAGCCTCCATGGGAGAATGTCTTAAGATCACACAGTCGGACTCTCCTCTTTTTGCTGCGGCAGATGGTTCTTCCATATCCTTCAAGTAGCCGAATCCTGTACTCATCTCGTGGGGTTACTCCCTCTAGTGCTGAGGGGCCGAGGTAGCTCTGTAAGGTCCGAGCTGAGTGTGGACGGCGCCGCGTCGTGCTTTTTTACCGCTTGGGACTTTGGGGGAAGGCAATCTTGTGCCCGTCGTAAGGCCAAAACGGCCAACAGCAATGACAGTAATGCCAAGTGCCTTGTACCCAATCAGGTCATCTACTTCCTTGACAAGGAGGTGCCTTGGCAAAGTTGACACCCGGAGCAGTTTTTGCAGTTCGGTGACTCCTCGGTTCGGCGTGCTTGTTCAGGTTGAGGTAAGTGGGGGTTGCGGGGCACTTCAGAGGGACTGAAGGAAGTGAACCTTAGGCCGTCTTAGCCCTGCATGTCGAAAGACGGGGCGGTCCGGATTCCGGCCTTCCATAGCAGTATGCAGCGCCTTAGTGCAAGCCCGGCATAGTTGCCGAACCTCGCCATCCTAAGCTCAAGGTGGATCTGACGATGCACGCAGAGACCGAGCTTGCTGCGAGTCCCAGCAAGCCGGGCCCTCGGCAAGGTAGGGCCAAAGCGGCCAGAGCCCTGGCGAGCTGCTAAGACATCCATGTCTAGTGGCCCAATGTGACCCGCTGTCCAGGTAGGCAAGATGGAGACCTTACCTGAAACCCAAAACCCCCGAACCCTTCAAAGCGACGTGCCAGGAAGGACCAGGCGAAGGCCAGGCTTCAGAAGAGGCCAGCTGCCCCCCAAAGCTTTCCTCCTCTGCCGTTTGCCTTGGGAGTCCTCTAAGTCGGTAAGTCGGGAGACTTCTCAATTCTCAAGACAGCCCAAAAGCCCATCTTGCCGCAGGAAGAGGGCGGCCATGCGGGGCACCATCCTGGCGGCGGCCCCGGTCTACAACAACGGACCCTAGAACGGAGCGTTAGAAGACGAAGTTCCCACGAAGCCCACGGGCGGGAGAGAAGCCCCGATAGGCCCTGGGTGTGCTCATCGGTTTCGCCTGGGAGAAGAGCGCCGCTGGCTTGCAGAGTGCTGCTTTGGAGTTTTTGGGGGGTTCTAGGGGTAGCTTCATGGGGCCCTTCATACGGTTCCCTTACCTTTCTTTTAAAGGGTTCTGAAAGTACAGGCCCTTGGGTTTGTAGGGGGAGTTATTTAAGGGGCCTCTAAGACTCTAAGGGGGTCCTCCACTGTAGGGGTACATATTAAGGGGGGTCAACCATGAAGATTGTTCTGGGCTCAAGGTGTGCCTCTGAGCAAGACAGATCATATGACCCTGGAGACGAGAGTTCTTTCCTGCCTCCAAAAAGAGAGGGTTGACCTTTCTGTGCCAGATACTTTCTTGTTTAAAACCACTGTCAATGGTACCCACATTCCCGAGTTCCCAATAAAGTGCATGGTCCGCCAAGTTCGACACAGCTGTGGATGACACGGCCGAGAAGGACTGCGGCGTGTGTCCTTCTTTTGCTGGTTCTTCGCTGAAAATGAGGGAGTTATAGAGGTACTCCACATATCCCCTTATACATCCCTTCCCCCCCCCCCTCTTCCCGTGTGTGTGGGCAGCATGCGGCAGCGGTGAGGAAAGCAAGTTCATGCCGCCATCCTTTGTGAAGATGGTCTTGGCAATGCTCTTGGTTGGGGCCACAACATCTCGAGAAAGGATGTCGGGTTGTTCGGCATAAGACTGCACTGCGCGACACGCTGCGAAGGCAACCGTTGTCCTTCCGGCCTGGCGGTGGTACATCCTCCCAGTCCCCGGCTCAATGCAATGCGATTGCAGGTGTCCCCCAGCTTAACGGATCCCATGCTTACTGAGGCCGTGACACGGTGACCCGGGGGGCCTACCTAGACTCTAGACCCTCTTGAACCCGTACACCTTGTGGAAGTTTCGCTAAATACTGCATGCTTCAATGGGAAGTCAAGCAAGTCTCACGAACACACACGCTTCTAAACCGGGCACCTCCCAGAAACGCTGGGAAGGAAGTCGTGCGCCTGGGTGGTTTCTCGGATCCCATGGACGAGGAAGCGGAGGACGGGGCCTGGTTGGGGAGTTGGAGTTTGGTGCGCGCAGGCTCCACGACAGGACCTCACACCTCGGAAGCCCTTAAGCCTGAAGCTCCACGATGTCCCGTGGTCCATGTCTCAAGTCGGCCAGGAAGCTGTGGAGAAGGCCGAGCAGGCCAACGAGATGAACTAAAAACTCCCAATGCTGGGTTAGATGTGTATAGGCCATATAGGCCCTTTGAAGGTTTGGAAGGGGCTTTTCTTGATCAGCCTTGGGACATTGGTGATGACCTGCTCAGGGCTACAGCCCACCCGTACTGGCAGAGACCGTGATGCTGCCAGAGACCATGGAGCTCCGACTGCAGGCCTCTCCTGTGGCGAAAAACCCCGGCGACCCCCCCCCTGTTTCCGATTCTTCGGGTTTTCGGGTTACCTTGACAAGCCTTGGCATTGTGCCGTCTTGCAAAAATCTATCGGGTTCTGAGCTTTGGGAGGGCATTGGACTTGGGACTTGCAGGGTCTTGGACAGGAGCAGCAGAAGCGGATCGAGCAACTGGAGCTGGAGAAGGCCGGGTGTTGGAGCCTGTTCTGAAGGTTGTATTTGTTTCATGCAGGGTTGTTCAATCATCGGATGCCTTGGTCACGGTCTAGCACCCCCACAGAATCTCAGCAACGGCAGGGCGAACTCACCGCTGAAGTGGTTCGCCTGCGAAAACGGGCCGGCACCTTGGACACGTGCTGCCATGTCCGTGGGTGTTTCAGCTTTCTAGCAGCCTTAACTTCTGGGATTGTTGCCTCGAGGTGGATGAGCTGGACCGCTGAGGCCAGTCTACCCACAAGCTTGGGTCAGCACTGGCCCTCGGGCTTTCAAAGTTAAAGGCCTTTAAGAATTTAGGACTATAGCATCAATTTTCCGAGAAGGCTTTCCTGGGGACTCGCACCCCCTGACCTCGTGGCGAGAAAGCGCGCTCTTTTTTTCCTTATCGGAAGTATGGTTTCGTGACGTGTGCGTAGGGGGGTTGCCTGTGCTTCTGCTATGCTATTCTTGTGGCTCAAGGCTGGCAAACCCTTCAGCCAAGAGCATCAGCAGAATCCGCCCCCAGGATTGATCATGGGCCTGTGACTTCAAGAGGAAGCAGCCTGTGCCCCAAAAAGAAACGCCTCTATTGCTTTCCACCCTCTTCCTCCCCCTCACTTGCTGGTCGATTTTCTGCGGTTATCCATAACTCCTGGCCGCCATGCTTCTCCTCGCGGCCGCTTGGACTCATCCTACAAACAGCAGGGCATCCCAATTGGGGGACCAGAAGCTGAGACCAGCAGCTGTGGCAATCATGTAGAGCAACAAACAAGAATAAACAGAATAGCAATAATGATACTAAAAGTATTAAAAACCAAAAACAAGAAACAACGAAAAAATAGTAATTACAATAGTAGCAGAAATAATCGTATTGTAGCCACATGGCTCCAGCACTCCACCCCCTCCTCCTCTGAATCCGAGGCCTTCCTCGTTGCAGAGACCATGGCCGTCCCGCTTGCGAATCAAGCAGAGCCTCAAACTTTCTCCGAGGTTCGTGGGCTTAGGGTTTAGGGTTTAGGGTTAGGGTTTAGGGTTTAGGGTTTAGGGTTTAGGGTTGAGGGTTTAGGGTTTAGGGTTTAGGGTTTAGGGTTCAGGGTTTCAAAGGGATTCAGGGCGGTTTTTAGGTCTTTTAGGGTTCGGCGTTGGGTGTCGAAGATGAATCCCGTGCTTGCAAGGGCCGTTGGGACAGCGGAGCAGGTGACTATCTCATTACATGATTATAGGATTACATTTTTAAAAAGGAGTAGTACGTTATTCGGTGGTTATCATGAGATGATATTAGAGTCTCCCGGCCCACGCTTTTCGGTGGAAGTGCAGCAGAATGGCTGAAACAGTGCAGGTGTTCTGTGCGGAGAGCCCGTGGATGTGCTCCGACACGATCGATTGCCGAAAGCCTGACGGCTGCTTGGACGTTTATTTCCTTGGTAATTTGCAATATTATCACTGATATGACATAATATATGCGAAATGTATTTAAAAGAAAACCAAAATATGTATACGATAGTACCATATACTTTACACGCACATTTGTCTCTTTTAGGAGTCTTAGCAGGCACTATTCAGACAATCAGAGAAGCTGGTGCTTGTTTTCGGGCACCCTATATTACATGATTTCTCAAGTCCCTACCCAGAACCAGAACATCTTAAGCATCTCCGTAGCAGTGCATGCCCACTAGAGCCGTATGTCCGACGTTGGGGGTTGTAGCGCCCCCATGCCGAGCCCCAGCTGAGAGGTAAGAGACGCACGGCTGTTGTGAGTGCTGGCGTTTGTACGGTTCTCTTGCGACTGTACAGGTTCTTTGTAGTTAAAGCTAAAGGGGCACTGCTATCCGAAGAAGGATGCTAGTCTCCCCGATTGGCTCACGTTGGGTGGTTTCGAGACTTGCCGAGGTGAGATCCCGTCCCCCGAGGAGGTAATTCAAGAGCTTGCAGCATTGGTGGAGAAAGTCACAAAAGAGCTGCTGGCTCAGCGGATGGGAGGGCGGTTCTTGCTGCGGCAGCAATCAAGTTCAACTGCAGAACCTTGAGCCTACAGCGAAAAGGTCAGTGTCCCAGCTTTTGGTCTTCTTTGCCCTGAGGCCAAACACGCCAAATAGGAGGTCGTGGTGCTTCACAAACTCGGCATACTGGGACCGCGTGGTGAGGAAATGCATCGTCGAGGCCTTGCGGCTTCCTAACACTCTCCCCCTAGACTCTCCCCGAAGCAACTGAAAGCCCACAAAAGCCCACACAAGAAAGAAAGCAGGCCTATCCCCAACTAAACCCCAAGCCTCAAAAGGTCCCCAAAAAGGGTCCCCAAAAGGTTTTCGAATGGTCCCCCCCCCCCCCCCCAATAAAAAAAAATCCCTCAGAGGGCGACTTGAAAGCCGCCGCCCACGAGCAGTTCCGCTGGTCAGCAGCTCTGCAGCACTCTGGGACTTTTGTTTTCGGCGGAGGGGCGGGTGCGGGGGGGGTGGGGGGGGGGGGGTGCTTCCAGCCAATGTTTTTTGCTTTTGTTTGGGGGGGGGGGGATTTCTAATGATTCCAATGCGCGAGTCATGTTTAGATTGTGACTCTTATTGCGTTCTTTTGCCGCCATTGTCACTCAGCTCTTGCGCGTTGGGGTGTTTAGTCGGGTTTAGCCGTTTGGGGGCCCCTGGGCTCTGTCAGACTTCTCAACCCTGCCTTGTCTCTGAGGTACTGATGCACCCGCTTGATGAGATGGATGCAAGCTACTGTTTTCTCATGGGCCTCTGCCAGAATGAGGATTATAGGGTTCTTCAGGGAGTGGGGAACCCTAAACCCTAAACCCTAAACCGTAAACCCTAAACCCTAAACCCTAAACCCTAAACCCTAAACCCTAAACCCTAAACCCTAAACCCTAAACCCCTTGAACCCCTTTCCCTTAAGAACCCTGGTAAGAGGAGGTGACCGAATCGACGACTCCCGAGGAAGCTGTCGAGATCTGCTGCTTGCCTCCGAAATTTGGCGAGTCGAGGTCCCCTAAAAAACATTCGGTCGCATCAATCATATAGTGGAAATATATCCTATAGTACATATGTATGTATGTATATATATATATATCTATATCTATTTCTATATGTAATAAGAGTACGTATATGAATACATATGTATGTGTATATGGAAATATGGAAATTTCTATGCATATGCATATATATGTATATATATATATACGCAACACGTACATTTAGCTGGCTGAAGGCCACACCATGTCCTCAACCGAAGCCCAAGCACCTTTGGACCCACAATCTCCCACGTTGTTTTGTTGAGGGCACTCGTTTGTTTAGGGTTTTGGGAGTTTGGGGTTTAGGGAGTTTGAAGTTTAGGGTTTAGGGTTTAGGGAGTTTAGGGTGCACAGCTGCACATATCCCACCTCAGCTCCCTTTTGCAGGCAATCGGCGATTCCCCGAGCCTGGGGGCTGGCAGAGCGTAGGCACCTGGGTCATCTGGGAGTCTCTGTGGATTCCGAAAATAGGGGTACCTTATTGAGGTCCTTATTCTAAGGGGATCCTACTATTTGGGGATCCATATTGGGGGTCCCCCATGTTCGTAAACCCCCAGTTCGCTGCCCCCAAAATCTCATGCTGCGCATCCTCGGAGCCCCACTACAAAGGGCCACATGCCTAGGATGATCTGCAGGTCTGAGTGCCCTGCGATGCGTTGAACAAGAATCATCTGTAGGCTTCCACAACGCACCAACGACGGTCCTGGACTTCAACCCTCGGAGTGTGGACACGCTGCTTTTCCGTGACACGTGAGGGTTCGGTAGGGTTCGGGGGTCCCAGGTTCCATCCTACGAAGAAACCATGGCCTGAGCTCTGTCAATTCGGAGAAGTGGGGGAAGCCGGGGGGTGGGGAGTCGTCTGGTGATCATTTATCCTTGAGCCCACCTGAGCTAAGGTACACGCACTTCAATACCACTGAGCAGGTGGAAAGCTATCTGAAGTTGGCCTGTGCACAGGGCAACTACCACTGCGACGTGATGTACTGCAAGGACAAGCGGGGACAGTCGGGTCGATTGGCGCAGGAGGTCAACTGTGCGCCTTGAAAGCTTTAGGAGACCTACTGCAAGACCGACTACTACTACCAGAAGTACAAGCACTACTTGCCATCGCCACCTTAGCCAAGCAAGAAAAGGACTCCGGATCAGCCACGCCGGCACTCTCTGTTTGTAGGCATGTTCCTGCGCCTCTTCTGAAAGCAGGATTTGTCCGACCTGGCGGGTGCTGGTTCTGTCGCTCTCAGCCCTCGCTCAAGTCCCACAGTGAAAGGTAGCGAAGGGTGGTGAAAGGTGGCCGCGGCTGCAACACAATTTTCAGATCGGCCAAGGACAGTACACCCCAACTCCGCATCCGAAGACTCTCAGGGCAGCTCTCCGACAAAGACCTGAATGCTGTTAAATGTATCCGGTGCCATGGCGGCCGCTTCCTGCAGATCCCCTCGGCTCCGCAGCTTGCAGTCCAAGAAGGCCTGCAAAGAACTTTTCTCAGTGAGCCAGAGATGCACCTCTTGCAGCAGGGATGGTTTCGTGTTTGCAAGCCGCTTTGGAGTCGCAGCGCTCCTGTAGAATGCGTGCATCTCTAAAGAGGACCTTAGGGTGGAAGGCCCAAAACATAAACAGGCCCTAAAGCCCTAAACTGCACGCGGAAGATCACGCTCAGGCCAGAGCCAGAGCGGCACTTCATCTCACAGCGCTGGCCCCTTCTGCTGATTCCGGCTGCGCCTCTCTGGACTGGCCACCGGCGGGAGAAGAGGCATGGAGAGTGGAAAAAGAAGACTTACGTCCATGATGCACAGAACACGAATGTGATGTTCACAGCACAAAAATGATGTGTATTTCTGTGTACATGCTGGTATCTGCAGGAGATGTTGTGCAGGCATAGCTGACAGAGTCACCGGTTGCTGAGCATCCTGCGGAGGCTCCGGGCAGCTCCACGGCTTTGCCGAGGCTCCGCGCCCGAGACACCGCGGGTGACAGGAGATCAGTGCATCTTGGCGTCGAAACCAGCGATGCCGAAGCTGCAACATCTGCTCCAAAGCTGCGCCCAGCCCCCCCCGAACACCCACCAATGCAGATGGGGGCGCTCAAAGCCGCCTGCCTCATGTGCAGCGGCTTGCGGCGGCCTGCACCGCATCCGCAGCCTTTCGCCTGAGGCAGGGAGCTGCGCGAGCTCTTCGAGCTGGCCGACACGGACTGAGGGGGGAGCAGGTTCATGTGGCGCTTTCACTTTGGCAGTTGCCGCGGTTTGCTGCGTTGTTCAAGGTACTCCAGGTGCAAGTTGCAGGTGTGAACCCACAGATGATGATAGCTACGGACATGGTACCAAAAAGTGAAGCAAGTTTTCTCCAGTACACCTAGCATCGCGTAGCACAAACAGCGTGCGAAAGCCAGCTGGATGAGGAGAAGTGCATGGACTGCATGGACTCAGGATATCATGCCAGTCCGTGTATTCGATGTCGATTGCAAAAAGCAGTTCTCATGTTGAGGGTACTGTAGATACTGTAGGCAGGTTTTCAGGCAACGCATGCCGCCAGAGCCCACTATCCACTTGCAGTGTCGCCTTTGGACAGCCGCACGCGCACGTCCACGTTCCTCATGCCACTTTCCTCATATAGTAGTGTATGGCTTTCAGGGAGAGTCTGCGCGTATTTTGCACGAACAAGCGTTTGTAGGAAAGAGCCTCTTACGACGGGTTTTGCTTGCCATTGCTAAAAGTTGGTTATGAAGTTGCAATTGCTTACAACTCCCATCAGTCGCAGGACAACAACGGCGCCATTTCGGCACGCGAGCTGCGTGCAGCCTTGCGCGTCTTAGGCCTTTCTCCCCGGGATCGTGCATTGTGAATGAACGACATGTGCCCTCGTGGTACCTTTTGAGATGCATCTCCGTTGTCTTTTTTGGAGGGGGGGGAGCAGTCTGTGCGAGGCATCGACATGCAGCTGAGCCGCTCGGCGCAATGAGACCTCTAGCCTCGAGCTGTGTAAGGAACCGTTATCTGGACTCAGTTCCTGCACGCAGCCTAGGCAACGTAAGGCAGGCTGTTGCGGAGCTTGACACGAACGGCGATGGCGGGGTTGGGACGATTCTGGCGTGTGGCAGTTTGCTTCCCACAAAGGTCGACCATGGGGCATGAACATGAGAATGGTGCGGTTTCATTGCAGGCGAGATCAACTTCGACGAGTTTGTGGAGGCTTGCCAACGTCCTCGCCCACTTCCAGACGCACTCAGGCGCAACGTGTGCTTTGGGAAGAAAAAGGGTTCAGGGGGCTTGCGCAAGGTTTCTGTTGAGATGCCTCGTTTCGACTGCATGCATGCGCCAGGAAGGCCGTCCGACGAGGTCGGGTGCTGTCACGCTGGAGCGCGCTGCTCTTCGATTCAGACGACCCGCAAAATCTTAGTGCCTTGTCGGGTTCAGAGGCTTTTCCGTTTCCATATGATTTCGCCCCTTAGAAGGTCTTCAGGCTTCCTTCCATATCCCGAAACTCGCCATGTTTCGGACGCCTTCTTTCCACCTACGAGAGGTACCTTGCAAGTTGCACAAGCCGTACGAAACCTGTCTGACCAGATGACAGAGTATGACATGGATCGACTCCTTGGCCCCTCGGCTCAGATTGCCCCAACAAAAATGGGGGTGATGGCGGAGGGGTGCTCCTGGAAAGCGTAGCCAGATCAGCGGCTGCACCTCCACACCTCAATTCCAAGGTGAGAGCCCTCCAAAGGAGGTTCTACCGAATTCCGGTGGAAGCGAGGGGGACGAGGAGGAGGTCTTGGCAGTGCCTCAGCATGATTCAGGCGTGCCTTCTAAGAAAGCTTCTAAGGACCACGTTAGACTGCCTTCTGTGGAAGTCGTAGAGTCACGTCTTTTTTTGAAATCTCAGGAAGTGAGCATCTGGGGCCGTCAACTTTGGCCAAGGGGGGCTCGGATGAGGGCCCTCCACTTCGCGCAGCTCTGCCTCTGCGAGGTACGCCATTTATAACGTCGTTCTTCTTCAAGGGAGGTCTCCGGAACTCCAAGAGTCATCACGTTCAAGGGCTTCGGAAGCGCCAAAAAACGGCTAAGACTTGAAGGAGCCCAAGATCCAAGATCTTTATCTCTGGGCCAGCAGGCGGCCATCGTGTTCATGCGCTGGCGGCCGACCGCCTGGACACTGGCGCTGCTGTTGCGGTGGCGCTTGCTTGTGCTGGCGCTGAGGTGTCGAACGCGGGTCCAACACGCGCAAGGGGACAAGAAAGCACCAAAGGCCCGAAAGCGTAGGCTAAGGAAGCTACGACAACGCTGGGGCTGAGCACCCATGAGCTCCCCTCACCAAGAACGCACTTCTGAAGTCTCGCCATAAAGCGGAAGCCAATGGTATACCCTCCAACCCCAACCCCAAGTCTCCTAGCCCTCCAAGACCCTGAGAACGAACTCTTGGATTCCGTCTCCTGGCCCCTGGAGGCCGATCCTCACGGCCCGCTTCCTCGGGCTGCTGCTGCGGCACCGCCGCTCGGCGCGGGCGCTGGCCGCGGCTCGGCCATTCCTTAAGTGGGCGCTCGCTGTCCTCCTTTCCACCCCCCATTTTTTGCCGGCTTCTTGCGCTTGTGCCGGTGCTTCCAGCAGCAGATTGAGGTGCTTCTCAGAACTCCCGCGAGTGAGAGGGGAATCACCCAGCTGCTCGGCGCAGCCTTGGCTTTTCTGAGCCCTCGAAATTTGTCCTCGAAACACAGGATTCTCCTCTTGGACTCGGCCATCGCCGACTTGTGCAAAGATCCGGAGGCGCCCAAGCACATCCTCAGGCACGGTTGGCGGGAACAGCCTTTCATAACCTCCTGGCACGGCCCTAGATCTTGAACTGCGCAAGATCTGCTCAATGTTCCGATGGACCCCACAATGCCCCTACACCTCGATTCGTCCCCTGAGTCCTAAGCTCCAGGATCGTGGGCCGCCAGGGCATGGGGTCTTTCCTTCGACACTTCCTGGTCTTCGCCCCGCCGGACATGATGAGGCTGATAGGGAGAGGATGGGAGGTTCTTCGCAGGATGACAAGGTCCCCCCCCTACTCCTCCTCTCCTAAAGCCCGATAAACCCGGAACCCTAAACCGACTCGGAGGGCGCTTCTCTCTCTGCACGCCAGGCGCTTCTGCCAGCACAAGTCCACGGCCGTGTTGCTTGCCCGCGTGGTCCGTGAGACCGCGGTGCGCCTGCTCACGAGGGTTTAGGGACTTCAGCGTTTATAGGGCTTACAGGGCTTAGCGGTTGGGGGGGTTCGGGTCCTTGAATACAACCCTAGAGACCATGTAAGACCCTTAAGATACCTTAGGCCCCGTAAACCCTTATCAAGTTATGCCCCAAAAGAAGCCGACTGAGAGCAGGCTCGGGACTGCGCTGCCTTGGTCCACAAGCGACGGCAGCAGCTGCCCGCAGCCGTGGCGCTTGCCTGCCTGGAGCCAGGGGCAGACCTCTGGGTGTCTTGGACTTTTTCGGTGAGGATTCTTGCTAGAGCAAGCTCTTATGCTGTTCATCTCCCGCAGCACGTACTGTTGGGTCTCAGTCTCCATAGAGAAAAAGCTTGCCCTCGATCAGGGATGCAGAGGGCCGGGACAGACAGGACAAGACGGACACATCTGGACATGACCGCACATGAAGTAGTGCAGGTGGGTGGTTGAACACACCAGTTATTTCTTATCATATCAGACTTCTTTCTGATATCATATGATATGGTATGACATCATACTAGTATCTTTTTCGAAAATGCAGATCATTACCGCGAAGCTGTCCAAAGCAGTGAGGCCATGCATTTCTGCGCCGTGCCTGGTGCTCCGACTGCAAGTAGCCAGCTTCTCTTGCTACTCTTACTACGCTTACTGCTCCTACTAATTACGCTTGCTGCTCCTGCTGCTGCTGGTGGTGGTGGTGCTGCTGCTGCTGCTGGTACTACTGCTGCTGGTAGTACTGCTGCTGCTGCTGCTGCTGCTGCTATTGCGGCTGCTGCTATTGCTAGTGCGAGTGCGAGTGCGAGTGCGAGTGCGAGTGCGAGTGCGAGTGCGAGTGCTGCTGGTACTACTACTACTACTACTACTACTACTACTACTACTACTACTACTGCTACTACTACTGCTGGTTTGTCTGCTCGGAGTCCGCTCGGAAGGTATCGAGCTCTGGCTCGGCCGCTTTCTGAGTGATCCCCGGGGAGCGAGCTTTGCACATCGAGTGTTGTTGCAGCCTCACTTCATCGATGCTCGGCCCGAACATCTCTGCATCCCTGTGCTTTTCAGGGATCCCACCAGCCGAGGAACTCGAGTTTTGAGACGTTGCGAAGAGTTTCCCTCGGACGGCGCTGCTGATGGTTGATGAATCTGATGACCTTCGCTGACATTTGATGAGCCGCGAAACCCAACAAGAATGCCTGGATCCCGTTAGGGGGCTTGGCACATCCATGGAGCCTCGCGAATTCGCCGGGCCTCTTTCGTTTTGCGGGGTTGGCGGGGCCTCGAGGCCTCGTATGTTACCTGATGATGATGATGATGATGATGATGATGATGATGATGAGGATTGATGGCGGTGCTTCCAGAATGACCTTTGTCATGTCGTTGATCGTGCTGCTGCGGCTGCTGCTGCTGCTGCAGCAGCTGCTGATGGTCCCATTCATGACGGGTTTCCTCTGTGCAAGGATGCTTTCGGGACACCCGTGCCAATTTTTAACACTTGCGGCAGCTCAGGACAGGGTGGAGGATTTTCTTGGCTTCAGAGATGCCAGGGCCTTCGTCATCCGACTTCTGCGACAGCCCGGAGTGTATCGGTTCGTCACGCGCCTCGGCTTGAGTGAGTGTCCTAAACGACTTCCTTGGATCATTCTCCAAGCCACGACATTTGAACTCATGTTGTTTTTACATTCTCTTTGCAATACCCCTGTTGTTAATTCTCTTTCCCCATTGTTCAAATTGTCTGTGCGAAGGTGGCTGAACAGAGACCTAAAGATGCAACAGTGGTTTGCTCGCATCGCCAAGCGTGAGAAGCCGATGCTCTTCATCACAGAGATGCTCTTGGAGCCAGGCTCGATTAGGGTTTAGGGTTTAGGGTTTAGGGTTCTCTCAATCATGGCTCCCTGCCTTGGTCCGATGCCGGCCCAGGTGAGGAACCCAAACGGTGTAAGACCGTAAGGGCCTTTCAGGGGCACCACCCGCACTCCGGAGCTCCAAGAGGCCGCGTTAGAAGAGTACTTTCACAACCGCGAGATTTGCAACACCAGGAAAGATGCAAACCAGGACAAACGCAAAGAGTTTTGCGTTCTCGAAGGCCCCCCCCCCCCCACATTTCCCTTTTGACGACATGCCAGCGAAACGGAAAGTAGGCCCCTGCCGCGTTTTCACGACAAGGAGCGATGCAAAGGGGGAGGCGAGAGCACAAGTTCATGCACGGGAAAGCGCATGGCGTGACAGGACACCTGCCGCCCTGCCGCGATGCACAAGCCATGCCATTTGCGATGGGATGCCGTTCGACGTCTAGGAATGATTGGGATGTCAGATACCATCAACTTTCCGTACCCCCAACGTAGGAACCCACAGTGCAGGCGTTATTTCAGGGTTATTGTATATTAGTCTACCAACCTGGGTTACCGAATGAACCCTAGGATGAAGCTGCCAAAAGCCCTGCAGGCCTCGACAAGTTTATCGTGGACCTGCTGCTTCGACGTGGCAACGTGCTGTGCTTAGTGGGCTTCCGTGGGCTTCCCATGGCATATCGCTCTTCTTGCAGCCCTAAACCATCTGAACCCTGAACCCCCCATAACTCAAAGAGAGATTCATGGCTTGGACCCGGCTTTGGATCTAAGCCCAGGACAAGGCCTTGAGAACCATGCTGGATTATTGGGTCCACACAGAGGGCTCCTTCGCCTCCGTGTTCGGATCCTTCTCAAAGAAGCCAGGTGCGGAGGGGGCCTGTTACCGTTGGGCAGGCTAAACTTTGGGGGAGGGTACAAGATATACTGCAATGTTAGATCATGTTAGATCAGAAATGCATACATATGTACAAATGCAATATGTTTATGTGTATATATATATATATATACATGTGTGTGTGTGTGTGTGTGTGTTTGTGTGTTTGTGTGTTTGGGTTTGTGTTTGTGTTTGTTTGTGTGTATCTCGCAGCTGCACAGGAATTGAACGGGCGTTGGCGCGAGTCGTGATCAGCCCTGGCAGCTCGGAAGCACGCGCCTTCACGCGTTTCCTCCGTCGACACATTTCGCTAAACCCTAAACCCTAAAGCCTAAACCCTAAACCCTAAACCCTAAACCCGAAACCCTAAACCCCAAAGCCTAAACCCTAAACCCTAAACCCTAAACCCTAAACCCTAAACCCTAAACCCTAAACCCTAAACCCTAAACCCTAAAAACACCTTTAATGGAGCATGAGGCTTTCTCGATGGCTTCGTGTTCAGGATCCTCGGCGCTACTAGGAGGTGGTTGGATCCGGTAGAACACAGCATGTGGCCTTCCCAACTGGTTTTTCAAGGGGTGATTCGTTCACCTAGCGTGGCCGAGCCACAAACAACAGCGCAGGCCTTCGAATCCGAAGCTGCCGGGAACTCTAAAGCCGAGCTTGCACAAAATCCAAAGAAGGACGCCGGCCCAGTCGAAGCCATGAACCTAAGTCCTGCAAAGTCTACCGCGACCTGAAGCTACCGCAGCCTACGGGTGTAGGGCCTCGGGTACCCAGGAAGTTCTTGTGGCAAGAGGGGCTCGGCGACCTAGCCCTTGAAGCGGCTGCCTTGGTACCCTGGCACCAAGTTCGGATTTGGGCCACTTTTTGGGGGGTTGAAGGGGTTGAAGGGGTTGCAAGGTTTAGGGTGTAGGGTTTAGGGGCTTGGTGCTGAGACGGCATATGTACACTGCCACGATGTTCACCATGGAAAACTCTGGCCGGAATCCATCAACGCCCGCCAAGGGCGTGCAGGAGCTGGTTCAGAGTCCTCAACATTTTACTCCGCCAGGTGGGCGTTCGCGGCCTGGTGGACAATGTGCTGCCTCTGGCTTTCGCGGTGCTCGTCGCCATCCTGGTGTTTTCCGTGCAAGGCGCCATGGCAAGCCAGCCAGCAGATGCCAGCAGATGTGCGTACGTGGGCAGTCAGACGTAAAACCCTAAACCCTAAACCCTAAACCCTAAACCCTAAACCCTAAACCCTAAACCCTAAACCCTAAGCCCTAAGCCCTAAACCCTAAACCCTAAACTCTGCAGATAGGCAGTTAGGTAGGTGGTCGGCCAGTGCGGAGCAGGTCTGCGCTTTTGTCCTTGCGGTTCGCGTCTTTGTTGATGACTGGTCAAGGTTTCCTCACGGAGTTCGATCAGCCTCTGCAGCTTTGCACGCAAAAGTTCACCAAGGGACAAGTTGTTTCAGTTGGTTCTCGGGATCTCTAGGGTTCAGGGTTTAGGGTTTAGGGCTGAGGGTTGAGGGTTTAGGGGTTTAGGGTTCAGGGGCCATCTGGCTTAGCTTATAGCCGCTCTCAGGAACGTTGAGAGCTTCCTGGCGCTCTTTGAGGAGGACCGGGGTCCCAGAAGCTTCCCTGCGTAAAGGTCGACGATGGCTGCTATTTTGCGGGGCTTGCACTGCGAAATACGGGACGCCCTTATCGAGACTCCCCAAATACTAGGGTCCCCTTGTTACAACGGACTCCCATAAGATACCCCTACTATTTTCGTAAGCCCCCATGCCTTGCGATGGTTCTGACGATTATGGTTCTTGCTGTTATGATGATTCTTGTTATCCGGGTTCTTATTCTTAGATAGAATTCGTACCATTATCCTGAGCAGTGCTATTGCCATCATTTTTTCCATATTATGGTTTTTTTTACTTCGAAGCAAATAGGAGTTTCCGAAAATACGTGACCCCGAATTAGACCCCAAATAGTTTTAAAAGGACCCCAAGAAGGTGGATTCCCCTTAAAATAAGGACCCCAAGAAGGTACCCCTAACTTCGGAAACCCCCCCAAAATGAGGCAGGCAGGAAGGGATTGAGCTTGTTCAGGTCAGCTTGGGAGACGTGGTGCTGCCCTTCCTTGCCTCTTGGCTTTGGGTGATTTCTCAGTTCACCTGCAGGTCTTGAAAGTTTAGGGTTTAGGGTTTAGGGTTTAGGGTTTAGGGTTTAGGGTTGCAAGTAGACAGTGGCCTGAAATCGCTGTTTTGGCAGAGGGAGAAGTAGAGGTTTAGCTGAACCGCCACGGACATGTCGGGCGCAGGGGGTGGCGACGTCCACCCTCCAGGGCTTTCCTTGCCTTTGCCAGAACGCGTCCCAGCTATCGGACCATCATCAACCATGACAAAACTGACGGCACCAGCAATATCTCTTGCAAGGACAGGTGCGATGGAGTCATTGTTGTTTTCGTTGTTGTCATCGCTATCTCGATGCTGATGGTTTCTGTTCGTCCTGATCATGGTTATTCTGTGCTGTTCATGTTTGCTATGATACATCTGTCGGGATCCAGCAGTGAGTGGTGCAACCCCCCAAATCCAAACAAGAGCCTCATCGGACAGAAAGCAGCACACATCCATATCAGTGTTCGCTTCGGTGGGCTTGATGTCCTGGATCCATTCACTGAAGTTCCCCCAACACAAGCCCACTGAAGCCCTCAAAAGCCCTTATCCCTTAGCCGCCTGAAACCGAGGCGGGGCTCTCCGCTGGCAGCCTTAGCCGCGACCTTCGGGTGGCGTTGCAAGCTGGCCAGAGGAGGATTGAACCAGGCGCGGCGGAAGAAAAGGCTCAGCCGTCTCGTGCCTGAAAGGTTGGAGGCTTCTGGGATCGATTCGCTCGCGCGCACCCGAAACCCTGAACCCTAAACCCCAAACTCGCTTAGGGTGCCAGATTCCAAGCTTGATGGCCCATGTGTCCCGAAGAGGAGCAACGTTCCCTTGGAGGCCTGTGGCCCACATCAACATGGTTTCTTGTGCCTTTGGAGCAACAACAAAGGCGAACAAACCGAACATTCAAAAGCCTCAAGCCTAAATACATACAGCTATCTATACTGTACACAATAGAGTATGCAGTATATATGTAGTCTTTATGTATTTTCATTGATCTCAGACTCCTCCGCGTCGTCGAGTCCCTCCCAGCCATGCCCGGAGCAGAGAAGCCATGGCGCCAAAGCCTTCCTTGGGCGCATCCACAGATGAGCTCGATGGGATTGATGTGAGATGGTTGGCGGACTAGGACCCTGGAACCTTCATGTCGAAGGAGAGGAGAGGATTCAGGATGCTTGGAATGCCCACCCCCAGAGCATCCCGCAGAGACCTACTGGAGTGCCCCCAGACTGTATTCCACACATTACCCCAAGAGTGCCCCAAATCCCAGATGATGAACTTGCTTGTTTTTGGGGCAGGGATGTTCGAAGTAGTGTATCGGTACTTTGGTGAGTCTCCACAGCACAATGTCCTCCCCGTGCTTCTTAAACCCACCCCATGTGCTCGCAGGATCTGCTTACGGCATGGGCAGCATGCGAGGTGGCCGTGCTGGACATGCCCATCTCACAAGGCTTTTAGGGTTTCGGGTTTCGGGTTTAGGAATTCCGGTCTGGGGTTTAGGGTTTCGGGTTTTAGGGTTTAGGGTTTAGGGTTTAGGAATCATATTGCGAGTACCGTAGCCGTAGCTCCGTAGTGCGGCTTCAACCCTGTCACCGGTTGCCGCGAAGCACAGGAGCCGCCACCAATCTGGTCCCTCGCACTCCCAAGGACAGCGGCTAAGCGGTGACCTGGTCATCTGTTGTTGCAGGCGTCAGGCTTCGACTCCTCTTCAAGCCAGGATTGAAAGCGAGATGCGCAGAAGCACCTGCGAAAGCACCTGCAGGAGTTAACGCAGGCAGTGGCGGAGTTTCGCAAGAGGCGCCCTGCTGTTCACCACACCCCATTTGCTTGCGAGACGCTGGGAGGATGTAAATTCAGACGCAGGCTTCTCATGCAAGATGGGGCCTCTGAGAAACAGTTTTTGGTTATAAGATACTATAAATATTCACCAACAGGCTACTTGTAACAGTAGGAATAATCGTATTTAGTAACAGCACCACTAGTAGAATTTCTGACAATTACTACCATGCCGGTTGAAAACCCTAAACCCTAAACCCTAAGCCCTACACCCTAAACCCTAAACCCCAAACCCTAAACATACTAGCTGTGGAAAGCTGTCGCTTTGTCGTGTGTTGGGTCTGCAAGCCACGTGACGGGAGGAGCAGCTGGGCCGAAGCTCTTCAGCTGTTGGGCTCTTACCGAACAGACAATGTAGGGTCTAGGGTTTAGGGTTTAGGGTTTATGTACCTCAAGGGTTTGTGTGCCTCATTGTCTACCGCGGTGCAGAGAGAGGTGGCTGACACGACGCACCAGGAGGCAGTTTGAGGACAGGTTGAGAACGTACATTCGTAGCATCATGGCCCATTGGCGGAGGAGTATGACCACTGCGTGCCTGAACACATCTCTTCGGTAGTACGGTGTGTTGCACACAGCCCCTGCAATCTAACTCCCTGCATGTCTTATCTACACACAGATCTGGCAACATGCATGTTGATTCCTCCGTAGCTGCGGATCTTTTTGGACAAGCGTATAGTTTGACATTTCCACGGTGCGGCAGCAGCCCAGACTCGCTCTCTAGGTTCCAGGCATCTCTTCAAGGCCGTCTGCGGGCTGATGGCATTGTGTATGGCCGGGCTCCCCAGAGGATGAAGATGCGCTATGGCCCCACAGCCATCCCAAACCTTAAGCAGCCGCAAGAAAGCCTCAGGTGCCACAAGTTCGAAAATATCTCCCCCAACCAGCTTCCAGGTGCAGTGGATGCGAGTTGTCGAGTCTGGCATGTTGCCCAAGGCCCTCTTGAGGCTCACTTCTTGCGTCTCCCCTGACGCCATGGGGGGAAGGGATACAAGAGCGCCACACTCAACTCTAGCCGCTCTTCCTCCAACCGATACAGAGGGTCCCGAATGCCGGGGCGGGCGCTGACGCCCGGGGCCTTGCCCCAATGCTCCCAAGAAAGAAAGAGAGAGAGAGACGCCCGCGGCCCACTCTCTGCTCTCTGCCCTGTGCTCTCTCTCCAGGTGCGGCCGTCAGCGCCTGCGAGAGGCACGAGGGAGAGGGTTCCAGTGTTTATTATGAACATATACAGATACATAGTATATTCTAGTCTAATATTTTATAAAAGTATATTCTATATTATATGAGATTATATATATATATATGACGGGGACATGCGGTACCGAACTGGCTAGTTACCTTTATCGGAGCTGCTTTCAGTTGGCTTGTCTCTTAACTCATATCCCAAACCTCGTTCTTCTTGTTCTTAATCGGTTACCCACATTACATCCCCATTAAACCCTAAGGCCTCGCAGGAAGTATATTCCCGAGGAAAAAAACCAGTAAGGTATGCAGTGCAAGAGCAAATACAGGGCCCTGTGACAGGGGAAGCCGCTGGCAGTACTCCCTGGCCCTGCTTACCGAGGTGGGAACCAGTTTGGGGTTTAGGGTTTTGGGTTTGGGGCATAGGGAAAGTTAGGGAGTGAGTGCCTCAGGCTCCTCACTCCGGACAAGGGATAGCATTCATTGCTAGAGCTTAGTCAAATGCGGAGCGAAAGCATCCAACAGATGAGCTGATGTGTTGTTGAACGCCGTGTCGGCCTCGCTGCGTGCTTGGCTGTGCGTGGTTGGAGACAGGATGACCTTTTTGACTTAGCCAGCATGACTGAGGGCACAGATGCGGAGCAAAAGAATCCAACAGATGAGCTGATGTGTTGTTGAACGTTGTGTCGGCCTCGCTGCGTGCTTTGCTGTGGCGGTTGGAGACAGGATGACCTTTTTGACTTAGCCAGCATGACTGAGGGCACAGATGCGGAGCAAAAGAATCCAACAGATGAGCTGATGTGTTGTTGAACGTTGTGTCGGCCTCGCTGCGTGCCTGGCTGTGCGTGGTTGGAGACAGGATGACCTTTTTGACTTAGCCAGCATGACTGAGGGCACAGATGCGGAGCAAAAGAATCCAACAGATGAGCTGATGTGGCGTTGAACGTTGTGTCGGCCTCGCTGCGTGCCTGGCTGTGCGTGGTTGGAGACAGGATGACCTTTTTGACTTAGCCAGCATGACTGAGGGCACAGATGCGGAGCAAAAGAATCCAACAGATGAGCTGATGTGTTGTTGAACGTTGTGTCGGCCTCGCTGCGTGCTTTGCTGTGCGCGGTTGGAGACAGGATGACCTTTTTGACTTAGCCAGCATGACTGAGGGCACAGATGCGGAGCAAAAGAATCCAACAGATGAGCTGATGTGTTGTTGAACGTTGTGTCGGCCTCGCTGCGTGCTTTGCTGTGCGCGGTTGGAGACAGGATGACCTTTTTGACTTAGCCAGCATGACTGAGGGCACAGATGCGGAGCAAAAGAATCCAACAGATGAGCTGATGTGTTGTTGAACGTTGTGTCAGTCTAGCAGCGTGTTTGGCTGTGTGTGGTTGATGACAGGATGACCTTTCGTGTGCCTGTCTTGCTGCATCAGGTTCACTTGAACAGAATCTAGTGCACGATCTTATTGACATGAATGCGTGCCAATCTGAGTTGTTGGGGTTTGGGGGACAAGGCTCGTCCTTAGGGCACTGTAAAGTTTGCTGATGCTTATTGTAACGTGAAGGCAAGGGTGAACAACCGAAGCTTGCACAGTCGCCCGCTACGGCAAACTGTAAGTTCTCAACGTGCCACGTTCTGATGCCCTTCTTGCTCAAGAGTGTGGCTGAGTGGCTGCGCCAGAGCCGTGAATTGGGTCTGGGTGAAGTACGAGCAAAGCCCCAGTTGTAGCGCACTCTTCAGGCATCCACCCAGACCTAGAGAGTTGATTCCCTGGCGCTGCGCCCATGGCTCCCGAGAGGACAAGCCAGGAGATGGAGGAGAGCTGCGGTTACTCTGCTAGCTGCGCGTTGTGCCCATCTTAGCGTCTCAAGAGGGTTTAGGGTTTAGGGTGTAGGGACCCGAAGGAGGCCGCCAAAGAGCTGGAGGGATGTGGCAGCGACAAGGTCGCTGTGCCTTTCTTTGCTGGAAGCGTTGTTGTAAATAAAAGCGCCTAAAACCCCTGCTGTAACGATGCGTGCATCCGCTACAGTGTCGACACACCGTCGTGCAAGGCCAGCGATGATGAGACAACGCCTGCAGCGCTTCCACCGGATCCCTGCTTTAGACATTTCCCCCCGTGGGGGGTTTAGGATTCAGGGTTTAGGGTTTAGGGGCACCTGTGACAATCACAACAGCGAGCTGCCCACGAAACTCAACAAAAACGGCCCCCTTTTTGGCCCCCAAAGGGCCCTGAAAGCCCAAGGAATTGACAGAGCATCCGAGTCCGGACGGCGCAGCCCTCAGCCAGTTTCATTCAGGGGCCAGCCGTGTTGCTTCGGACAGAGAACTTCCAAGGGCACCACTTCGCTCCGCGAATCTTCCCAGAGCACTCAACCCGGCTAGGGTTCAGGGCTTGCATCTGAAGGCTTTGTCTATATTATATATACATATACATGTTCCATATATGTTTAATGTAGCATATTGTATATATAGATATATAGATATACAGATATACAGACATATAGATATATAGATATATAGATATATCGATATGTAGATATGTAGATATATAGATATATAGATATATAGATATATAGATATATAGATATATAGATATATAGATATATAGATATATAGATATATAGATATATAGATATATAGATATATAGATATATAGAGATATAGATATATAGATATATAGATATATAGATATATAGATATATAGATATATAGATATATAGATATATAGATATACAGATATATAGATATATAGATATATAGATATATAGATATATAGATAGATACATCTATATATCTATATAGATGTATAGATATATAGATATAGAGATCATGTCTCTCTCTCTCTCTCTCCCTATACATATTCTGACGATTATGATTCTGTTTTTTGTATTTACCAGGTTCCGAAGCATGTTTTCCTTGTGTCCCAGCATGGCCCCCAGGCATGCCCACAGCCTGACTGGTTTAGGGTTCAGGGTTTGGGGTTTGGGGTGTAGGGTTGAGGGTTTAGGGTTTAGGGCTAGGGTTTTTGGGTTTAGGTTTTGGGTTTTTGGGTTTTTGGGTTTTTGGGTTTTTGGGTTTTTGGGTTTTTGGGTAGTCCTCTGTATCCTTGGCTTTCAGAAGGCATCGACATGGCCGAGTCGGTGATGGATCTGCCCTGGCTGCCCTCGGGAACGCCAAACTCGGACCACGATCGCAGGACCTTCACCCCTAACGAGCCTGAATACCCTAAACCCTAAACCCTAAACCCTAAACCCTAAACCCTAAACCCTAAACCCTCAACCCTAAGCCCTAAACCCCTCAATCTCTCCCCCCCCCCCCCCCCCCCCCCCCGCCTCCCCACCCCGGTTACAATATCCCCCCCCAATTCACCAAAAGCACCCCCCAAAACCTAGCACACCGCTTTGGGTTTTTTTTGATGCTTCTTGGGGCATCTTGGGATATCTTGGGTCCAGGGTTTCAGGGTGGAGGCTTGTGAGCCGCCAGGTCGACCTGAATCGCCAGTGATCGCCGTATGAACCTTCGGCCCTGAACTCCTCGGAATTCTTTTCAACAGGTATCTGTCCTCTTTTGGGGCAGTTTTGGTGTCGGGTTGCATGCTTCTTGATGTTCATCCAACCTTGCCAGAATCATGGGCGCTGCTGCGTCGATTGGGGGCACAGCTGGCTTGATGCCCCCTGGCTCCCTGAGGACCCTAAACCCTAAACCCTAAACCCTAAACCCTAAACCCTGAACCTTGAACCCTAAACCCTAAACCCTAAACCCTAAACCCTAAACCCTAAGCCCTACACCCAGCTGGCGACTTTTCGGGCTTTGGCGTTTCGAGCTTCGGCTTTGGGGAGTCCTGAGCTTGCGAAGTGCTCTGGGGCAGAAGTTAAAGCTGAGGTTTCCTTGTACTCATTGCTCAGCCCATGTGCCAGGTCCTAGCTTCATTACATAAGTTAATATATTCCAATGCAGCATAACATGTTGTAATAAAGTTATATCTATAATATTATACATAATATCCTACTTGCCAATCACTCTAAACTCTAAACCTCAAACCCAAGTTGTGGCTACGTGGCGCGGTGAGGCTTGCGAATCCCGTCTCGGGCCTCGTCCTGGGAACTGCGGCAATGAGCCGTGGCAGCAGAGTTCGTCTGCCACGTGGTGTAGGTGGGCGTGAAGGACGTTAGGGGCTTGGGGTTCAGGGTCCTAAACCCTAAACCCAGAACCCAAAACCCTAAACCCTAAACCCTAAATTCACTTGGCGAGCTTCACTCTGCATCAGGGGTTTCAGGCATCCGCAGCATCGGCGTTCCGAGTTGCCAAGGTATGCCACTTCTCGGGATGACACGGCCGGAGCAGTAGCTCGAAAGGCCCCCGTTGCTCACCACCGACATGGCATCGTGTGTTACCACGCTTTTCTCATGTGCCACATCCCACAAGGCTGTGAACATGTCATGCCTATCTGAGCAGAAAGCGGATTCTTGTCCTTGGGGGCTGCCACTCTGCACACGTGAGTGGAGAGGATGCTGAAGATCTGTGGGTGGGCAGTGGCTCTTCAGGCTGGTGCGGTGTACCTTCACTTGGCTGACTGGGCTGTCGACAGGCGCGCCGGGCACAGAGGGTTTCATGACATCTACTGTAACAGCTGGATGATTAAGGAAATTCATAGGTTTAGAAGGAGCCACAATATGCTAGTGAAATCTAGTGAATGTATAGCGTATTTTCCTTAATGCGTTGCATCTGTCTTCTTTCAGGATCTAAAATATGCAAAACCTATACAAACAGAAGCACGTGCAAGAGCAAACCCTGTAGTGTCCCAGCCCGTTGCATAAACATCATAAACTTAAATGACCGCATCAAACAGAAGCATGCTCGTATGTGCATGTGTCGATGTCCGCACACATGCACATGCACATGCACATACATACATACATACATACATACATACATACATACATACATACATACATACACATATAAATATAAATATAAATATAAATATATAAATATAAATATAAATATAAATATAAATATAAATATAAATATAAATATAAATATAAATATATAAATATAAATATATAAGTATAAATATAAGTATAAGTTTAAGTATAAGTATAAATAAATATATAAATAAATAAATACATAAAAATAAATAAATAAATAAATATATATATATATATATATGCATATACACATATATATATATATATGTATATAACGTATATGTCGATAATTGATGTGTTGCACGCCTGCCTGCATGGTCCACATATTCCTTGTGAATCCCCGGCCTTGCGATGCAGGGGCCTTCAGGGCGTCCATCTGGCAGGCATCTTTGCCGCTTTTCCTGGGAGTACTCCCTTCTGAATCCCAAAAGGCCAACACTCCTCAAGACACTCACGCCCTTAAGGCCCGTATGTAATTGCAGCCGAGGGCCAACCCCCAGAACACAACCAACCCGAAGCCTTCTGTTCGCGGAGCTCGTATGCTCTATGGGTTGCTTGGACTTTCAAGAGATCTCCCAAAGTTGCGTTGTGGGCAGAGCGTGATCTGCAGCTTTCCACAGGGATCGACTCTCGGATGGACGGATGGCAAGAGAGCGGCCCCCTGGATAGGTGCCCTCGCGGAGGAAGGTTGCCGCAAGCTGCTGCAGAAGAGTGCCAGCCTGGACTTGGACGCTTGCCACCAGGCTTGGGGTTTTTTTTGGGCGATTTTTTGGGGTTTAGGGTTTAGGGTTTAGGGTTCTAGCGTGAGTCGACTGCCCTGCTCAGATGAGCCTCTGCTGGGCCACAGGAAGCCCCCTAGAAAAATGCAGTCGGAGCCCCTCCGTCCTCTGTGCGGGGCCCCTTTGATCGCCATAATTTATACGATAAGCTAATGCAAGTACATAGAAGTACAACAATATGTAACATCATCTGTAGTATCTATTTCATGTAGCAACATATACAGTATATAGTATAGGCTCTATGATATATGTATATGCGTCTGCGTCTGTGTGTGATAGGAGAACAAATGGTTCACCCTGCAGGTTCCTGCACCTGTGCGCAGGAAGCTGAAGAAGTGGGCGCCGTGGACCGCATTGAAACTCCTCGACGCTTTCCTTTAAGCTTGAAGTTTTGTCACTGTAAGTCTTCGCATCGTCGCCAAGAAGTCCATGACGTCGGGGGAAGCCAGCCCCAACCTATGGAGCCATAGATTAGATCTCAGCTCTCGACTTTCCAGAGATGCAACTTTGAGTGCTTTGAGTTCCATGCTGGGAGCACTAAGTCCGGCCTCGCCAGCCAGGCCGGGCACGGCTTGGGGTCCTGCATCCCTGGCCCCTGCCCTCCGATCTTCCAAAGAAATTGGGATGATGGGTTAAGAAGCTGCAGCTCCTGCCTTGCGGTTGTATTCGTGATGTCTGACGGCCCTTTAGGCAGGCGAATTGGGGAGGTGAAATCTGCCCTGCGGCTGCCTCGTTGCAGTTGCGGCCTCTGCAGGCGATGTCGCGAGAGGCTCCGCGCCCACCTCCTGAGGAGGTGCTGAGCCCTAAACTCTCTCTCCCTCTCTCTCTCTCTCTTTTTAATTATGTCATGAGGATGGATAGATCAGGATCATGATCATCTGAATAATATCATGACAGCCAGAAGCATAGTAGCACGATGTGTTTCTACTTGTTCTTGTCTTGTTCTTGTAGACTGCACCCTTGGAGCGACGGAGAATGCTGTTGCGCAGCTGCGGATTTAAGCGAACCGTATAGCCGGAGAGTGCACGTGCAGGTCGTGCGGCTGCGAGCTAGGACAGGGCCGGGTTTCAGGGAGATGAAGTAAAATCGTATGTCCAGGATCTAGAAAAACTCGAAATCTAACCATGATCTTGAAGCGAGTCTGCTCATGGGAGCTTGGACTTGGCTGCGAGGATTCCACTAGATCGTGTGCCAGTGCTTTGCGAACCTTCACGCCATGCGTGCCCCGGCCACAAGATCACACCAAGACATCCGGCAGGTCGGATCTCCGCTCAGCATGTTGCCCGACTCACCTGCGACTGACTGTACGGGCACACGGGGGGAGCCTGAGGAACTTGCCAAAGATCAGCCAGCGCAAGTTCGCTGTGCCTGGCAGGTGGGTGAACACATCTGATCGCGTGTAGAGCCTATGGGGCCCAGATTCATCGGTACTTAAGAATCGATGGTCATGGCAAGATCTTCCATGAACCTTGAAGTGAAGTGTGCTCTTGTTCCGTCACCTTCCCTGAAGCATGCTCTGTGGAGAGTTCAAGTACATGGTGCACAAGCACGCTCCTTGCCCGCAAGCAGTGCGAGGCCTAGGAGCTATGGTAGAGGCAGGGCTGGGGCTCTGCACAAAAAGGGTTTCGGGTTTCGGGTTTAGGGTTTAGGGTCTAAACCCTAAACCCTAAACCCTAAACCCTAAGCCCTAAACCCTAAACCCAAAGTCCTTGAGTTCAGGGTGCTTTGAAACCTCCAGGTCATGCAGGTGATCGGCAAGCAGACGGCCAATGCCGAGCAGACGCTCTACATCTTCGCCTCCCTTCTGAAGTTGTTCCCTGTAGTCCTTTGCACCCTGGGCCCCATCTAAGCTGATCCTAACCCCTAACCCCTAAACCCTAAACCCTAAACCCTAAACCCTAAACCCTTATCGCAGTTGATCCCTGAGCCCCAAACCCATGCCGTGCCGAGCCTCTTCACGGTAAAGGTCGATGGTGTCATGCCGAAGAGCAGCGATCGAATGGGAGACCTCTACGATCGCTGGAGCGCTGATGACGGCTTCTTGCACGTGAGGCGGATGGTTTTATGGTGTTTGCTGCTCTGCAGTGCAACAGTTGCCGATCGTTCGACGAGATGCCGAATAACACCCGAATAGCACCGAAGAGCGTTCTTCCCTCTCTGCCCAGAGTGTGCGAGAGCAGGTATTGTGCAGAAAACACTCTGGGGGACAAGGACGCAGCGCCGTGAGTCTGACTCCCAATCCGCAAGATGCTATGGTATGCGGTGCTCTTTTCTCGTTCAGGGCTGTAACGGGCAGAGGGGGCAGACTTGGCAGAGCTGCCACGTTCGTGTTCTGGGATCTCATGCTCAGCTCATGCTTGATGAAGACATATATGGTTCCAGGGCATCAGAGAGACACCGGAAGCGGTGAACCCTCCCAAAGTGAGTCAACGAGTATGCAAACACTGCCGAGGACTGGTCTCGAGCTCCAGCTCGAAAATGTGCAGAAAAACTACAAAATTTCAAGGAATTTCTTTCTGGGCTGATGCAGAGGATGTCGCGAGAGCTTCAGGAGAAAAGTGGGGCGGCATGCATTTAAGGCAGCTGTGATCCAAACCCCATCATCACTGCCTAGAGCGACCGCTCTGGATCAGCCTCCGCGCAGAACGTGTTGTTCGAGATGGAGCCATCGCAATCACTGGACCTGAAGCCTTAAGCCCCTAGATACACCCCAGGCCCTGCACCCTTCATCCTAGTCAGCTCCTCTACATCCTTATAAACCCTAAGCCCGATACACCCTATGAATCCTCAGAGGCACCAGACTCGCAAGCTCCAGCGAAAGCTCTGTCCGAGCGCAGCGCTTCTTGCACTGTACATAAACATGACGGCCGCGCGCGCAATGGAGCTGAGCCCAGTTCTCCACGACCCCTTGTAGAGCCTGAGGGAGCTTCATTGCAACGCTGGCCCTGCCTGACTTCTCTAGGGCAAATCGCTCCAAGGAGGATGGCAGAACTTGGCGTTTAGGGTTTAGGGTTTAAGGTTTCGGGTTTAGAGTTTAGGGTTCAGATTCTTAAGATCCGCCGAAGTTTGCCAACCTCCTGAGCTGCTTTCGAGGCCTCCGGAAGTCAAGGGTTTAATTCAACGCGGGATATCAACGCGCGCATCTTCTCAGCCCGTCTGCGAGGAACAGCAGCAAAAACATCGCAGCAAGAGCTTCCGGGCCACGAGAAAGAGTGAGGAATGCTTAGATTGCTTGGGCTTACGTGCAGCAAGCTCGAGGAGATGATTCAGCGTTGCACGTCGGAGGGACGAGAGATCGGAGCGTCTGCGAGCTTTCCTGGCCTTCTTTCGTTCGTCCACACGCTTATATCATCTGGAAGACTCGAATTCGCGCAGCTTGAAGGTCATGAAAGCTCGCCCAGATGTCCCGGAGATGTTCGGATGCTCCCCTTTTAAAGCAGTTCCGCTACATGGTCAAGCTTTTTAAAGACCTTACAGTCGGAGGAGTGATTGAAGAAGCAGAGCAAACTCACTTGGCTGTAGGGTTGTTGCAGCATCGTTGGCGTGTGCAGTGCTGCTTGGGGGAGCTGATCCCTTGTGAATGCCATCCCCTTTGAAGTAGCTCAGAAATGCAGCTTCAAAGAATGACACGCAGAGTGGCACAGAGAGAGAGTCATAGAGCCCACTGCCTTGCAAAGGTGGCCCCCCACCAAAAGCCTCAGGATGGGAGAGCCAGAAGGATCGTCGTGGGGTTCAGGGCTACCTCCTGGGCCGTGGGCGACGCCTTAGGAGCAGCTATATGTTACTCGTATGAAGCAAGGAGTCTTGTATCATCTTGCATGACATTCGTTTCATGGGTCTCCTTAGGTGTCAACGCGCAAGTTCTGGATGCTTTTGTCGGGGACGACGTGAGTCGTAGCAAAGCGGTGACGACGTCCTTGGTTCAGCTTCTGACATGGCGGATCGGCATGAGCAACTACCAGTCAGGTGTTATACGTAAAGGGGAAAGTAGCCCACATGTGCTGTTAACAGTTTGTCTGCATGTGAGACACAAGAGAAGCCGAAAGGAGTTTGAAGAAGATATCGATATCTTTCTACTACAGAAATCCTTTCTATGAATGAGGAGAGATAGTCTGTCATGAAAACGTAGATTAAACTTCTGAAGAAGAACAGAAGGGTTCGAAGCATAACATGAAGCAACAACAACGAATGTTGGATCGTGAATATACTGTTCGCCACAAATCCGTTCTGTGAAAGATGGAAGTGGAGATAATGAGTTCGTAATTGCTGTAACCCCTCGTAACCTCAAAATAAGACAGAACCCATATAGAGATGGCCACAGTGCGTGACAGCATGATTATTGGCGTAGGAGAGGGAGTAGTCGCGTTGCACTTTGGAGCGCGACGCCCACCGCAATCGTGTTGGAGAGTGGGCCTGTATCATGTCGTTCCCGGTTGAAGTCCTTCCAGAGTTTGCAAATCTCGTCTGTACAGCAGCGGTGTGTACAGCAAAAAGGGGTGCGAGCATGTTGGTAGACTTGCAGCAGACATGTCAAGCGTTGAGTGCAGAGAAGCTGAACTCCCGGGTAAACGGATTTCTAGGGCTGAGCATCCTCTGCTGGGATCTGGGAGGGTGCTAGTATTGAGACCAGGCGGACGAGCTGACGCTGGATCCAGGAATCAGGACACTGCAAGAAACGTACATGCAGGTACATGGTTTAGGGTTTAGGGTTTAGGGTTTCGGTTTAGGGTTTAGGGTTTAGGGTATGCAGCAGACCGTGGTTGCCTACCAGCCGACTGTCGTCCCTGGCTGAGGACTCTCAACTCTGCTCTCGTGGCATGCGGCGCAGGCATGCGCTTTGCGCAGTCACCCCTGTCAGGAGGAGACAGTGACCGACAACAGACCCTCTGTCTTTCTCTGTCTTTGCAGGGTGTCAGGGTGTCTATCTCGCGATTCGTCCCTCTGCTGTTTGAGGCAACCAGTGGTGCTGGGCTTTGCATGTATTCGACCAGGCCTGAGGTGAAATTTCTGAAGCACAGAAGAAGCTGACCACCCCAATTCAATCTTGCCGGGCTCCTTTAGTTGCAGCCAAGTCATGCACGAAGGCGGAGAGAATGGGGACCTGTTGCGTTTGGATGTGCTCTCACTAGTGCGCGCGTGCTACAAAGTGGTCTTCGGTTTCTTGCTTGAATCCGCATTCTGCTGGTTGTAGCGTAAGTCGGGTTGCAACACGCTTTTATAGTTCGGTCTCCCTCTCCTTGGGGCCCTGTCGCGGCGATGACACCTTAGCGCAAACACGCAACTCAATGCAGCATATACCGTGTCCACATGGCCTGCTGCTAGCGTAGCCATCTCCCCACATGAAAACTGCCATCTATGATCATCTGGCCGTAGCAGCAACTGACAACCAATTCCCTAACAAATCCTACAGTCCAGGCTCTACCCCCCCCCCCTCCTGCGCTTCCAAAAGTACGCGCCCGAAACCCTAGACCCTAAACCCGACACCCTAAACCCCTTAAACCTGCAGAATGCCTGAAGCGCCCTAAACCCTAAACCCTAAACCCTAGACCCTAAACCCTAAACCCTAAACCCTAAACCCTAAACCCTAAACGAGCCCAAGCCAGGCAAGGCGAGGGATTCACGGAACTCCGAATGCCCGACGCTCAACTATTTGGGGGGGATTCTAATAGGGGGTACTGTAGTGCCTATTAAGGACTGTTAGTATAAGGGGGAACATCCCATGCTCCTAAACGGACTGCTTAGTAGGGCTTAATCGGGCTCATTCGGGTTAAGATAGGGCCGTTTTAGGGTTAAATACGGTGTAATAGGGTTTAATTGAACAGGGTTGGATAGGGTTGAATAGGATTTAATATCGTTCAATCGTTTTTTTTGCTGGCTCTAGTAGGGTCTAATCGGTATTTTCTGATGTTTAGTCGGGTTTTGAGGGTTTTTAGGGTGCTAATTGGGCTTCGGGGTTTTTGGGTCTATGTTTATGATTTCGGGGCCTTGAATGTGTGGGGTTCAGGGTCTGGGGTTGAGATGCTCTTGGTCCGATGCTGCTGGTCTCAACCCCAGGTGGTAACCTACAACTCCGTGATCTCTGCTGTGGCGAGAGCAGATCACTGGAGGACCGCTTGTGGGCTCAGGGGTGAGGGGCAGACTTGAGCACTTTGAGCAACTTGCAAGGCAAGTTCCGGTTTACCGGGAGGTACGGTGCCGCACTTGCGATCGCTTGTGCTTGCCAGGCTTGGCCTCCAGCTTTTCGAGCTGCTGACCCGCACTGGCCTGGAGGCCTACAAGGGTCTGCGGGGGCGCGGCACCGGAGGCTCACCGGAGGTGCAGTGCTTGGCTGGTGCGCTGCCAGGTCACGGAAGTCTCCTTCACAGCGGGGGTTGCTGCGTGTGCGAAGGGCGAGCATTGGGTCGGGGTGTGGGCCTCAGCGACCTCAGCTGAAACTCAGATCTTACATGCTGTTGCGACTCAGAAGCAGGAGTGAAATTCTGAAAGAGGAGCTAGGCCGCGCGCCAGAGCATTTGAAGCTATGTACTTCGAACATGCCCAGCCTAAGACTAGCACTTCTGAGACTCCCTGTGCGGGAGTGCCTGGAGGTGGGTACTCCAGTGATTGAAAGCTGTCCCACAAAACCCTAAACCCTAAACCCTAAACCCTAAACCCTAAGCCCTAAGCCCTAAACCCTAAACCCTAAACCCTAAACCCTAAATCCTGGAGGCTCTTGGGATCCTCGCCATGTCCCGTGACGCCTCCCTGGAGACGGGTGCGATGACAGCAGGTGCGGACATCGAGATTTCTCTCATTTGGGGTCCTTCGCGGGGGTGCTTCGCATCAGGGCGACGCATTCAACAGGGGAATCAAGAAAGGACTTCAATTCGAGAGAACCACCCAATTTTTCTGGGGGGCTTCGAAAAAACCGGGCTTTCTTGCGGGTTCAGGGTTCAGGTTTTCAGGTTCAGGAAGCCGGGGATGAGGGGCTTGTGGTTGTGGGGGGTGAGGGTCAGGGTAGTGGTTGTGACAGCCTGTCTGGTTGCAGAAGCGTCAATCATACTCTTGCAATATGTATATATATATATATAAAGTATATATATATATAAGGCAAACATGCTCAACATTCCAGTGTTGTGGCCATGTTGGCAAAAAGACCTGTGACAGTGCATCTTGTTCCAAAAACGTCAAACATCCTGGTGCAGCATGTTGTCTAGAGGAGCAACATCACTGTACAAATCGGTGTTTCGGGCATGGTTAGAAGAACATGGTCGTAGCCACCCTTCCCCACCCCACCCACCCTGCCACCCATCCCGAAAAACCAAGACCCTCCCCCCTCTCCCAGCCCCAAGACTAACGACAACTGAAACCATCCGTCCATCCGGAAGGCCGCAACGCTGCAGCGAATGCGTGCATCCAAGCTGGCCAATGGGAAGAGGCTCAGACAGACGTGATGAAGGTAGTTCTCCACAATAGCCCCCTTTTCTGGGGGTTCCCTAAAGACGGACCTTTATAAGAAGGGGGCCCCAAACGGGCCCTAATTTTGCATGCTCAAGATTTAGAGTTTAGGGTTGTTAGGGTCGGTCCATACAGGCATATGTAGAGATTCCAAAACTGTTTTCCCGACCGCTGGTGTGGCGGGGGGCGAAGGGGGCCTCCCCCCCAAGAACGCGAAAAACCCCCCAATTCGCAGCGCGTGAATGTCTCCGTTTTCCCAAACAGGGTCGGGGGGAGACGGCATTCATTTGGGTTTTTCTAGGAACCATTCACGGCCGGGGCGGAGCCGAAAGTAGAAAACTGCCCCCCGGTTGTTGATGCTGTTGGGCAACCAGCCGTCTGCTGCATTTTGATGCAAGATGCGCGTTTTGAGTTTTGAGCTGACAGAGTGAAGTCGGGGTCGGGGTGGGGGTTCCCCCTGCGGCGGGTCTTTTCTAGGCAGGCCCAGCTGCGAATTCTGAAGCCCCCATCCTTGGCTCACCTGCAGGGGCTTTCGATAGCACTGGCCGGCAGCTGCCTCAGGGCTGCAAAATGCCGTGCCTAAGGGAAGCCGGAAGCTCCCTATGGCCCTTCTACTTTGACCTTCTTCTGCTTCATGTTCTGTTTCCTCACTTGTTTTGGGCCCAAGGCACCAGCCTGGGCTTCGACGATGGCAGTTGGGCCGCTCCCTGAGCTGCAGAGCCAGGGCGAGGCATTTTTGTTGAGGAGGGTGAAGTCTGCATGGCGCAGTGCAGGCCCTTGCCGTGCTCGCCTGCAAGGCAGGCTGCCGCTGGGAGCAGGCGCAGTCCTTGGGGGGGGGGCGGTTTTCGACGTCTGGAGTGGGGTTTCGAGCTCCAGGTTCCGAAGCGCTTGCTTGACCATCACCCGATCTGCTTCTGCTGTCCATTGTGTCAAGGCGCTGTTTCTGCTGGGTGCTATGGAGCAGGCCGGCTGGCATCTCAGCATCGCGTCTAGTCCAACTGTGACATCACACAGCGTTCTTCGCTTCTGCACAGTCTGCACAGTGGTCGCGTTAAGTCACCATGCCCGAGGTGTGCTCCCGTCGGTTGCTGCTTGCAGTGCTGCCATCGCAAGCTGCGATCGGGAGTGGCAGCAGGTGGGGCGCCGTAGGACACCAGGGTTGAGCGAGACTCAGAGGACCAAGTACTCACCTTCAAAGTGCTTGTGGGCGCGTCTCGAGGCGTTGCAGGTCCTGGCGACGATGCAGGCCCGCTGCAGGAAATCTTGCAAGTTGGGGCCATGCGCCACCCAGATTTCGATCGATGACCTGAAGTATCAGAAGTGGTGTTTTCACTCATGTTCACCATGGAAATTGCACGGTTTCATTTGTTCGGAGGTTCGCGGCCCTGCACCCAACTTCGTGGTCTTCTCCGCTGCCATCGGTGCCCCTCCATGCGATTGGCGGGGATGGTCAGGGCTTCCAGTTTGGAGATCACGGTCCTCAAAACCCTAAACCCTAAACCCCAAACCCCAAACCCTAAACCCTAAACCCTAAACCCTAAACCCTAAAACCCTGAATGGGGTGCAGGCGTTTGCAGCAACGCCTCGGTCTGGGTTGCAGCGCCTGGCTCTTAGCAGCACAAGTTCTCCTTTGGGGACTAGGGAGCTGCTTGATGTTCTTGCTGGCCGGCGAAGTTTGCCAAACCCTCCATGCCGCATCTTGCTTGTTATGCACAGCCTTTGTCGTAACGTGGGAGTTGTGGAGGGGGGGGGTGAGTTTCCAAAGGATGACAACTAGGTGAGGACGAGAGGCCGCGAGCCGATCCAACGCCACCGACGAGCGACGAAGCAGATGTGCCCGTCTATGCCCGTCTGAAAGGGGAGGAAGAACTCGACGAAGTGACAGGAGGCGATGCGTGGTGAAGGAGATGGGGAAGTTATAGAAATATCGAAGCGTATTTCACTTACAATGGGCAATAACAAGAAAGATGGTGTCATATTATGCCAGCATGGACCCCAAGCAGTGGGAGGCCGCATGACGAAGAGCCTCATGGGCCACGAAAGAACGACTTTGATGCCACCAGACCTCCGTCCCCGGCGTACTACCTTTGACAAAAATCGAGCCGCCAGAGCCCGGACGTCCACGGCGTACAAGAAGTGCTACGTTTGTACTACCAAGAGTCAACTTGCGAGCCATGCAGAACTCCGGATGTCCTGCAAAAGCACCAAAAGCGACAACAGTCTCACATATTTGGCGAACCCCGACGTCCAAAAGCGACGACAGTGTGGCATTTCGTGAACCCAGGCATCCAAGGGCGACGACAGTTACGAGGATGGCGACGTCGATGCTCGCGGCTCCGGCGGAGCACGATTTCCAACCTCGCGAGTTGCAAATCCCAATAGTCTGCCCGCACGCAGCGAACCCACCCAACGGCCCAAAACGCAGGACACCACGTGCCTGCCAAATCTTGAGGACACGGAGCGACGCTCGAAAAGTAGCCGAGAGAGCGCTTCAACACCATCCACGAAGCCGAAACATGTAATTTGCGAGGTTTCAGGGCCCCGAGAAGAAAGGAGAACCCGCGCTATGGTAAAAGTGCGACTTTCGTCCAAAATGCGACCACAGCTTGAGAAACAGCGTCCGCACCGGCCGCGTACGCCGCGACGACTCAGCAGTCTACTATCGCACGTCAACTCGGGACGTAAACATCCCTTAGTGTTGGCGCTCTGTTTGGGGACATATATGTATATAATTAAATATATACATGTAGGTATACATAACTACACACACATATATAAACAGATATATATATATATACATAGTAGACACATCAAATACATATGAATGCATATATAGATATGTAGATATGAATAGTGGGACAGACTTCGGAGGAGGTATCCAGTTCGCCCCCCCCTCTCAAAGCTTCCCAACTTGCAGCGATTCTTATGCCCCAGGCTCGCCCTGCTGGAGGACCTGAGATGCAGAAAACTTCAGGCTCAACCGACTCGGTTCCGCAGTCCGCGAAAGTCACGGCATGACCACCTCGGTGCAGGCGGGTGCCATTCCTTCGGTCATCAGCTCTTGCGAGAGGACTGACATCTGCCCTCCGACGGGCAGAAGCCAATGTCGCTTAACCAGGTGGAAGTCAGCCAAAGCCAGGTCAGTGAAGCTGCGTAACGAAGAAATGTTGCTGCGCAGCTGCTAGTTCCGGGGACACGTAGCCGGCGAAGGCAGCCGGAATCAAAAGGGATGAGACACCAGTGAGACAGTAGCTGCAGCGGTCTTTTTTGTGTCAATGGTTTTCTTTGCTGAGCTTTTGCGTGCTTGGTAGGTTTTATCATCACGGGCTGCTGCCGCTTCTGTTGCCCGAATCCCTTCATAATCCTTGAACCCTTCTCTGGCTCTCGATGCTATTCATGTCTGTTTGCAGCTTGCAGGAGTGGGCAATGGCAGCGCGCGCCCCGCCCTTACGCGGCAACCTTTTCGCTTGGGAACGCTGCAGTGGATCCATGCGGGAGTCGCGCGTTCCCTGTCTCATGTAGATGTCCTGGCTTCCATGAATCAAGTCAAGGCTCCACATCCTGGCAGCATACCGTGACATGGGTCGGCAGCTCACAAGCAAGCAAGTCATTTCGTATCTCCATGTCCTCAAGATCCTTGCAAGAATGAAGCAGGGGGGGGAGGAGAGATTTTGTTTTTTTGGGTTTAGGGTTTAGGGTTGGGGGGGAGGGGGGGTAGTTTAGGGTGCGGAAACCTGGAGGGGGGGGGGGGTGGGGCTTTGCCCAAGAGGCTTCCATGAAGATCTCGCCTCACTCAACGCAGCGCTGAGCTCCTGCGCCGAGGCGGCTCGGAGTCAACTCGGGAGGGAGGGCCCGGGGTTTTGAGGGTTAGGGTTTAGGGTTTAGGGTTTAGGGCTTAGAGTTTAGAATTTAGGGTTTAGGGGTACTTGTACCAAAAAACCCCTCGCAACCCTACATGGAATAGCCCGGCATGCAGTCTCAGTAGCCCTTCTGACCCTTCAATTTCAACTTGTGAGCTTCTCGGGAGGGTTCCGCTGCAGTGCTGTACTTCTGGTTCAGGAACATAAGTTAAAGTTCCCAAAATAGGGCTTCCGTGGTAAACGATAGAGTGCCTTAAGAATCTGCTCACTTTTTCCAGGTCCTTCACAATTTCGCGAGAGCCCAGTCAGCTTTAAGAGTGGCAGGACGCAGGTGCTGAGAGATGCCCTTCAAAGACCTAGTTCGGGGCGGACGGGTTATAGGGTTTTGGGAGTGTAGGAGTTTTGGATTTTGGGTATTAGGGCTTAGGGCTTTGCACGTTCAGCATCTCCACCAGTGATGACAGGGGCAGCGCTGGCAAGTGGCTGGGTGCTCGGCATTGTTTCCCGTCTTGGGGCTCCCTCCCATTCCTTATTGGTGCTTGAGGAGGAGTGGAGGAGTGGATCCCGATAGTAACCCCTTGCAAGCATCTTACAGCTATGGTGGTACCAAGGTTCATTCCCCCCATACCTCCTTGGGCACCATAAAGTTCGGCTCGACATGTCCAGGCCGTGGAACTCTTCAGAGGCATGCAGGCGTCGAAGACGATGCAGCCCTTGAGCAGCAACAAAATAGCGGGTGCCAATGGGCTGCTCCTGGCTTGCCAGGCACAGACCATGCAGCCGGACATCATCAGCGTATCGGCACGTCCGGCATGGACTGCACATCCACGCATTCTAAGTTCGCCTGCCCACGACGGCTGTGCAGAGTTGCATGCTGCATGATTGCGTGCGCGCAGTGCCTCTGCCACTTCAACTTAACAGGCGCTGACAACCTCGTTTGGGACGTCCCGATGGGAATGTGCGCTGGCTTTGGGAAGGCCTGTCGGGCTTCATGGCATGCCGGAGATGTCTGACATCGTTTCCAACACGATATTGATGGATCTGTCGTGCTGTCTCCCGACCCGAAGCCGTTGCTTCTTTTCTTGCGAAATTTGAATCGACTCTCCACTGGCACCTACCTGCACTGCACGCTGCAGAGTCGTCCTTTTTGCAGCGTGTGACATGCGATGGACATGATCGATGTTCCCGTTCCACCACACTCTGAGAAGACATCGCTCCCCCCCCCCCCCCAATGCGGCGTTTGATGCTTGGCGCCCATTGATGTGGGGCCGGGGCCAGGTAGGTGATTTCACCACGTCGGAAAGCTTGCGTTTCAGAATTGACTATTTTTGGCAGAAAAGGGGCAGAGGTTGCACGACCATTACTTACGACGACGACGACGAGGACGGACGACGACGACGACGGACGACGACTGCTGCTGCTGCTCCTCCTACTGCTACTGCTTCTGCTACTGCGACAGCGACTGCGACTGCGACTGCTACTGCTCCTGCTGCTGCTGCTGCTGCTGCTAAGAATATTCATAATATTTTATAATAATAATAATAGTAATAAAACTAATGATAGTAATGGCAATGATCATAAGCATTCGGGAGAAGTGGCAGGCTTACGAGGGATCGGCTGGAGAGCAATGCCGTGCACTGAGTCCTCAGGGGCTCTTCAGGGCTTTTTGAAGGCAGTTCGGTGACCGGCAGGGTCACCATGCCTAAGCCCTAAGCCCGAAGCCCGAATCCCGAAGTCCTAAGCCCTAAATCCTAAATCCTAAACCCTAAACTTATGGCTCGCCGAGTTTGGGGCTTCGAGCTTGAGGTTGTGTCAGCTGGGGCAGCCATCGCTGCCTGCCAGAGAGGCTTGCATAGGGCAAACCCTAAACCCTAAACCCTAAACCCTAAACCCTAAACCCTAAACCCTAAACCCTAAACCCTAAACCCTAAACCCTAAACCCTAAACCACCCTAGCTGTAAGCTCGCCCGAAAAGGAGTGAAGGGTTGTAAAAAAAAACCTAAACCCTAAACCCTAAACCCTAACCCTTAAACCCTAAAACCTAAACCCTAAACCCTAAACCCATTTGGGTGGAGCACGCCGGCCATGCAGGAAGTCTTCCGCTTTTCCAGCTCGCCCCCACATGAGGGCACGCATGCTGAACAAAAACCAATAATTATAACAATAATAATCGCAAAAACAATAGTAACAATAATGATAATAATATCAATAAAATACAATGATATCAATAAAATCTGACAGGAAGGGAGCAATGCTTAGCTTTCTTGCAGGAAGCCAGTGGGAGATTGCGCTGGGCTCCTTGCAGAGGACGCTGCAGCTGGACAATGGCAGTTGCAAGTCGCCAGCAGGGATTTGATGAGCGTAACCTGAAGGCAGTGCAGGCAGCTTGCTGTCCGTGGTTTCCATGCGAGTCGATGACACTTGTGGTTTCAAGTCAGGCCTGATTCAAGCCACGTCCTCTAGGAAGTCACGAAAGCTAGCTCTCTGGCGGCGTGTTTTCGTTCTTGAAATGTTTACACTCTTGCCTCTGATCTCTGCATCATCGGGGCGCCCCCCTAAAGCGGGAGGATGCCCCAGACCGCGTTGCGGCCAAATGCCGCGGCCCTGGTGCGCAGAGTCGCGGAAGGGCAGAAGTGTGTCACTACGAGCCATGTCTCCAACTCTGCACAGCTGGATAATAAGAAGCAATGGATAGCAAGGGCATATGGTTTTAGAGGAGCTGTGTCGAGGCTGTGAAGCCCTTCAAGGCACGAGAGTCTCGCAGCCAAAAGCCTTCAAGCGAAGCTAAGTGCATCAGGGCTTCAAGCGAAGCTAAGTGTTTCGAAGCTTCAGAGCTTCAAGGTGCAGACTATTCGCAGGCGAACCTTCATCAGGCTCCTTGTGGATTCTAAGATTCGGAGGCAATCGAACCCCTGAACGGCCCTAAATCCCGAAACCCTCCCCAAACCGCCGAAATAAAAACCTCAGCTAAGGCCGGTGCTTGCAATGCGGGTCTCGGGGCAGCGGAACGGGGAGCGAGAGTCTCCTGGGACCAGGCGGGGGACTCAGGGACTGTTTGTTTTTGTCTACCTCATCGTCTACGCAAGAAAATTAAGTCGCTTCTAGTTAACTCTATTGTTGAGAAAGGCTCAAGAGATTTCGGCCTACCTTCGCCCAAGAATTCAAGCTGTGAAGCAATTTCTTTCGCTTTCTGTGTGTCCACCTGTCCCCCCGCAAGGGCTCAGGGGCTCGGTTGAGGGAGCCCAAAGCCGCCCAAGCCCGAACACCCCAACCTTTCAACCCTTGGATCACTTGAATGATCCCTATTACCCTACAACCTACTGTATACCCTAATCCCTCTATACACCCCGATATACACCCTAGACCCGAGAAATGCCTCTAAAGCCCCCAACCCTACACGCCGGATGAGGCCCTTGGTCTCCAACAGCAGCTCCGGCGCTTCGGCACTCGCTTGGCGCCAGCCCTGGGGGGGGGGGGGGGGGGTGGAAGCAGACATGTCGTCGGGGGGGAGGGTGGGGAGCGGAAAGGTTTAGGGTTTAGGGATGTCGGGTTTGGGGTACCTCGAAAGGTTTGGGGTTGAGGGCTTAGTTTTGCAGAGTTTTGGTTCCCACCGTAGGGCTTGGAGGGATCTCAAGGGCCGCATGTGCGCGCTGAGGATGTGGTCTCCTTCAATGCTGCCGCAAGCGCGGGGGGCCTCCAGACGATCCTTATCAAGGAAGGGCCCCTTGTAGCTAAACCCCAAACCCTAAACCCTAAACCCTAAACCCTAAACCCTAAACCCTAAACCCTAAACCCTAATTCCTAAACCCTAAACCCTAAACCCTAAACCCTAAACCCTAAACCCTAAACCCTAAACCCTAAACCCTAAACCCTAAACCCTAAACCCTAATCGTGGGGACCCCACTACCTTGTTGTCGTCTGTTGAGCCCCAAGCTGGGGAACCAAGCCCCCGATACTGTAGGGTTTTTAGGGTTTAGGGTTTAGGGTTTAAGGTTAGGGTTTTTGGGTTTAGGGTTTGGGGTTTAGGGTTTAGGGTTTAGGGTTTAGGGCTGGGGCCTTTTAGGGTGAAGGACTTGGGGGAGCCCAAGATGCCTCTTGGTGTTGGGAAGCCCCCCTTGGAAGTCCCCTGAAACCCCCTTGCATCTTTGGCAAGCCGTGCCCCAATCTTGGAGTGGGGTTCAAGCGGCTTCAAGGGTTTAGGGTTTAGGGTTTAGGGTTTAGGGTTTAGGGTTTAGGGTTTAGGGTTTAGGCCGTCCAACCAACATGTATGAAAACCCCCCGACCAAGGTCATGGCGTCATGGCTTGGGTGGGCGGATGAAGGGGGCGCACCGCACACAATACGTCCCGCATGGTGGCGTGCGCGGAGCATGTGACGCCCTAAACCCCAGAAGCCCAGAAACCCCAAAACCCCAAAACCCCAAAACCCCAAACCCCTAAACCCCTAAACCCCTAAACCCTAAACCCTAAACCCTAAACCCTAATTCCTAAACCCTAAACCCTAAACCCTAAGCCCCAAACCCTGCTGCAATAAGGTCTGTAGCCTGGAGAGGCGCTGGGACGTGGCCTTGGCCACCAGCTCAGATCGTCGAGGTAGCCACTCTAAACCCTAAACCCTAAACCCTAAACCCTAAACCCTAAACCCCAAACCCCAAACCCTAAACCCTAAACCCTGAAGCCGACACAGCACACCCGGAACCTTAAACCCTGGATCCAAAACCCTAAACCCCTGAGACCCTGCACCATCTAAGTCGCTGGAGAAGCTCGGGAATCTCTAGATGCCAGGAAGCGATTTTTGTCAGTGAGGGGAACCCTAAACCTTAAACCCTAAACCTTAAACCCTAAACCCTGAACCCTGAACCCTAAACCCTAAACCCTAAACCCTAAACCCTAAACCCTAAACCCTGAACCCTGGAGTGCATGTCGGACACCTTCGCCTGAGGCCATGCTGCGAGCTGCGCCAGAAGCGTCCCTTGAAGCAGGCGCATCCGTTGGGATTTGGTGGGTTTAGGGTTTAGGGTTTAGGGTTTAGGGTTTAGGTGCGTTTCTCTTGGCATAACCTTCCCGTCGTGCAGTTGTTTCGAATCAGAGGCGATGGTTGTCAGGCAGACAGCAAGCCAACAGCATCAAGGTTGCTCTTGAGCCCCCTCAACCCTAAACCCTAAACATCCCTAAACCCTAAAAACAGCAAGCCTTCGGTTATTGGAGCCGCACGGGTGCGTAAAGAGCCGGGCCGTTCCTTGTTGATTCTAATGTCATTATTCCTACTACTCCCATTAGGATTGGGGTGGTGTATGTGTCGTAATACATGCTAGCTGACGGAGCAACAGTTCAAAGGCAGCAGGAGCTTCTTTGGTGTTTCAGGTGTCTCCTTCTTCTGCGTCGCGAAAAAACCCTTAAAGATGTGGGACTAAGCTGACAACGCTGCCCAAAAGCCTAGGCCCCAAACTCTCCTGGTAAGAGGCCTTGTTGCCGTCCATCCACTGTACAGTGCAAGCAGCAACCAGCTCTGTCCTATTAAGGTCCTGCTGTGCACTTGAACAGTTATGTCCCTGCATAGGATAGTCTGAGCGAACTAATATGCATCTTTGTTACGACATCGTTAGAACGATGCAAGGTTTTGAGTCTGCTGAGAGCCTGGAGAACTCACCGTCCGCATGATTGCCATGCTTGCCGTTTCTGATAGCGATCCGTTCATGCCCTCTGTGCTCGTTAGCATCCGCCGTGGTTGCAGGAGGTTGGAGGTTTAGTTGGACGTTGCTTGTTCCTCAGGACTCGTTGGCTCGAGACCAAGGACGCCTGATGCATGTACTGCTGGGGCATGCTCAGGTTCTCAGGTGTTTGAAGGACAAGGCTTGCGGATTCCATGCGGCAGAGCAACTGTACGTGGGCTATAAACGCGCTGAACCCTAAACCCTAAACCCTAAACCCTAAACCCTAAACCCTAACCCTAAACCCTGAACCCTAAACCCTAAACCCTAAACCCTAAACCCTAAACCCTAAACCCTAAACCCTAAACCCTAAACCCTAAACCCTAAACCCTAAACCTAAACAAGGTTGCAACATCGCCATTCACGCCTGTGAGAAGGTCGGGCGCTGGCAGGAGGCCCCCGCTTCTCAGCATACGAACACTCTGAACACAAAACCCAGTAGGTACGGACTATTACGATTATTATTATTATTACTATTACTATTATTATTATTATTACTACTATTACTACGATTACTATTATATTACTATCATCATTATTGTTATTATTATTATTATTACTATTACTATGATTATGATTACTATTACTACGATTACTATTATATTGCTATCATTACCATTATTACTATTGTTTCTACGGCAATCAGTGGTAATATGTACTGTACTCCGCTATGCCAAACTATTCTGTACTAAAAATCTGGTGTAGCCTAACAGTCAGGGCTTTCGGTTCAGGGTGTAGGGAACAGACCAGACAGCATCTGCTACAGAAGAGAACGCAGCGCAACACACTACGCAGCAACGCCATGGCTTAACGTGTCATGCTCGCGGCCATTTTTTCTCGCAGTCGGAGGCCTCACGAGCCGCGCAGGCATTTTCCCCCAAGGGGCTTTGTTTGGCAAGCCTATCGAGGGACCCCTCCAACCCAGGAGGGGGTACCCTTTTTTGGGGGGTTCCCAGAACAAGCTCTATAGTATTTTGGGGTCATGTGAAGTGGGGGGGTGGTTCCCAGAATCAGGGTTCTCGTAGCTTGGGGGTCATTTCTTGGGGGGGTGCCTTACTGTGAAGCAGACCAGGGAAGAGTCCCCATGTAGGCGCTTGGTTTATAAGCCGATGGAGCTGCACCCGAAAGCCATGGACTTGCACCCTGCGCCCGCCACACGTCAGCAAAGCATGGGATGTTTTGGGGGCTTACGGTTTGGGGTTTGGGGTTTAGGGTTAGGGGTTTAGGGTTTAGGGTTTAGGGTTTAGGGTTTAGGGTTTAGGGTTAGGGGTTTAGGGTTTAGGGTTTAGGGTTCAGCTGGGCCACATCGGTCCTCCTCTCCTTCTGGCGCCCCGAGTTAGGGCAGAAGGCTCGCAGTTGTAAAGGCGGTGTGCGCAGACAAGGTGAATTAAGCAGGGGGGGGGGGGGGGAAGGCCACATTCATTCGTGTGAATAAGATGAGATGATGGACTTCGGAGTTGATTGTGCAGGAATGTACATGGGTACAGTGTAATCCGGATTCAGAACGGGCTTCTGCGCCTCCGATCTGCTATTCTGAATCATGTCAGTTGCATCTTACTTGCATAGAGGTGCAGCGAAAAAAGCAGCAACGAACAATGGCTTTCTGCAACTATGCAAATTTGAAATATGATGACATGAAACGCAATATTATCGTGTAGTTTAAAATTGTTAACTATATTACAATCATATAACAATATGATACTTGCGTTCATTTTCCACTGCTGAGGCTATAGACACCCGACAAGCCATCGTCGCTTTCGATGCCGTGCTGGATCAGAAGCCCCTTATCCTTCCATACCACAGTGAGCCCCGAATCTTCAAACCATCTGCAAAAACCTTCAACACTACTTGGAGTTCACATTGTTTGAAGGGAGTTGCTTAAGCCGTAGATTTCCACAAGTGTGCGAGTGGGAAGCGCTCTTGGCTGTTTAGTCATCGTTTAGTCTACGATGGTTTGCGTTGGCTAATGGTTGGCTGGCAACCTGCCCACTGCCGAGCGAGCCCAACAGGCTTGTTTTGGAGGGCATCCATCTCCAAGAGAAAGCCAACCCCACACCCCAGCCGCTGTATGCTCGTATGGGGGTATCCCAAGATTAGGGGACTTGTGTTGGGGGTCCTTATAGGCAAATTAGGGTATATTTGGGGTGGGAGATCCATTATACGCCCTCAAAGGCCCAAGTAGCACAAGACCTGGAACAGCGCGGTTCAAGCCCCTGCTGACCACTTCGAGTGCCAAAAAACCCCACACTCTTCTTGTGTTCTTGCTCTTCTTCTCATTCTTCTCGTTCTTTGCTACTTCTTTCGTATGATGATATGATTGTCAATTCCTGTTGTTTGTTTGTTTGTTGCTATTATCTCCAGGGACGCTGGCAGTTCCAAGGCTGGGAGCGCTTCGCGTGGCCCTGATGGAGGAGCACCGCCGGCTCCTCCACGTCTCGGACGTCGAGGTCTCGTGGGTTTAGGGGGGGAGCTCTACTTGGAGGTTCATGGGTGTATGGTTATAAGCACCCTATAAGTAGGGTTATAGGCATAGCTACCCATGAACCTACAAGTATCGTATCCCAGAAATGCCCGAGTTTCCGAAGAACATGGGTTTAGGGTTTAGGGTTTAGGGTTTATGGCAGGTGGCCACCCTGATCGAGACAGCGTCCAGCCGGCGTTCCAGCATCGACAGCCAGAGCCGCCGGTCCAGCATCGAAAGCCAGGAGCACCAGAACTACAGCCAAGTCCAGCGCCCAGTTGGGGGCTAGGGTTTAGGGTTTAGGGTTTAGTTTAGGGTTCAGGGTTTAGGGTTTAGGGTTTAGGGTTTAGGGTTTAGGGTTTCGGGTTTCGGGTTTCGGGTTTCGGGTTTCGGGTTTCGAGTTTATAAGGTGTGAGGCCCCTAAACCCCCAAACCTAAAGATGCCTAAAGCCTAAACCCCAAACCCTCAACGCCAAATCGGGGCAACGCGGATTGACCAAGCCGGGGGGCCTTCTTGTGTTTAGCCAACCCTCTCTGCGTGCCACTTCGGAACCCTAAACCCTAAACCCTAAACCCTTAACCCTAAACCCTAAACCCTAAGCCCTAAGCCCTAAGCCCTAAACCCTAAACCCTAAACCCTAAACCCTAAACCCTAAACCCTAAACCCCAACATTGCAAGTTTGGCATAGGTTGTTGAGTTCGTGCAATGACCCCTTACATAGATCAGCCTCCTCCCGCGCCATACTGAAACTCTGAACGGGGAAGCTGTACATTCAGCCCCGAATCGGCCTAGCCTCCCTCCGCACTACACTTCTGCTCTGAAAGGCAGACATGCCCAAATGTTAGTCGCTACGTTTTGTTGCCTCTTGACAGTAGATGTAGTTTTGTTCGTGCAATTGGCTCCTAAATAGGTTTACCTTCTCTCTACACTTCTAATCTGAGGGGCAGACTTATCATGTAACACATATATATATATACATACACACATATCCGAGAATGTGAGACGAAGAGGATGAACTGACGCCCTCCGGTGCAGGGCAAAACTGCATGGCAGGCCAAGTCGGAGTTGGCATCCAGCCAGTTGGAGACCTTTCCGCGGGCCCCTCCGTCACTGAACGATTGGCAGGAGGCACCGGTTGGGGGGGGCCTTGTCTGACTAAAATGGTAAATCTTATGTACAACGATTACTTGAGGTTTAGGGTTCTGAAGCAGAGGAAGAATCTCAATGAGCCTCCTGGCAGGCTGACGCCTTGACCTCAAGACCCTGAAGCAAACATACCCATTGGCTCCCGCACGGGTTTAGGTTCAAGGGGGCTCGGGTAGGAGGAGTTCGTTGAGGAGGGGGTTTGGCGAACCGAGCCCTGATGTTTACGAGCTTCGGATATTGACACCCCAAGCCCGTCCCCAAACCCCCTCGACTCTGCTGCACGAAGCCCCAATGGAGCGCCAACAGCCGCTAACATCGTACCCAAACCCTAATGAACCCCCACATCAAAACCTAGCCCACTCCACGGCCCCCAGGTCCTAAACCCTCAAACCCTCAGGCACGAATGACTACTTCCCTCTACCCAGTAGTGAACCGCTATAGTACAAGCAAGGTAGCACAGTCGCTGAAATGGTTTTGTTTGGTTTAGCGCTTATTTTTCTCTTCGAGAATTCTCTTTTTACATGAATTCTCTTTTGCTTCCTCTGTCTTCAGCCCTAAACCCAAAGCCCTAAACCCGAGACCCTAGACCCTAGACCCTAGATCCTAAACCCTAAACCCTAAACCCCAAACCCTAAACCCTAAACCCTAAACCCTAACAAGAGCTCGGCAGGACGAGCCAGAAGAGCCACCTCCAGCTGACATCCCGGAGTCGGACAGGTCCAAAGCCTGAACAGCCCTAAACGGTTGAGGGTTTGGGTTTCGGGTTTAGGGTTTAGGGTTTGGGGTTTAGGGTTTAGGAAGGGTTGAGGGGTTTAGGGTTTAGGGGTTTAGGGTTGAGGGGTTTAGGGTTCAGGGTTCAGGGTTTAGGGTTTAGGGAGGGTTGAGGGGTTTAGGGTTGAGGGGTTTAGGGTTTAGGGTTTAGGGTTCCGGAAGGTCTGAAGGTTTTCGGGCTTCAGGAGTTTAAGGGCTCCACTGCTCGATAATCAGCTACGGCCGATGTGATGGCAGACAGGCCTGGGCCCAGTTTTGGGGGGGTTTAGGGTTTAGGGTTTAGGGTTTTAGGGTTTAGGGTTTAGGGTTGAGGGTTGAGGGTTGAGGGTTTAGGGTTTAGGGTTGGCTAGCCGGATGAAAGCAAAAGTCAAGCATGTGCAAGAAAGCCCACACTTCGACGAGGCCTAGCGAATCAGGTCCATGATAGTCTAGCTTGAGCAGGCGTACGGGTTTAGGGTATAGGGTTTAGGGTGATAAACAGTACAAATACCTCGACCAATGTGCGCGTTGTGCGACGTCTTTGACGGCGGGTGAACAGACGGGACTCGATGTTGTGATTAACTCACGTGAATGGAGAGTCATGACATGACTCAAGGGAACCAACCCTACGGGCTTAGGCTTGGCATAAGAATTTGGAACAGCATCCATGTGCCGCACCACCTACCGACGATCTCCATCCCATGGTAGCGAAGTACTTGCATCAGGTAGTGTTCAATTCAACACAGTGGCAATAAACCCCAAATACAGTCAACTCCAAAAAAGTTGGAACATCCTTATCCCCATACCCCCACAAGGTCTACGAAAGGCGTTAAGGGAATCCCAGCTTTACGCAACCTAAGACCATGTTCCAAGCTTTCTGGAGTTTACGGTATGAATCTCATGTTACTTGTGCTCCCTTGGTAGCCCGGACAGGGAGCTCCTTGGCGGCCAAACTTAACAGCCGATTGCAGTCATATGGGGGTGTACGAAAGCAAGGGACCCCTAGTATAGACCCCAAATAGCAGGATTCCCTGAATACGGACCCCAACAAGGTATCCTTAATTTCGGAACCCCCATATAGATATGTGCATTCACAAGGTCATACATTGACGGCACATAGTATAGTTTGCTAGAATACGATGCTGTTTTACGTTAGACTACGTTGTGTTATGTTATCATACTTTCTGATCAGTATACGGCGGTTGTACTATTCCGTTCTATTCCGTTGTGTTCTTTTCCATGTTGCTATACTATGCTATATTCATTATGATTCCATATTGCCATATGCGCAAGCCAAACCCTAAACCCTAAACCCTAAACTGGCGAGGCCACCCGCTCACCTGCGAAACTCGGTCTCCAGCTTGTCTGCCTCTCTGAGGGTGAAGGACGATGTCTGGGGAAGGGTTTCTGAGGGGGGGGTGAAGAGTTCAGGGGTTTAGGGTTTAGAGTTCAGGGGCTGAGACTTCGGGGTTTTGGGGTTTCTGTTGATGAGGTTTACCGTCCCTCAGGACTGGCTTCCATGTCCCCTGCCCCTGTACGCCCGTGGTTGTCCTGTCCGTAGGACCCAACGAAGAAGGCCAAGAAGAAGTCGGTCTCTTTCCTGCCGCACATTGAGGTGTGCGAGCCGGATTCTGAGCTGTTTCCGTCGCGGCTCCAATGCTGTTTCAGACCCCCGCCCCAGCCTTCGGCAAGGCTTGAAGCGCATGCCATGCTGCACACCATTCTGCATAGTGAACTGCACAACGCCTAACGAAGCCGACGGCGCCCGAGACGAAGCAGCTTGCAACAACACTTAGGTCAACAAAGGAGCAGACGAACGCTGCAACACTTTAGGGACCATGAAGGAGGCTCCGGGTTCCTGTTTCCTGCCGAGGTACTACAGCATGGAGTCGCAATCCTCAAGTGAACTCCGCGCGCTGTGGAAGTGGCCCGATGAGAATGACCCCGATGAGGACTGCCGTCGCCTCGAATCGAATCGTGGGCGAAGTCTGCTCGGCAGCTTCATCTTGCTGACGGCAATGCTACACTACGACTTGCTTAAGAACCCCTCAAAAAAGTTAAACATGTTCTTCCTTATAAGGTAATATAGGGGCCTCAATAGAGGGATCCTTATTTTTCATTTTTTGGGGGGGTTCTGAAGCAAATGGTAGTACAAGCGGTCTTTCCTTCTGCAGTCCCACAGGACACTGAAGATCTCTTGCACGAGCTCGGTGTGACTGGAAGCTGGGGGCCTGGCAAAAGGGAGGGAAATACACCCAATAACCCTAAACCCTGACCCCTAAACCCTAAACCCCATGCGCCCTCTGCGCACCCAGGTAACCACGCATTTGAGGGCCGCTGTGTGCGCTGCCTCACGAGCTGCGTCACGCCGCCAATGTCCCGCCGAAGGCGGGGGCATGTTCCAAGCCCCAAACCCCCAATCCACGTAAACCCTAAAAACCCTACAAACCCTGAAAACCCTAAAAACCCTGAAAACCCTAAAAACCCTAAAAACCCCCAAAAAACCCTAAAACCCTAAAAACCCTAAACCCTAAACCCTAAACAGCCGCAAATCCTCAACCCCAAACGGAGTTCTCAACTGGCAGGATGGTCTGGGATAGCTTGGCGCTGATCATCCTCGCCATTGAGGTCATCTCGTGCAACCCTCAGCTGGAGTCAATCGGGTTTAGGGTTCCGAAAATAGGGGGCCCCCGAATATAGACCCCCAAATGGTAGGATTCCCTTATAGTAGGGACCCCAATAAGGTACCCCGCCCATAGGGTTTGAGGGGTTTCGAGCGTTGCAAAGACTCGCAAATAAGTAGGTAGGAAATTAACGGTGACATGGCTTTTGTCTATCTAAGCAACATGTAGTAATATATCATAAAAATAATAAGATTATTCTTATTCTTCTTCTTATTCTTATTCTTATTCTTATTCTTATTCTTATTCTTATTCTTATTCTTATTCTTATTCTTATTCTTATTCTTATTCTTATTCTTATTCTTATTATATATGTATATATCTATTTATCTATCTACATATATATATATATATGTAGAGTCTTACTAAGACTGATAATGCAGAGAAATGGCCGTAAGGCTGGGGCATGGGCCGGTTTGTGACGTGGGATATTAGGCTTCTCGGCTTTGCGAGCTGAGGGATTGTGCTTAGGCTTTAGGGTTTAGGGTTTTAGGGTTTTAGGGTTTAGGGTTTAGGGTTTAGGGTTTAGGGTTTAGGGTTTAGGGTTCAGAGATTCATGTGACATGGCAGGTTTCCTCTTGGCGCCTTCGAGCAGATTGAAGTCTTGATGACGTCGGAGCCTGCCTTCATCGTGATGGACTGGATCTCCGAATCCTGACAGATTTGGTCTGCCAGAGTCGTGCAATTGCTTCACCTCCCTCCAGCTCCTATGCCTCCCCCATGGATTCCTAAACCCTAAACCCTAAACCCTAAACCCTAAACCCTAAACCCTAAACCCTAAACCCTGAACCCTGAACCCTAAACCCTAAACCCTAAACCCTAAACCCTAAACCCTAAACCCTAAACCCTAAACCTTTACCCTAAACCCTAAACCCTAAAGGCGGTCTACTGGCTTCTGGATATGCCCACCCAGTTCCTTGCCGGCTTCAACACCGTAGAGGCCGAGTCGTGCTGGTCTCTGCCAGATCATGCGGGGGGTTTCCGACATAAGGGGACCCCTAATATAGAGCCCCAAAAATCGTAGGAGTCTTATGGTAAGGAGCCCCAAGAAGGCACAGTACCCCCATAATCGTGAACCCCCATGCTTCCCAGCACATCGGCCTATTTTGTATCATCAGCTTCATCAGGGCAAGATCGAGAAGCGCTTCTCCAAGACAGCGCTGCGGTACTTGAAGTCCTGGTTCTGCTTGGACCTGCTGATCGCCACTTTGCCAGACTTCGGGCTCTTAGGTGTTAGGGTTTGGGTTTAGGGTTTAGGGTTTAGGGTTTAGGGTTTAGGGTTTAGGGTTTAGGGTTTAGGGTTTAGGGTTTAGGGTTTAGGAGTTCAGAGCCGGACACCATGAGAGGGCTTCTTCCGGGCCCCTTCCATACCTCCCCGAAGCGCCCGGAAGTTGCAGGTCACCTTGGATTGGGCATCGCTGGTCGGCCACTATGATGCCGAGTTTCTCGAAGCGTTGCGACGCCCAGCGGAACAGACTTGCAAGGGTCATGTTGCGTTACGTGTAATGCTTTGTACATGTGTTCAACATCAGTTCTCACATTTCGCACACCCATGCTGCCTATGCTCCTCTTGTCGGACGGGGGCTGCACTTTCGACGCAAGCCGTCTTCGATCTGCAGTCTCTGCCACCAGAAAACAGGGTCTCCATTCAATGTTGTGGCGCTCTCTAAAACCTGGTCGTTGAAGAGGAGCTCCTGCTTCTTAGTTCACAGGGCACCGCATCTCTGCCAGAGCCTTCCCCCGGCAAACGAGATGGGGGAGCCAAGGCCTTCCGACGAAGGAGGTCCGATCCGAGGTCGGCATACTCGGCCGCGTGTTCATGCTGTCTTCGATGCAGTAGGTGCTTGTCGCCAAAGTTCGTCTCAGGCTATTGGGGCTCGGTCTCTCCCTCCGCTGTAGCGCTGTCATGTGTCTCAGCAAAGTGCTGGCGTCGGCATAGTCCTCGCCTTCCGGCTGCGACCACCACCTAAGTGGTCTCCAAGCCCGTTGCCGCAGCTCTCGCCGTTCCTTCTGTGGGAGACGATCTTGGCTGACGCCTATACACAGCAACTGACTCCGACATCTCTTTCTTTTCAGGAAGCTCATGGCCCGGCCATTGGACCGGCTTTGGCCATGCCATGGTTCCGCTGCTTCGAGTTCTGATCCAGGAGATCGAGCAGCACCCCTAAACCCTAAACCCTAAACCCTAAACCCTAAACCCTAAACCCTAAACCCTAAACCCTAAACCCTAAACCCTAAACCCTAAACCCTAAACCCTAAACCCTAAACTCTCACGCCCGTCTCCCCTTGTTGGCCAAGGCCTCCATAGGTCTGAAGTCTGAATCACAAGGCAGCGCCGTTTCAGAGCCTGGGCTCCAAGAAGCCCAGCTCACGTGGCTTCTTCGGGGCTCGCCTTTTACCCTAAACCCTAAACCCTAAACCCTAAACCCTAACCCTAAACCCTAAACCCTGTTTCCTGTTTCAATATTGTTAGAGATGTCGCCACATTAATTATAGGTTGCAATTTGAAGGCGGCCGTACTGCACAGCAGCCGCAAAAGGTGCGCCGAAGGCGCTGCTGAGGAAACCTGTCGGCGCACGGAAGTAAGAAACTCTTCCCTGTACTATTCGCGCCCATAGCATCCTCAAGGTAGAAACTGTGTCACGTCGGCCACTCAGGGCTGAAGACGAAACGACCCCACTTGGACTTGATAGTTCAGCTTCCCAATCAGGTCCCAGTTTGCAGCAGCAAGGGGGAGCGTCGCGGGTCTCCTGGATAGGCCTATGTAACTGCACATGTTCAAGGAGCTTGTCCCATGCATATGGGGTTCGGAAGGCTTGCAAGCCCTCAGCCTCCATCTCCGGTGTCTCCTTCATCGAGAAGCCAACGAAGCTTCTTTCAAAGGTACTGAGTGTGGAAACCACCCAGGACTTGAGCCCCTCAGACCATCGCAGAGCCTCAGTGACTTCTGCATCTGTACGTAGCTGAGCGGCCAGAGCGTTGACCACATGAAAGCACTCTTCCGGGTAGAGCGGGTACTTGGACAGGAGCTTGATCATGAAGTCGTGGCCGTTGTTGTGGATCTCGGCATCGTCGAGGTCTAAGAACTTCAGCCCGATGTCACAGCAGACTTGGTCAAGGAGGCTTTCCTTTGCAGGGCGCGGAGCAGGCCCCTGTAGCTCTTCTGGCTCTGCAGCTCTTGGAGGAGCTGCATGGAATTCATGTTGTTGTCGCCGTCGCCATTCCTTGCTGCCAAAGCCTGGTTCAGGACGTTCAACTGTTCGCCCGGCTGCTTGCAGCTTATCCACACATGACGTAGCAGAGCGGAGGTGCACCAAGAGTCGGCAGTAGCTGTGAAAGTCCGTCTCGCAACCACGACAAATGGAACCCTTGGCAACCTCTCTGTATCCTGCAGTCCTGCCATGTATATTGAAAAAGTGCGTGGCAAGTCCAGCTCTTCCAGGTGCGAGGCTTTGCTCGGGAAGGCTTCCCGCGCCGCTCGCTGGGAGCCTCGGCCTCGCAACTTGACAAGGAGCGAAGTCTTGCCCGGCTTCAGGTTTGCTTCGATGCCGTGGTGCCGGCACACTGTAAGCACAGTTCCGACAACAGCTCGCGCTCGGCGAATGGTGGCCTCAGCATCGTTGTCTGCCATGGGAAAGGCCGCGTCGTCCGCCCACACCGCGGACAAGAACTCAGCCTCGCCACTGGCTTCTTGCTCCGGCCAGGGCGACGCATTTCCATCGTGCGATAGCCGGAAAAGTGCCCCTTCCGCATCAAGTGCCTCCCGCACACGGCAAAGGATTCTGTGCATTACAAAGGCGAAAACCACATCTGCCCATGTCTCTCCAGGGCGTGATCCGGTGTGTGTTCGGCATATGCGAGCTCCAGAACCATACGGTGTGACGAACCAGGATTGCACATACATGTCTTGCACCAGTCGCCGAAGATGCCCTGACATCTGTCCATCTGCCAGCATGCCTCCCTGTTGGACAGTCTGCGTCAAGTCACCCAGGGCTTCTGGCGGCAGCCCAAAGTGTTGGAAGACCTTGACAGTCCAAGCATCGGAGTTGAGCTGACCCATAGCGACTTCTCGCAGGACTTTGTAGTAAGCAGCACGGGCGTCCAGAAATAGGCAAGCCATGGACCATTGCTTCTGCTGGCAGATACGCTGCAGAAAGGCAATAGAGGCAGCCGCGAGTGTCACTGGCGCTCCGGGCCGTGCCCCGCAATGGAGCGGCCCCAGTTGTTTCTCAAGCAAATCTCCCATCCTCGACCTCAAGTGTTTGTGTAGGATTTTGCCTGGAATGGATGATATGAAAAGGGATCGATATGAGTCCAGGGCAGAGGGGAGCCCTGAACCTTTGAACGCCTCCTGCAGCAGCCCGCCACGCCATTGCACAGGTTGCGTGCAAGCCAGAATGGACTTGGCATACAGTGGCTGGTATAAACGTGCAGCCTCCTGCGGGGCAGCCCTGAAGAGCTCAGCTGGGACGTTGTCGATGCCGCTTGCCTTGCCAGCCGCAACCCCTCGACAGAGCTCCTCAACCTCTGTCAGGTCAGGGATGAGGTCATAGTCGAGCTCATAGTCCACGTGTGGGAGTCGGAAGATTGCAGCCTCCTGCAAGAAAACTTCGGTTGGCGTCGCCTCTCCATGCTCCTGCGCCCCGAAGTGACCAGTCCAGATATCGTCCAAGACTTCTCGCTGGGTTCGACCTTTGTCCGCAGGGTCGGCCAAGGATGGCAGAGGTCGCCCGAAAGCCCCTCTGTTGCGCTTGCCTATACCCGCTCTTTTCAAGGCCGCCAGAACATTGGCAGCGTTGCCGCTGCCATTTGGTTGCGCCAGACGGGCAAGATAGCTGTTTTTATCCGCCCGGAGGGCCGCTTTCAGCTTGGAACCGGAAAAGGACAGAGCAGCTGCGAAAACGTCATAGAGAAGCGATCTCTTCTGCCACCATTGCAAGAGGCATTTGTTTCCCCGCGTCCACCATTGCAGGGCCGCTTGCACACTGATCCACTGTCGTTCAGCAGGCGTCATCGCAACTCGTCTCTTTAGGGCGAGTCTGCTTTGCCGAAGTTCCCAGGTCCGGGGCTGAATGTATTCCGACCTAGGCCCATTGACCGGAGCGATGAAGTTGTCGTCAAGAATCTCTTGAACACATTGTTCAACTTGTCGGCAGTGGGCATCCGGATGCGAAGCCCAGTCAATGGGCGGTATGTTTTGCAGCGCTGTCTTGAGGATGCGGCGTCCTTCGTTGCTCATCATTTTGGCTCTGTCAAATCGTTTCCTCCGAATGGCAGTTGGAGGGCCTGCTTTGTCCTGATGCCAGAATATTGAGAGAGCAACCGGGGAGTGGTCCTCCTGTCGATTGGCGAGGTCGACTTGGAGGTCGACCCATGAAGCATCAGCACAGGCTCTGCCATATCCTCCAACACAGAGGTAGTCGATGCGGCTCGTAGCTCCCGTCGTATGTTGCCAGGTGTGGTTTCTGCCAACATGTGTGGCCTCGAAGGTGGAAGGGACGACCAGGGCCTGGGAGGCAAGCCAAGCCGCAAATTGAGCACCCAGCTCATCGGGTATGTCCTCAGCATTGCTGCCCGTCACATTTTCATAGTTGGTTGGCATTCGTCCATTGAGGTCGATGCCAATTACCACTAAGGCATAGTCAGAAAAAGCAGGCGAAATGGAGTCCAAATGTTTGAAGAAGCCGTCCCGCTCGCTGGGTGGCCTTTGTTTGTGGGGACAGTGTGCTGAGACGAGGAGGATCCGAGTAGTTGGGCCATTAATGGTCAGTGCCAATATGCGCGGTGCATCCAGAATCACACTGATGTCAACAGGAGAGACTGGTATGGGTCTGTGAGAAGTGGTGCCAAGTCCGAGCATTTTGTTGACCCATATTTCACAACCCCATATACCTCCAGATTCTGAGGCATATCTGAGAAAGGCTCCTGATTCCGTGAGGCCAGTGTGACCCTTAGCCTCCTGGAACATAGCCACATTGTAGCCAGACTGCAGCTGCTCTTCCAAATACCGGTATTTGCCGGCCAGCCCCTGGGCGTTGGCCGATATACACCTCATATGAGAAGGGCCCTGTGCAAATCTGTTCGAGAGAAGGGGTCTGGTCGGGATCAGGTCCTTTGGCTCAAGCTCCGGTTCCTGATGAAGCCAACAGTCATCATTCCATTGCAAGCAGCCCTCGTTGTCCAAGGGAAAGGCCACTGCAGCATCTTTGTCGACCGCGGCCCAGAACCACTGAATGCCACCCTCCAGCAGCTTGGAGGCCACATTGCTTGGTGGGGCAGCTAGAAGGTTGCAGCCCTTTGCAGCAAGGCCAGCAAGAGTGTCAGCATATTCGTTCCAAGGATGGCCAGTGTGGGATTTGATATGCTGGTAGGCGACCCTTGCCACGGAGGGCTTCCAGGAAGAGAAAGGTACCACGCAGGCATTTTGACAGGGGGTCAGCCTGGAGGTTCCAATCCCCACTAGCCGCGTATCCAGCAGCCAGGCAATCAAACCTGAAGACCAGTTCAGCGGCAAGCCCGTGGAAGCCGCCCTGTATAGCCCACAGCGCCGCCCAAACTAAAGCCGTCCTCTCAGCCGTGCCAGCATCACTCGACAGCGCTCCTAAATAGTGTGGGTGCGTCGGGTCAGAGGTGACCTGCCCGCCGATGGCACCCGGTATGGCCTGCTCGCCGGTGTCCTTGTCAACAAGTAATGCCGCTGCAGCCCAGCCACATCCATGTGCATCGCTGTAGGACCCGTCGGTGTAGATCTCCATGCACTGTCTGCAGCGCTGAAGAATATCAGCAGGCCAGCATAAGGAAGCGGTAGCTGCAGACGTTGCCGGATGGAGGTCAATATTGTGGAGGGGTGCCTCGAACCACGGGGTGAGCCAGGGTCTCAGGAGTTCCCGGAGGTGGGGTTTGTTGACCAGTGGGATACCAGGCTGACCCGATATGTCAAAGTTGGCCGGCCCAACCTTGTCCATCAGGGTCAAGCAACGGATCACCACGGCTGGTTCTGAGTGGGCCCGGCTGGAAATCCAATCAACGAGCTGCTCGCACTGATGAAGGAAGAAACTCCTACCCTCCTCCAACACGGTGATGAGCGGTCTCTCGCTCCCAGCTTCGCCCAGCAACCGATGCCAAGGTGTAAGCGTTGGGATTTGGCGCTGCTTGTCCCGCTCCTCAGCCTTGTCGACATTGTTGCCCCTGCCTCGGGGTAGGGGGGTACGGCTCCTTGAAGCGTCGCTATCCTCGTCGCCCATATTAGTGCCAGAGTCGTGGGTGTCATTGGGGAAGTGCCTCCAAAGGCGGTCCTCATCCTTTCGGAAAAGAAGTCTGAGCACATCTCCTTCTCTGACGGGAAGAATATCATCAACCTCAAAGTGTCCACGTTCAGTTCTGACCTCTGCATGCCAGCCCTGCGGTGGAATGAGGGAATTGTGCTCGATCAAGCGTTGCGCCGCAGCCTGTTGCTCTTCCAGGCCTTCCAGGCGCAGGTGCAGCCCGGCTCCTCTTCCGTCAGTCAGCACAAAGCAGTGATGTGGATCTCGCCGGTGGATAGCGACTGTCTGGACTATACGTCGCCCCATAAACGCCACATCATCAGGCAGTTGCTGTGGGTGAAGGATATCAATGCGCTCTGCTGGCATGCCCAAAGCTTCGGCCCCAATTGCCCTAAGGTGCTCTTCAGTCTGTCCAGGGTGCCACTGAAGAAAGTCAACGCCATGGGTGTAAAGGACGAAAATGTAGCTTCGGTCACACGGGCCTCTATCAGGGACGAAGAGTCCCGGCCGGAGATGGCCAAGATTCTGTCCGCAACGCATGAGCTGACGCAGTCTCGGTATCATGGTTGGCTCCCATTGTACCTCTGGCGCAACTGACAGCTGCAGAAGCAAACCCGGGTAGCTGGGAATCTGGTCGTCGTCAATCAAGGGAAGATTCGTGCCGCCCACAAAGACCGCCATGTCGTCAGGGGCCCCGTGGTTCACATACTGCTCGATGATGTGCCTAGCGACGGTTTCCCCGTCGCTGATGTATATCGGAGCCAGGGGCCAGCCAACTGGGCGCCCGTCTACGACGACCAGCTCATAGTTCGAGGCCGGCACCCAGTTTGGTATCTCCAGCCAGGTTGCATAGCCGTCATTTGGCTGCGGAATGACCGGTACGACATCGCCATTTAGCTGCCCTAGAAGCTCAGCACGCAATGATAGCCCAATCGTGAGGAGGTCGTGCTCTGCGGTCACCTCCAAAGCCACATGTATGGGTTGTCTTCCATGTCGAAGTATCTGAAAGGGGACCAGTCCCTGAAAGGGGAGTGGGCCCACCGTTTCAGTTTGCGCTTCTGGAGAGGTCAGCATGTCCTCGATGGCTCCGATGACCAGCTGGGCGGTGTCATCAAGGGGCAGCTCAAGCAGAAAGTCCGGTCTCGAGGCTGTGAGTTCCGGCGCCTCCGCAGAGTTGCGTGACGCCGCAGAAGGCGGCGGTCCCCAAGCCCAGCCAGATGTAGCATCACCATGCCTCACAGTTGCATCACTGGTATAGGTGCCAGCCGCTTGTGAAGGTGAAAAGGCAGCCAGGGCGACCAGGATACTCAAATGCCTTCCCGTCACCCGTCTCGCTCCGCGGATGAGGTTGTCAACATTTCTGTCACCGCCTCGCAAAGGGACAGCGAAGAACAAGGCCTGCGTCAAAGCTGCCCATAGAAGGGCCAACCATGAGAGCGCAGCCCCAACGAGCATGTAGCGCAGCTCCAGGTCCTGACTGTAGTGGCTTACGCCAATGAGCCATTGCCACGCGAGTTGGCCATGGAAGTGGGATCCATTTTCGCGTATCATCGAGAGGGATGGGCCAGGTCGCTTGCACATGGTCATGGTCGTCGTGGAGCGGGCACTCGACAACGATGGAGTCACACGGCCTAGCAAAGTGCGGGAAGTCAAAGGTCTCGTGAAGAGGAACCCCGGGCATGAGGTACTCAGGGTCGATTTGCTTTTGGGTTGCAAGGCTCCTGTCCAAGGCCGACAGGGACTGGAGCTGTTTCGCGGCGATCGCATCGTCCTGGTTGTCAGGAGAGTCGCTGCCTTTGACCAGCAGCAATCTCCAATGTGTCATCTTGTCACGCATGTACTTATAACATGGCTCATATTGCCCCCCGAGTGGAGTGGCCAAACGGCTTGTAGCTGGTTGCCTGTCCAAGGCCGAAAGGGACAGTGACCATCTAGAAGCATGAGGCATGGCACGAGTGGCCGTAACTCTGCCTTCCTTTGTCGCAAGCTCCATTGGCAAAAATACATGATCCTCGCCGTCGACGAAGAGTGGAGAAGTCACCATTGACTCAACGCCCTGTGTAGCGGTTTCAGCAGTGACGTCAAAAGCATCCGTTGAAGAAAAGAGAACCTGCTTGTCCAAGCCCGAAAGGGACCAAGCAAGATGAAAAACGTGGGATGAGGCACTTACGGCAGCTCCCACAGCTTCCTTTCGCATATAGGCAATGACCAACAACTTCCAGTGCATGATGCATTGCGTGCTGTCAGACGTCGCCATCTTTGCAATCTCCATGACTGAGAAACCTTCCATAGCCAAAATGGCTGAGAGGTCATACGCCATCACCTTCTTCACTCTAAGTTGCATAGTGTGGTATCCGTCTCGAGGTCCGGGTCGTCGTCCAAGAGGATAGCGCCGCTCAGAGGCATCGCCATCAAGCCGGGGTTGGCAGCATCTGCACTGCCCAATGCTGCTGAGGGGTCCAAGCCACGGCGCTGCAAGAGCTTGTCCGCCAAGGTGGGTCCTGTAACTGCCGTCGGTGAGGTTCCCCTTGTTGGCAACCTCTTCACCGACTGCCGTGTTCCCAAAGGGGCATGTCCCGGCTTGCTCCGAGTGCCCCCAGTGGGCGAGATGGTCGAAGGACCAGTCGACAAAGGCGAGGCCAAGTAGGGGTCTGTGGCAACCGGCGATGTTGTAGGGTAAACCTTCGTCTCCGTGGCAGTTCCATGACCACCACTGGCATTGAGGTCTGCTGTCCTTTGCTGGCTTGTCTTCAAGCGCTCTCGTGCTTGACGTGCATCGGCCCTGGCTGCCTCCAAAGCTCGCTGGAGGTACTCCCTGGCCTGCTGGTCGTCGGCTTCGTCGTCCTCGTCCGCATTGGAGGCAATGAGAGCATGCCAAGCAGCATCGTCCATGGTGTCGGCAGGTCTGGGTGTAGGCACCTCCAACTGCATCTCCGGCAAGGCCTGTTGCATCATGTTCTTCAAGAAGGCACTGGCTGTCTCGGATGCCGCCTGGGCCTCCTTCAGCTCTGCACCAAGTCGGGCCGTGTCGGTATCGAATTTCTCCTTCTCCTTGTGAAATGCCATTCTGAGTTCCGATTGGAACTTCTGCCATTTGGCATGTCTGAGCTCCAATTCTTCCGAGATCTTGCGGGTTTTTGTTTCCGCCTTTCTCGCACCATTGATGTGCCGCTGCAGGATCTTCAGGAAATCGCCTTCTCCCGTCTCCATAGCGTGCGCATTCTTTGTCTCCACTGGCTTTGTCGCAGATGTCCCAGGCTCCACCTTGGCATCCAAATAGGAGGCCAAAATTGTGGATTCCTTCGCCTCCGGCTTCTCTCTTCTTTGCTTCTGGCGATCGTTGGACCACGCTCCACGCCAATAGGACGGCGATGTGCCATACCATTGCTTACGGTCGTGGCGGCCCATATCACACACGTTGAACAGCTTGTGTGCTTCCCTATAGCAGGGTGCAGTGTGATGAGCAGTTAGCAGCCGTAAGTCAGAAGCACGCGGATTCTTGTCAGAAGCTCTGGCCAGGTGCAGCCTCTTTCTGGCTGCTTGTCTTTTCTTTCTAGCCCTGCGATGCCACGCGGGGCTTCGAGGAGGTATGGCTCAAGACGAGTGGCAAACACTCTGGGGCCCGGGCAATGCTCGCTTTTGAGCGGCTCGATCCCAAGCCTTACCCTAAACCCTAAACCCTAAACCCTAAACCCTAAACCCCAAACCCTAAACCCTAAACCTTAAACCCTAGACCCTAAACCCTAAACCCTGAACCCTAAACCCTAAACCCTAAGCCTTGTTGCTTCGGCGAGCAGCGGGGCTCCCAGAGCCGTATTCTGCCGTAGCAGACCACAAACACTGGGCAACCTTGCCACAAGTGCTGGGAAGGCACAGATGAGAGGGGAATCCAAGAATTATGAAAAGCTCATGTAACGAACATGTGTGCGGAACGCAATTTTTGCCGGTTTCGGGGGGTCGTGTGCCTGTTTGCTACACAAGTCCCGTTCTGCTGTGCCCTTACTGTCATCTCGCCTTCCCTTGGCGTGAATAGATATCTTGTGCATTGTGGGCTTTCGTGCAGATGTCTGTCTTGGTTGCACCACATTTATTAAATTTTGTTCGTGGGCCTGAGGGTTGTCCGGAAACTCGCCAGAAGCCAAGGAGTTGGCAAGACAGTCCGTGGCATCCGTATTGTGAGAGGACGGCAGTCGCTGTCACTTCATTCAGCCTCGAAGTGTCGAAGACGATGAGAGTCAATATGAAAGTCATGATGATGATCATCTATGATCATCATACCCCCTCCCAGCAGGATGTAGCAGCCTTTTAGAGTTCCCCACCCTCGGTGTGGGCTTGTTGGATGGTAAACTAAACTCTTCTCCTCGCACGGTCAACTCCTCGCCGATCACCCGTATCCCACGCCCAGAGTATCCCCGGAGTTTCCCTTGCAGTGCCCAACCCCAGACTGTGCCTGGAGTGCCCAACCCCAGAGTGTCCCCGGAGAATCCCCAGAGTGTCCCTGGAGTGCGCAACCCCAAAGCTCGCAGATTCTTTGCCTGTGAAAGCAGGTTCTTGTTTTGTCCTGCCATGTTTTGGTGCAGCCCGCAGTGCAGGAGTTCGAATCCTACGCCTGGCCAAAGTGGTGGCTTCATCGGCATTTGTCAGTTTTGTAAGCCTGCCCATATTGCCTTTGCGAGGTGGCAGTGCTCAGGTAAGGGTTTGCGTGCAGGAAGCAGTTTCGATCGCTGCGCCCTCGGTAGGCACCGATGCTGCAACACGTCGCTGACTCCTTGTATGGCGACCTGAATGTGCTGATCTTCAAGATCTCAAGCATTGTTCTATCGGCTACTCTGCTGAGATGTCAGGAGGCATCTTGAGGTGTGGGCAGCTGTGTGGTGAGCGTCTTCTCTGCTGTTGGGAGATGTGAGGAGGGTGTCCCACTGTTGCTGGCTTTCTAGGGCTCTCACACAAAGCAGGCCCTACTACAGTTCCAAGAGGCTAAGAAAGCCCCAACTTGACCTTTGGAGGTTCGGCCATAAGCGCAAAGCCAAGTAACTAGGGTTTTTTGGGGGTCGGGCGCTTGCCGCCATGTGGCGTTGACTCCTAGATGCTTGCTGAGCTGAGGTTGTGTGCGTGAACCACTTCATTGCTTGCTTCTGGTATTGGCTTGGCTCCTTCACCGGAGAAGGCCCCGATGGTTCATGTCAAGACCCCCGCAGAAAACCAAAACCAAAACCCTAAGCCCTAATCCCTAAGCCCTAAACCCTAAGCCCTGAACCCTAAACCGTAACTTCAGGTGGGCAACCCAGCTGGACGACCGACATCCAGGCCGGATTAGAATCCGCCGGCTTCCAATATGTCGCTCAGCCTTACAAATGATGGACTCCTTCTTGTGTGTTTTGCGGGCAAAGGACTTCCCACAAGGGCCAGTGCCTGTTCCAAAACCCCGATTTCAGCCCACAGCCCCCCGAAGCTCCTGAGACATGAGACTGTCTTAGGATGGGCGGTTTGGGTTGCCGGAATACGTGAAGAGCCTTTGTGGCTCAGCAATGTGGAATGCTGAGCTCTAAGCTTCTGAGTCTCTTGTGGGCTTCTGGCCTTCTCCCGCTGCAACTGAGGTGGCCGCATTTCACTGGAGCCTGTCGAATTTTGCGACCGCCACCACCCGCATCAATGCCATCAACGCTTGGGAGTCTTGCTTTGCATCAACACACTGCGCCTTCGCGGTTCTCTTGTGCTGCCTGAACGAGTCGGTCGGTTTGTCACCTGTGGGCTTCGCATGGCTCTTGCGCTCACCCTAAACCCTAAACCCTAAACCCTAAAATGATGCACTTGTTCGGACTTCAGGAGCACATGTTCGCCATCTTCGTTCTTTTTGCCGGCCTCGTGTCTTTCGCAAGCAGCGCCGTGGCTGGATGTAGCCATGAGAGCCCTAAGCCATCCCAATGTCTCTGATTCCAAAAAGTCTCTCCACGCCCTAAACTCCCCCAAAACTCGGCCCAGGCCTGTCTGCCATCACATCGGCCGTGGCTGATTATCGAGCAGTGGAGGTGGACACCCTGCAGAACGAATCTGGGCAGCAGCACGCAAACGTAGCGCGGGGCCGGCCGCGGAATTTAAGAGTGGCCACACTCCCCCGAAACCTGAGCCCCTAAACCCCTAAACCCCTAAACCCCTAAACCCCTAAACCCCTAAACCCCTAAACCCCTAAACCCCCAAACCCCTAAACCCCTAAACCCCTAAACCCCTAAACCCCTAAACCCTAAACCCTGAACCCCTTATGAGGAGAAGAAGCTGCGGGCCTTCTTTGGCGATCGGGCGATCTCACCTGCAATGTCGAGTCGAATCTGGGAGTTCGTTCGGTCCCGACGATGCTTGGGCAGATCAGGCTTTGGGCTCCACTGTCTTTGGGTTTAGGGTTTAGGGTTTAGGGTTTAGGGTTTAGGGTTTAGGGTTTAGGGTTTAGGGTTTAGGGTTTAGGGTTTAAAGTTCCCTGAGCACTGAAGTGCAACCTGACACCCTGAACTCTGTAAATCTCAGGACGAAATCGGCCGAAGCTGATCGAGGCCAATGTGAAGTTGTTGAATGGACTGCCCAAGATCCTTCGAATCGAACTGCGTAAAGCGCCTCGGATGAGCCAGGCTTGGGTGTTGCTTGGGTGTTGCTCAGGTCAAGGTTTAGGGTTTAGGGTTTAGGGTTTAGGGTTTAGGGTTTAGGGTTTAGGGTTTAGGGTTTAGGGTTTGGGGTTTAGGGTTTAGGGTTTAGGGTCGTAAGCCCCCCCACTTCTGAAAGCCCCAAGTAGGTAGTACGGGGGGGGTTTGCTCAGCAGTCACAGCTAAAGCACTACCTCCAACTGCCCCCCGAAACTTGCAGTTCCCAACACGCCCACGACGTGTATGCGAGTATGATAAACGTAATGCAAAGCATCCCAAGGACATGTTCATTCCACATCTTCAGACACATCCCTTGTTTCAAGGACTGCTCTCTGTGCATGCCTTGGCTCAATGTCACCTGTAACTCCCTTGCGTTTCGATGCGATCCGGGCGAAGAAAACACCTCGCCAGGACTGGAGCTGGCCGACCCGCATGTTATCAGTCGACTTTGCGACCGAGGCCACGCTCTCAACACTGGAAGCTTCAGTGCTTCCCCTTTCCTCTTTTTTTCCTCCTTCTTCTTGTCCCACATGGCTCTGACCTGTTGTAGGGAGTCTAAGCATGTCTCCAACATGATCTACATGAGAGTGCATGTTACGGGATGCCCCGTCGGAATGAGCGTGTTTGAGGCCTGGGATGCTAATAGCGAGTTTGACTCGAGTTTCAGTGGCCTCGAGGAATGGAGTTCCGCGGGGTGCCTCCGATGGAAGACGTGTTCAATCGCGCAGAGAAAGCTGCGTATGTGTGTCCTGGCTGACATCGTGAGTGTGAGCCATTCTTGGACTCTTCTGGAGTTTCTGGGATGGTGCGGCCGTATAGGACTTGCTCATCGGCCTTGCATTTGTGGTGCCATGAACGAAAGCTGAGGTATTATGTCATAGGTGGGACCCTTCAGTATTACTTCCAGCGGCCACAAGCCCGGCGCGCAGTCGTTGGAGCAATCGACGTCCACCCGAACGAGTTGCTTGGACCAAGTAGAGCATGTGGCACGTCTGGCATACATGTGGGGTCCCAGAGTCCCAGTAAATGCACTCTAAGGGGGATGGATTTGAAGTTCCTTTTGCTTTGTGAAGATTTGGGGCTGGGGGGGGGGGGTGTGAGGACAAGTGTTTTCTTTTGGGCCCGGTCGGAAGCGTCGTAAGGAGGTCACCCCAAGCCCTCCAAAGCTTGCACTGCCGCGCTTGGGGGGGGGCAAGATTATAATGGGGTCCTGAAGGGAGGGGGGGCCTTAGGAAGTAGTGGGGAGTATTGCGCCCCTTGAACCCCCTTTCTTTGGGATTCGAGAACCCCCCTGGTCCTTGGTAGGGAATGGGGGAATGAGGTACCTTACATAATCCTTTGCAGGGTGTATATGGGCGGAATGTTGGGTAAACAAGAGAGCCCATGAGTCGGTTTGATGCCACCTTGCTGAAGGTGGATCTCGGAAGGAGCTTTCTGGTTCGAAACCTCGATGCATTCCAGAGGGTATTTGGGGTTTAGGGTTTGGGGTTTAGGGTTTCGGTTGTGTTTATGTGTGTGCGTGTGCGTGCCACGCCATGTTGTTTTTTTCCAGAAGCGTACAGGCTCTGCTCGCCAGGCTCGCAAGACTCGAGACATCAGAAAGAGAGAGGTGTCCCGACAATAGGCGGGCGCACTGTCTTTGTGCAGGCCCTCGGTGCAACGAAAGCATGTTGCTGAGGACAACTGGGTGCACTTCGGATGGCTTCGGGCAAAGACACCGTCGGAGCTGCCTGGCAAGGGAAGTGCCAATGACCTGACGAGCTTCTGGGTCTCTGAAACCTCTGCCTTTCAGGTTCCTGATGCTCAACGTGGAGGTTTTCCAGATGGTTGCTCTGAAGTCTCCGAGCCCCTACCTAGGACTGCATGCCTAAGCTGTCTAGGAAGCAACGTGGCACGGAAGCATCTCTGCTGCCGTCTGCTTGGCAAACAGACACAGTATGATGCAGTTCTGAGCATTGAAGTTGGCGAGGAAGTACCATCTACAAACAGGTGGCTTCGACAGCACACAGAGCTTGCTGAGGGTCTTTGTTTTTTTCAAAGTGATGGGTTCAGCTTCTGCTTTCTAGTTATCAAAGGGGGTTTACGAACATAAGGGACCCCCTAATACTGACCCCCCCTAATCTAGCAGGGTTCCCTTATAAGAAGGACTCCAGTAAACCCTAAGCCCTAAACCCTAAACCCTAAACCCTAAGCCCTAAACCCTAAACCCTAACCCCTAAACCCTAAACCCTAAACCCGAAGCCCTAAGCCCTAAACCCTAAACCCTAAACCCCCCTAATTTCGGAAGCCCCCTCGTCAGGCATGGGTGAAGCAGATCAAGGACGATGTGCGATCTCAGGAAGATGGGGCCGCCTGGCACGAGTCGAAATGTAGGGTTGGGGTTTAGGGTTTAGGGTTTAGGGTTTGGGGTTTAGGGTTTAGGGTTTGGGGTTTAGGGTTTAGGGTTTTGGTGTTTTGAAGAAACTTGTGTGGGCAAGGGTGCTGCGAAAGTAGCGTCTGGGCATGCGCCATCAGTCATCTAAGAATGTTAAAATGTGAAGTATCACAGTCTAATCATACAATAAGGGAAGAAAATAGGATCGTATACTCATATTATACTAGAATAATAGAGTAATGTATTCACATACAAATATGTGCATATACAAAAAATAAGAATGTCATAGAATGAGTTGTATACGGGAGTCGACAAGAGCTGCCTGAAGGGAGCCGCCTCCTTGCAATGAGGTGACCCGCCTTTTCAAAGGACGTCCAACAGACCTGGCGGGCGACAAACAGCTTCTCGAGCCACCCAGACGAGAACGATGCAGGAAGGGTTTAGGGTTTAGGGTTTAGGGTTTCGGGTTTCGGGTTTAGGTTCCGGAAGTGTTGTTGAGTTCATCCAGCCTCGTGATGCTATGTAGACTTTCGCTCAGCTATCAGTCCTGCACTGATGTCCGCAGTGCCTTCCTGGATGCCGTAAAGAATCCCCGCAGTCAGTCTGCTGACCATCCCGTGATATCCCGTGCATATCATAAAGCATCCCTGTCTTGCCCACACCCAGAGACGCAAACATTCTGCCGAAAATCCCGCAGAGCATCCTCCCCCCCCCCCCCCCCTCGCGACCATTCCGCAGAGCATCCTGAGTTCCTGATCCCCCACCCCCCAGAGAATCCCATGGACGCACCCCAATCCCACATCATCCCAGAATATCCACACAGAATATCCCTGGAGTGCTAGTCGGATGTGGGGTAGGGCTGTTCGAAGTAGCTTGCTTTGCTTTGTTTTTGTCCTTCTGGACTTTGCAACGCCCAGCGCCCAGGCACATTGCTTATGAGCCTTGCCTGCAATGGACACCGGGCCATCGCACCTGTAGACGTGGCTGTTGCAGATTCTCCTTTCAAGACGCATCACCCCCTTCCATGATGGTTACGCAGACTTGCTGCTACAGAACCTTTCCGCCCCCGCCCCCCTTCCCCCCGAGAAGAACAAAAGCAAGGGGACCCTCACAACATCCGCCTTGCCTTCAGGATGCCTTCCCCGATCTCGCCCGACGGTATGAGATGAGATTCAACCCAGAAATCCTGAAATTGGGTAGCTTCTCGAGCAAGATCTTTCAATCGACCTCTTCGTCCGGCCTTTAGGGCGGGGTTCGAATTCCTGGAGCAATCTTAAAGAGCACTTGCTTATGGATTCGCAGTGCATTCGGAGTCTGAACCTGCCTTGCATGTCGAACTCGCCTGTAAACACAGCAGACTTAGCTGTGGTCAGGGATGCCAAATGTGTGATTCTATTAGGGTTAGGGTGTGTAGGGTTGCTGTTTCCGCGACCACCAGCCGAGTCTGAAAAGCAGCTGTTAGGAATGTGCTGCTCAACCTGCACAAGCTGGCATTCACATCAGTGTCCTGCACGACCAGCGGAGGTTCTTTTCTTACACACTACACACTTTCTGGGAACACCGAAAAGAAGCATGCTTAGACTGCTTAAATCGTGCAGACCGAAGACGGAGTCCAGCTTGGCTCACGGCCCGGCAAAATTACGTCGGCAATCGAATCAGGACGGGAACATCTCCCGACATTTTCGGTGACCTTCCCTTTAATCCGGCCCAACTGCTGACGAGTTTGGGATCCAGCTGCACCTGCTGCTTTCATACCACATTGCACCCATTGCAAACACCGAAGGTGTTGAGCAATTGCTAGTCACACGGGCTCCACGAAGGAGGGAGCAGATGCGATGAACGAAAAACACCATGCCACTGCCCCTGGTTTAGTGAGAATCGGAGTGAGGCGCAGCACCGACATTCGGGACCCCTCCCAAACACCTGGACCTGAAAATGAGCAACATCATGGGCTGAGGGTGTAGCCCTAAACCCTAAACCCTAAACCCTAAACCCTAAACCCTAAACCCTAAACCCTAAACCCTAAACCCTAAACCCTATACACCTTTGGGGATGAGGTTCTTTTTGTTCATCCAGTTGAGCCGCCAGCGTTTCGGGGACTTGCGAAGCTTGACTGCCAGGCCCTCCATGCTTTTGGAGCAGGTGGGCTGCCGATCCTCAAAATCTCTTGGGGATTTGAGGGGTTTTTGTTATCATTATTATCATTTTTTATTATTATCATTATTATTATTATCACATTTATTATGATGAAGATGATGCTTGTTATTATATTTATTAATTATATGATGATGATTATTATGATTATTACTTCTCTTTTTTTGGTCTGGGGGTGTTGGGCTGCATCCGAGGAGCCTTTCATGTGCGAGCTCTTTTCGTCTTCATCCTGCCTTGGGAGTGCATGACAGGGACCGCAACCGACACCATCACCTTCACGACGGCCATCTCAGCTTGTGCCAGCGGCGCTGCACCTGGCTTCGCTCGAAGACTCTGACACTCCGCCCGGGTTTTGATGCCCTCTCCCGAGGCGGCGAATGGGTGCTGGTGCTGCTTTTGCTGAAGGAGATGATGATGGAGCATTTGGAGTCAGACTCTCAGACCCCACTCAGCCTCTTGAGCAGGCCACTTTGCCAAGAGCGTCGTTTTATTCCACGCTGCGTGAGTTGCGGATGTGCGAGGCTCCCTGAGCTGACCGTAACTTGGTGACACTTAGGCCTCCGATCATCGCCTACAATGCCGCTCTGACCGCGTGCACGACGGCCGCCTCCTGGGATGCATCCTCAGCTACCTCAGCTACCTCAGTTGCCTCAGTTGCGGCTTTATGCCCATCGCCAACCGAAGCATGTTGTGCGCGTCAATGCGGTGTTCGAAAGTCGGGAATGCAAGTTGGGGTGTGAGACTAGGTAAGATGCTGGGCAGACGTGTCGTCCAAGGTTGCTGCGCTCGCGTTGCTCGCACACATGCAGCGGAGCCAAATGATGCCAGAGGCCAGCTTCACTCAGGGGCTATGTCTGCTATCTTTCTCAGACAGGCTCCAGAGCCGCTTGACACCCCACTGTGACCTGCAGCGATTCCAGAGGCCACGGCTTTGAGCGCGCTGGTCGGATGTTGCAGACCAAGCCCCAGTTTATGGCGATGCCGTTTCATGAAGTCTGAAGCTTTCTTAAGGTCTCGAGGTCGTTCTTGCATCTGTACTCTGTGGCCCAGTACTCTGTGCTTGCTTCTGTAGCTATGCAGAACGGCGCGCTCAGGCTCAGCCAAGCGCCTGCTGGAGGCCTTTGTGTGAAGAACCCGGACTTCGTTCTCATGTCGCACGCCTGGCTCCCGAAAGGCCCGATGCCTTCTTGCAGCTTTCCGGACAAGAAGCCTGCAGCGCTGCCAGCCAAAAGCCGCGCACGCACGAAAAGCTGGGCCCGATGCAAAGATGTTGCAAAACGGGGCTGGAATGCCTCACCCTCCGGCCCTAAAGTCGACATGTCTTGAGAGATCAGAGCTGAGAGATGTTTCGTGCCAAGTTGCCCAAGTCTACAGAGTCTACAGCCAAGTGTCGAAAAGGGAACCTTTTTTTTGGGAGGGGGGGGTTTGATTATGTTTTTGGCTATGTTTTTTTGGCCCTGTTTTCTGGTAGAAAACGAGGAAAACCAGAGAAAAACCGCTATTTTCCTCCCTAAACCCTAAACCCTAAACCCTAAACCCTAAACCCTAAACCCTAAACCCTAAACCCTAAACCCTAAACCCTAAACCCTAAACCCTAAACCCTAAGCCTCTCTTTCATATATAATTTAAATGTTAAGGAGTTACTGGGCAAGGTCATTTTTTTACTGGGCAAGGTCATTTTTTTACTGGGCAAGGTCATTTTTTTACTGGGCAAGGTCATTTTTTTACTGGGCAAGGTCGTTTCGTCAAAAAAGCGACCTTGCCCAGTAAAAAAATGACCTTGCCCAGTAAAAAAATGACCTTGCCCAGTAAAAATGTTACTGGGCAAGGTCATCTTTTTACTGGGCAAGGTCATCTTTTTACTGGGCAAGGTCATCTTTTTACTGGGCAAGGTCATCTTTTTACTGGGCAAGGTCATTTTTTTTACTGGGCAAGGTCATTTTTTTACTGGGCAAGGTCATTTTTTTACTGGGCAAGGTCATTTTTTTACTGGGCAAGGTCATTTTTTTACTGGGCAAGGTCATTTTTTTACTGGGCAAGGTCATTATTACATTTTTTTATTGGGCAAGGTCATCTTTTTACTGGGCAAGGTCATTTTTTTACTGGGCAAGGTCATTTTTTTACTGGGCAAGGTCATTTTTTTACTGGGCAAGGTCATTTTTTTACTGGGCAAGGTCATTACTGGGCAAGGTCATTTTTTTACTGGGCAAGGTCATTTTTTTACTGGGCAAGGTCATTTTTTTATTGGGCAAGGTCATTTTTTTACTGGGCAAGGTCATTACTGGGCAAGGTCATTTTTTTACTGGGCAAGGTCATTTTTTTACTGGGCAAGGTCATTTTTTTATTGGGCAAGGTCATTTTTTTACTGGGCAAGGTCATTTTTTTACTGGGCAAGGTCATTTTTTTACTGGGCAAGGTCATTTTTTTACTGGGCAAGGTCATTTTTTTACTGGGCAAGGTCATTTTTTTACTGGGCAAGGTCATTTTTTTACTGGGCAAGGTCATTACTGGGCAAGGTCATTTTTTTACTGGGCAAGGTCATTTTTTTACTGGCTAGGTCATTTTTTTACTGGGCTAGGTCATTTTTTTACTGGGCTAGGTCATTTTTTACTGGGCAAGGTCGTTTCGTCCAAAGGTGTTTAGGATTTCCGGGCCTAATGGTTAGGGTTTCAAGGCCTCACGGCCTGGTGTTTAGGGTTTCAGGGTCTCAAGGCCTGCTGTTTAGGGTTTCACGGCCTCACGGCCTAGTATTTAGGTTTCAGGGTTTCAGGGCCTCAAGGCCTAGCGTTTAGGGTTTCAGGGCCTCAAGGCCTGGTGTTTAGGGTTTCAAGGCCTCAAGGCCGGGTGTGGCTTGTGTTAAGTGCTTGGTACTACGGCGTGATTGGTGCATCCGAAGAGAAAATAAGTAACCTTCTATTTTCTTAATGTTATGGGATTCTTTGGGCGGGTGGGTTTTTTTCCGTTGCCTAGATACACTGCTGGCCTAGTAAATGCTCGAACTTGAGATGCTGAACCCTAAACCCTAAACCCTAAACCCTAAACCCTAAACCCTAAACCCTAAACCCTAAACCCTAAACCCTAAACCCTAAACCCTAAACCCTAAACCTTAAACTTAGTGAGGGGTCGCTTCCGTCGAGCGACAGACCCCGAACGGCTTGGCCGAGGGCTCACAGCCCGAGCGCCCATACGAAAAGAGCGGGCCGCGGAGAGGTGAGGGTAAAGCCTAGCCAAGGACCAAGCCGGCCAAAAACCCCCCGACCGCGGTGGGCCAATGATGCCGGGCCAAGGGCCCACAGGCCAGGAATCAAGGGCTCTCTGCACCAAGGCCAAGAAGCGTTCGCCCGGCCAAGGGTTCCTTGGGCCAAGGGGCCCCGCGGCCCAAGGGCCCCCCGAACCAAGGGCGGCGACCCAAGAACAAGTGCCCCTAACAAAGGGGCCAAAGATTCTTTTCGGGCAAGAGGCGCTGCGGGCCCTAAAAGAAGGGGGACCACAAGATTTGTCCGTGCCCACAATGAAAAATGCGATTTTTGAATATTGAAAACGATGGTTTTCGGCCCTGCCCGCAATGAAAAATGTTGTTTTTTAGTACTGAAATCGCGTGCCCCGGGACCCCCCCGCACGTGGAGCGGGACGCATTTTTTGTTGCTCTCTCCTCCGTGGGGCATCGCGTTGGTAGAATGCAATGCGCCTTGGAATGAATTGAACGCCCCCCTTGAGGGGGGTTGGGGGGTGAACCCTAAACCCTAATTGAGAATAGCTTGGGTGGCCGGGGCGGGATTACAGGCAACGCGAGCGCGCGGCCCGGGGCGTTTCACGCCCGAGCGCGCGACCTCGCACGCACACCCTAAACCCTAAACCCTAAACCCAAAACCCTAAACCCTAAACCCTAAACCCTTAACCCTAAACCCCTAAACCCTAAACATCCCTAAACTAATTTTAAACCCCTAAGCCCTAAGCCCTAAGCCCTAAGCCCTAAGCGCTAGGCCCTAAGCCCTAGGCCCTAGGCCCTAGGCCCTAGGCCCTAGGCCCTAGGCCCTAGGCCCTAGGCCCTAGGCCCTAGGCCCTAGGCCCTAAACCTAAACCCTAAACCCTAAACCCTAAACCCTAAACCCTAAACCCTAAACCCTAAACCCAAAACCCAAAACCCTAAACCCTAAACCCTAAACCCTAAACCCTAAACCCTAAACCCTAAACCCTAAACCCTAAACCCCGCTCCGCCCGGACGTCTGGAATTTACAGTACTTCCGGCACTTACGCAGGCTTGGAAAGTGTCATTTTGAAATGTGCGCGTTTTCCGAAAAAGCGAACGTGTATATAGGCAGTCCATACGGTTCATTAGTCTACATTACAGCACTCGGAAAGATTTCAGGAAAACCGAACCACCGACAAGAACAGCTTCGGAAGAACATATTTTCCACGTAGTGGGCACCGATCCCCTTCGGGCTCCCCAGCAAAAGAAGCAGTGCAGCGAGGCCAACAAAAACAAGGTAACACGCGTTCTGGTGTGCCCTGCGTTTTTTGGCATGCATTGGGACCTGCTCGAGCTCAAATGTGCGCAAAACCTAGGTCTTGGACTAATTCCGGTTTTGGGAGCCAGGAAGAAACAACACAGATTCCTCGAGAGGCGGATGCCGACAGACATGGATGCGTTCCCAAGCCCCCCCCCCCCCCTCCCCCCCCGTGCCTTGGACGCTTAACGTCTATTCTGCGTGTGCTCTTTGTTTTCTTGGATTTTTTCCCGAAAACCAATTCTGAAATTGGGTTCTCGTTTGGCGCTTCAATGCGGAAGGCGTTCTATCGGATCGCTCCTTGGAGGGTCGGACGGAAAGGGGGTTCGGAACATTCTGCTGGAGATGTGGGGAGGCGAGGACCATGCATGGAGGTTGACGGACGGGTTCGGCGCGGAAGGGGAGAGTGACATTCGGTTGATGGGCAGGGGATATGGGGACACGTGGATGCCGCGCGCCCTCCGCGCCTTTCCGCCCTCTGCACGCTCCGCGCCCTCCGCGCCCTCCGCGCCCTCCCCGCGCTCCCGCGCCCTCCGCGCCCTCCGCGCCCTCCGCACCCTCCGCGCCCTCCCCTCCGCACCCTCCGCGCCCTCCGCACCCTCCGCGCCCTCCGCGCCCTCCGCGCCCTCCGCACCCTCCGCGCCCTCCGCGCCTCCGCGCCTCCGCGCCCTCCGCGTCCCTCCGCGCCCTCCGCGCCCTCCGCGCCCTCCGCGCCCTCCGCGCCCTCCGCGCCCTCCGCGCCCTCCGCGCCCTCCGCGCCCCCGCCAGGACACGCGCTGGCAGGGTGCTTGCGTCTATTCTGCGGGTGCGTTGTGTCTATTCTGCGGGCGTTTCCTTTGTAAAGTGTTTGTTTACAAGGCACGCACGTGCAGCATAGTAGCCTTTAAGTGTCCACCCCCTCTCCCCCCGCCCCTCTCCCCCCCCCCCTCTCCCCCCGTGCCTTGGACGCTTAACGTCTATTCTGCGCGTGCTCGTTGTTTTTTTGTTACCGTACTAACCATGCAAAACCTTACGTTGGGTTCCGCAGAAGGCGCGCTATCGCATTCTGACGGAAGAGGAGGAGGGTCGGACGGATGATTTTTTGACGGGAAGCCACAAAGAGGAAATGGTTAAGGGCGGAGGGTCGGAACATTTTGACGGGAGAGGGGCAGGCATGGATTACGTGGGACGGCGATGCATGTCCGGTTGACGGGCAGGTTCGGGGGGCGAGGACAAGGAATTCGGTTGACGAGCAGGGCACGGGAAGAAGATCCCGTTCGCAGGTCGGGAGCGGGATCTATGCGTGGGGGTTCAGTGATGATAGCCGGTTGATGGGGAGGCGCCCTCCGCGCCTCTCGCGCGCCCTCCGCGCCCGCGCCTCGCGCGCCCTCCGCGCCCTCCGCGCCCTCCGCGCCCTCCGCGCCCTCCGCGCCCTCCGCGCCCTCCGCGCCCTCCGCGCCCTCCGCGCCCTCCGCGCCCTCCCGCCCTCCGCGCCCTCCGCGCCCTCCGCGCCCTCCGCGCGCCCTCCGCGCCCTCCGCGCCGGAGGGCGCCCTCCGCGTCCTCCGCACCCCTCCGCGCCCTCCGCCCCCTCCGCGCCCTCCGCGCCCTCCGCGCCCTCCGCGCCCTCTCCGCCCTCCGCGACCTCCGCGCCCTACCTCCGAGCTCTGGGTCTGTTGTCTGCGCTCCGTTGCGGATGCGTTGCGTCTATTCTGCGGACGCGTTGCGTCTATTCTGCGGGCGTTTCCTTCGTAATCAATATGTTTAAAAGGCACGCGTGTGCAGCATAGCCTCTAAGTGTCCATCTAACCCTCCCCCCCCCCCCCCCCCCCCCCCCCCCCCCCCCCCCCCCCCCCCCCCCCCCCCCCCCTCCAAAACCCCGAGAAACGCTCGCAGGGCGTGCAAAAGCGCGTCTTACCAAAAACAAGTTGGGTCATGCTCCGGCCAATAGCACGGACTGGTAACACGGACGTGGAGAGGGCAGCGTTTGAGTGGAGGGGTCGGAACTTTTAAGGGTCCGAGGGGGTTTGTTGGGTGCATTTACACGACTTCCGGCAGGCCTTCAAGTGCGGCGTAACGCTTGGGCTAAACCCTAAACCCTAAACCCTATAAACCCTAAACCCTAAACCTCAAACCCTAAACCCCAAACCCCAAACCCCAAACCCTAAACCCTAAACCCCAACCCCTTCCCCCCGCCCCGCCCCCCCCCAAAAAAAAAAAAAAAAAGGCCCCCCCCCCCCCCCACCCCCAAAAAAAGAAACGGTGCACCCCTTTCATTCTGGCTTCCAGGTCATGATCTTTTGCTGTCCCTTGAACTCCTATTCAGAATGGAGAGTATTAAGAACATGAAGAGAACGACGAAGATGAAGAATCTGGAAGATGATTATTCGTCATATCAGAGTTTGTTAAGAGTATGAAATGTATTGTATCACTCGAAGCGTCAATGGTATCACTTTCAGACGATTAGCCATAGCAAGAATGTTAAGAATATCACGAGCATCAAGAATATCAAGAATATTGCCCATGTTGCGACTCTTAAGGTGTTCCTGCCATGAGTGAGCTTCCATGGCGTGCACCGATGATGCTGGGAGCGCAGCGCCCGCAGCCGAGCACCTTGGGGTAGAGTTCCGTTGCAGGGCGGGGATGTTCCCCCTTGTACGAACAGTCCTTAGTAGGGATAATAGTACCCCCCCATTATAATCCCCATATTAAGGACTGTTAGTATAAGGTGGGAACAGCCGCCAACCAAACATACGAAGAGAGATCGTTTATTAGAAGCAGAATATGAAATTCAGCAATGATGGGAAAATAATGTATTTGAATCGAATCCAGAGAAAGGACAAACAACATGTATGTGTACATTGTATGTGTATATGTGTATGTAATGCATATACGGAAGTATATAGAACGATGAAGAACGAATTCTGATCAGGACTTTAGGAGTTTTCGGGCGTTGAAAGGAATGAGGGTGGACGGTAGAAGCCCCCAAAAAGCCCAGGCGGCCCAGGCGCGCTAAGCCCTCAACCCTAAACCATAAACCCCCAACCTAACTCGCCCCCTGAGGCGCTGCGCCTCCCGGGGACTCACGCTGAAAGCGGCCCTTGCACGCCTCGGCCTGCCACAGGGTACCGTGCTGACGATCCATGTTCTTGGTGGCCGGGCTCATGGATCCCTATACCCGAACGAAATAGGGTTTAGGGTTTAGGGTTTAGGGTTTAGGGTTTAGGGGTTTAGGGGTTTAGGGGTTTAGGGGTTTAGGGTTTAGGTTTTAGGGTTTAAGCTAAACCCCTCAACCCCTAAAACGCCTCCCAACCCCAACCCCTCAACCCCTAAACCGCCTCCCTCTCAGGTGCCAGCTTCCGCGAGGAGGGCAGCAACCTGACTGCCACAGCCGCCGCCTTCGGTCCGCTCTTGTCCCTGGGCCTTCCCTTCGGCTCTTGCGACATCTTCAGACTCGGGCCGGGGTTCGGTGGGCTTTTCATGCTGCTCCCTTTCTTTTAAGGGAATAGGGTTTAGGGTTTAGGGTTTCGGGTTTAGGGTTTAGGGTTTAGGGTAAGGCAATCCCAAGGCAGGCTCTTAGCCTGAGTGCAAGAGTGTCCCAGGTCGGCGCTGGCCGGGCAGCTGGCCAAGGCTCTGCCATGTGGCCAAAGGATTGCGGCGTTGAATTTCGGGCTTCAGGGTGGGTTTTGGAAGGATGTCTCAGGGTTGCGCTGCGCGTCCGAGGGGTGTCAGAAGTTGGCAGAGGAGCTTCGGAGTGGTTTCATTAGGGTTTAGGGTTTAGGGTTTGGGGTTTAGGGTTTTGGGGTTTAGGGTTTAGGGTTTAGGGTTTCAGGTGCGGCTGCTCCTTGTTGGCCCCACTGCTCTTGGTCCCACGGACACGCAGGCGCCCCGGGGGTGACTCTGGGCATCTGGGCTGGGTCACCTCTGTGATGCTTTACTGTAGATCCTTAGCCTGTTTGGGTTTATTGGGCTTCTTAATAAGGCAGCTAAACATAGAATTTATAGCTATCCTGCTAAGTGCAGCCAAGGGTTGCATCGCCTCATCTGAGGCCAGCGGCGGCTGATGCAGAGCTTCGCTTGCCCTCGGGCCTTCTGCCGCAGGGCTCGGTTCTTGTGCAGAGGGCGGGGCGGACACGACGCAACGAGATGCAAAATGAGGCTAGAGACGCGACATCGCCAAGGCCTCTACCACGAGGCAGCCCCGGATGCCGCAAGGGAACTGAGCTCCATTGATGAATGGAGCACAAAAAACTCGGTATGCACTTGACAACAAGCAAAAGAAGCTCACTAGTTCAGTGGTCCACGGACTCACCGAATTAACCAGCCAGCTAGCCAGCTGCACGAACACAACGAACTCAAGAACTGGCAAAAGTACCCAGAACCCTAAACCTTAGACCCTAAACCCTAAACCCTAAACCCTAAACCCTAAACCCTAAACCCTAAACCCTAAACCCTAAACCCTAAACCCTAAACCCTAAACCCTAAACCCTTCGTGTTCCTGAGCCAGGTGGGTGTCGAGGCCTGGGATCCCGATCTGGTCTGCGCCTTCCAGCCGGGCTTTTACGGCTCCTCGACCCGCTCTAGGGTTTAGGGTTAGGGTTTAGGGTTTAGGGTTTAGGGTTTAGGGTTTAGGGTTTAGGGTTTAGGGTTTAGGGTTTAGGGTTTAGGGTTTAGGGTGTCTCAATGAGTGGACGCGCTGGTGCTGAAAGCACCCAGGCGCGCGCCCCGATTTGCATAAGCCCACCCCCGCTGGCGCTCCACCCTCGCCTTAACCTCTATGGGTTTAGGGTTCTTTTGAACTCTGATCGTGCTTTTGTTATTTTTCTCTTGTCTATTGGGTTGAAGCTCGGCATCGATGCAGATCGACTACCCTGAAGTTCGTAGCCCCTAGGCCTTAGGCATTGCAAGGGAGATGTCTATCAGTCGAGGGCTGCTGGGAGAGCCAAAAGTCAGAGGTTTGGGCTTGGGGTTGGCTGCCGCCTTCGCCCTCGGCGATGCTGCGTGCTGGCCGGGGATTTGGAAAACTTGCTTGGAAGGGAGTGAAATTAGAGGTTTGGGCTTTCGCCATGCTGATGCTGCAACTTTTGTTATTTTTGTCTTTTCTAATGGTTGTTGAGGAGATCCTCCCAGTCCCAGGCAGGGGGCCTCCCAGGCAGGGGGGCCTCCCAGTGAGTCTTTCTCAAAAACCTGAAGGTTTGGGCTTGGGGCTGGCTGCCGCATTCGTACTTGGTGATGCTGCGTCCTGGTTGGGGATCTGGGTCCCTTGCTTGGAAGCCTGCTTTTCAGGTTCAGGCAAAAGGTTTCTGGCAAGCAGGACTAACAGTGCTAGGCAGGGGGCCTCTGAGGCAGGGGGCCTGACACCTCGTACTGGGAAATTGATGCGCTGCCTGCCTGAACCCGGTCTGGGAGCCTCTGGTCCAGGAAACACGACGACGGGCGGAGGCGAGGCTCCTCTGGGAGAGGCCCGGAAGACCTCCCAAAAAGAGGTTGCCATGTTTTGCCCTAAGGTTTGGGGGCGACCTGACGGGTTTCTCGCCAGCGACCTGCCGGGTCCACCGCGCCGCCCGCAGCTGCCGCCCGCCGGAGGGCTTCTGGCTCCGGAGCTACCTCGCCTGCCAGCTTCGGTGCGTTCGCCCTGCTCGACGGCCCCGGGCACACTCAGTTTAGGGTTTACGGAACCCTGCACCCAAGACCCAAAAAACCCCACACTACCCCTAAGGAACAGGTTCAAGCCTGGAGCTACCGCACATCCCGCAAACCCGGCCACGTGGAGTAAGCCGACATGAACGACAGTTTCGCGGACTCAAAAAAGGGGGGGGAAGTTGAGCTGTCAAATGGCCTGCAAGTTCAGGGTTTGGGGGTTCAGGGTTTTTCTAGGGCTCAAGAGCCCGACCAAGCCTGAGAGCCTTCAAGCCCCATGAGGTTACGCCACCTGGGAGCGCAGCATCCGGAAGGTCATCCAGCTGAATGCCCCTTTCGTCGCCGCGGGCTTGGGCCTTTGGGGGGGGGGTTGGGGGTCTTCAGGGTACGAATCGAGGGGAGTTGAGGGTGGAGGCTTTAGGGTTTGTTGGGGGGTTCAGAGTTTATCTACGAAGTTTGGTGACCCTTCAATTTAGGGCCCTTGGGCTTGCGGTCTTGGGTTTCGGCTGGATGTTGGTCCGTTTAGGGTTTTTTGGGTTTAGGGTTACGGTTGAGCATTTAGGGTTTAGCTTTGAGAGTACCGCCCAAGGCCACGAGCTACAGCTACGAAGAGGCTGAGGAGGTTGCGCCTTCTTGTCTTTGGGCTCGGGGAGTCCGGTTGCGTAGCTTTCGTTCTTCTCGAATCATCCTGGAGAGGGGTCTCATGATCCAAAAGACTGTTGGAATGTCTCCACCTGCAGTGATCCCGCAGGATCAGCACACGTTGCTGGCCGAATTCGGCTGCGACGCCACGTGTTGCCAAGCTGCAAAACTGGTTTGTGTCGGTTTGCAGGTACGCTGCGTAGGGAGGGTCTGTGAGGGAGCATCGTTTTCTGGGGCAGCACCCTTTAAGCGCTACGCATGTGAGCTCCTAGTAGCCTACTGTGGGAGTTGCATGATGGCACCCAGCAGCACATTGACAGACCTTGCCTTGTACATGCTGCCGGGGCCCTAAGTCACGATGTCGGCGGCTCGTTTACAAAAGCCACGAAGTGTGCAAGAGCCTCCGAGTTCACAAGTGCTCGGCCTTCCTAAACCAACATAAACTAACATAAACATGTAGCACGGCCACATGAATGTGCCCGAAGACGTGCCGTTGGCATGCGCCTGCGTTATGGTCGCATTGGCCACGGCACGAGATGCCTTGCCTACCGAGATGGGCATGCGAAGAAGAGACCTCCTCGACTCGCCGAGCTTCAGGCGGATGAGGATGGGCAGCACGTGGCCATGCAGGGAAGCTGGCGGGGGGGAAGCAGGTGCGTGACCTGCGGAGGCGGCAATGAACAGGCTAGCAGCCGTGTCTCAGAGCAAAGCGGATGGGAAGGTACCCACAAGCCTCCGGAAGTGGAAACTAGGCGAAATAGTACTCGTAGTAATGATAATTAGTAGTAAAAAATAAGAGTAACAATCATCAAAAAAATAATATAGCTAGGCACAGGCTGGAGCAGCATTGTGGACGAGGCAAATCAAGTCAATCTGTGGCCTGGCACGGCCGCGTTGCGGCCTGCAGAGACTGAAGCTCAGGGCAATGGTAGCCACAAGTAGCAAGTCAAAAAAGTGGGCTTTGGGGCTGCAAACCCCCGAATCCTTAAACCCTGAAGGCCTGGGGCTGGTTATCGGGCCAACAGATTCTGGTTCACGTAAAGATGTCTTGCAGACCTCTTGCTAGACCCAGCAATCACCGACCCTCCCCTGCACGACTGCGTGTCCCAGCTCGCAGCTCTGAGGCTGGGAACCACCCGGCTGGCATCCCGAGGCCAATGCCTTCGCATCTCCGCTGCGCAGTGGGGAGCAGCAGGCACTGGCCCCCCATATATATGTATGTATATAAAAAAAACTATCTGCATGTCTAAATCATAGTTGAAAATAAATGAAGAAATAAATATAAGCAAGTACATGTGAAGAAAGATAAGTAAAACATAATGTATATATGTATATGTATATATGTATATATATATATATACATACATACATACACATATACAAACGAGCCCCGGGGAGTAGTGTTCAACTTCAAGGGCAACTTGCGCCAACGTCGTGGGGGCAGGAGCAGTGTTGCTGGCAGTGTTTCGTGCCGCCGGGCTACCGAAGCGCCAAGCCAGAAGCAGCCGTGGACTCGGAGGCTTTAGGGTTTAGGGTTTAGGGTTCAGGGTTTAGGGTTTAGGGTTTAGGGTATATTCTGGGGACCACTGCTCCGCCACACCACGATCAGGGGTGCTCGCTGCTTTCAAGATTCAAGCCGGGACATCTGAACAAAACAAATCCGAAAGCACGGGCAATTAACAAAGCTCTTTAGCTGCCTGTAGTGCTGCTGGCCTGCGCTTGGGACCGGCAATGGCCTGCGGTTGACAAGCAGCATGCGATCAACGAGGCTCAGAAAGGGTCTGAAGGGAAGTAAGAAAGGGGAGTTTACGCTAGGGTCCTGAGGGTGTTTGAGGCTTTGCACGCTGCCTTCTTTCTGTCTCTCTGCTTTGCGACTGTGCCAGCATGGTCTCGGTTGCATGTTGCTTGCAGGAGCGCAGCAGTCCCATTCTTAGCATGTCAAAGTGCCCCTGTGCTCTCCGGATCCTTGTGCAACGCTCCCACGGCGTCGGGATGTTCGTTCTCTGGGTCTGCCAGGATGCACCTGCTGTACTTCGCTGTGCTATTCTGCTAAGGCAAAGCCTGCTACGTCGTCCGACGCTTGCCTGCACGAGATGCGCTCAGACCCGGATGGCTACTGTGACGGTAGAGCTGATGCCGCGCAACTTTTCAGTTTCATGAGCTTGGGTCAGCTTGAGTCGTTAAGAATTCTGCCGGATGTGCCGGAGACGCAAGGGCTACAAGACAGCCGCTCGCGACGACCACTGCACCGAGCGCTACAGAGCAGACTGTGCACGGCATGAGGAGAGCTAAGGGTTCTCTGATGGCACCCATCGACTCATAGATGCAAGTTTCTGCCCGAAGCCAGCTGTGTTTTTCTAGCAGCCGCCGATGTCCCGGCTTGTTACCGCAAGAAGCACCTGCCCAAAGCAGGAGAATCTCAGCCAGCTCCGCCGAAACATGGCGGAGCTTGCAGAGGAGTATGTGCCTTGCTGGCAGCCCTCACGACTTAAACCCGATAAACCTCGAACCAGTCCGCTGTATAGAAAGACTATCGGGAGCGCATGGGCAAGCCTAGAGCAAACAGTACCAGCCAGTATGGTTTCGAGCCACCACCAGTCAACAGCAGCCCAGGCAGCCATTCTGGCAGCTCGGCTGAGATTTTTGAGCAGTTTCTACGACGGACTACCCTAAACCCTAAACCCTGAACCCTAAACCCGAAACCCTAAACCCTGACAATCATGAAACAATTACTTGCAACTTGCAAGTTTCGGAAAGGAGTCGCAAGAGTCAGAGCACTTCGATTGGCTCTTTGCCTGGCATCAACGGCTGCTGCGAAGCATAACGGCTGTTGGTGAAACCAGTCACTCTGGCCGCAACTGTTGGCCCAGCGTGTTAACAGATATGAAAATCTCAGAAAGAAAGAGATATCTTCTAATCAGTGCTACGATGCTTTCTCTTAACTTGCGTGCTGTAAGTGACGTTCTAGCACGACCCTATAGGGCTTGTGGATCTCAGTACGAATGCGCTTTTCCAGGTTCGGCAGGCAGCGACTGGCACGACTTCAAGCGTAAAGCTCATAGGGTGACTCAGGACCCTTTGGCCGGCACTGGGTTCAATGTAGCACCACCGGTCATGATGATTGTTCTTGTACGTATCATGATCATGCTTAGCACTGCGCTTCTGAAATCTTCGTTACTTCGGAGCATGTACGACTGGGATGATAGAACTTAGGTGTTTGTAGAAATTTTCATGTATTGTATACTCCATTATAGGTTTAGACATGCGGCATTCGCATGCCGCTCGTCATGCGAATGTGGGCTGATAAATATGCTGATTTCGGCAAGAGCCTTTCTACAGTGCTGGAGTTTGCTTGGAGCTGGATGATTTGTCCAGGGCTGGCCCTGCAAATACGATTATAGTATCTATATCACATTATATTATACTATATCATATTATCATATATATATATATTTTGTGTTATATTATGCACTATTATGTTATATTGTACTAGATTATGTTATATTGTATGATATTAGTGTGCAGGACGTTGCTGAGACAAGAAAGGCAGTGGCACACCATGCTGCGGCTCCGATTGCACTGGTGGGGTTCCTGTCAGCTCGCACGTCTTTGCCTGGCAAAGGGAAGCATTTTCCTTGTCGAGACGGCTTTTCGGGGCCATGAGAGCCAGTAGCCCTAAGCCCTAAACCCTGAACCCTAAACCCTAAACCCTAAACCCTAAACCCAGTAAAGAGACCATGCGCGCCCAAACCTACCGCCACGGCTCTTTGCGTCCCAACGGGTCTCCGGCTGCGCAAGACAGATCTGAGGAAGCTGTGCGGGCACAGATGGACAGCCACCAGCTGCAGGCCAAGCCTTGTCGCAATATATATATATATATTTCTGAATAATAAATGTACATATAATATACATATATGTATATATAGATACTTTATGCATTATATGTATTCTATGAATAGTGACAATAAAACTACCCTTGCACCATGTTGCAAGCTGCCCCAAGTCGTCGCGCTTTTTCATCACGGCCTTGAGCTTTGTCCTACAGGTCCTAAACCCTGAATCTTAAACCAACCCTAAATCCCCCTAGGCCCTAAACCTGCAAGTCGTGGCCCAGGCGCAGCTTCGGAAGACGCGGCGGTGCCTCGCACAGCTGGAGGCCCAACGCCAGCGGAGCCGCCAGGCACTGGCGGGTTTCAGGGTGGCTCTTGGGGGGGTGTTAGGTGGAGTGTAGCCGAGGCGGGCGGAGCGATGATAATCCGAGTCACGGGCAAAGTTTTCAAGCCTGGAAGCCTTTTGGCAGTTGCACCTAACCGCCACCACCCGTGCAACCCGAAACCCCGCCCCGCCGGCGGGCAGGAGGCGCGCAAGCTGAGCGAGTTAGAGGTCCGCAGTGGTCAGGAAGCTGCAGAGCAGGAGACAGCACCCCAGCCATGCTGAAAGCGACCAAGCAAGAATAAGAAAGGCCCCCAAAAGCCCAAAAAGCCCCCCCCAACAGCCCCCCAACAGCCCCAGAAGCCCCAAGAAGCCCCAAGAAGCCCCAAAAGCCCCAAAAGCTGCCCTAAACCCTAAAGCCTAAAGCCTAAACCCTAAACCCTGAACACGGCACAGGAGCTGCGACGAAGCAACGAGCTGCAAACCTCCGTGGCGCGACGGGAGAAGAAAGAGGAGCAGCTACAAAGGCCCCTGCTTCCGGTAAACTCCAGTAGTTGGGGTTTAGGGTTTAGGGTTCAGGTTTCAGGGTTTAGGGTTTAGGTTTATAAGGTTTAGAGTTTAGGCTTAGGGTTTGGGGTTTAGGGTGTTGGGTTTAGGGTTTAGGGTGTTTAGGGGGTTCAGGCGGTTTAAGAGGTTTAATGTTGACCTCATATAAATTGCCCCCCCCCCCCCCCCCCCGTCTCAATTGATTTTTTTTCCCCCCCCCCCCCCCCCCGAAGCAGCTGTGTGCTTGGCCAGGCGGCCAATATTCAATACGTGGGTGGACATGCTTCTCCCATACTTCTGTGGACTTTCACTTGGCAGCGGCTGCTTTCTGCTACGATTCTGGATTCCTCAGCCCTCAGCCCAAAACCTGGCAGAAGAATCAGCAGGCTGCGCAGTACCACCTCGGAGGCATCGAAGCAACTTGGTGGCACAGCCCAGAGCACAAACTCCAAGCAAGCCAGAGCCATGGTAGCCCAAACCCCATACAGCCCAAAACGTTGCGCTGCCTAACCCTAAACCCTAAACCCTAAACCCTAAACCCTAAACCCTAAACCCTAAACCCTAAACCCTAAACCCTAAACCCTAAACCCTATACCCTATACCCTATACCCTAAAGCCTAAAGCCTAAAGCCTAAAGCCTAAAGCAGGGCTGCAAGCCTCATGTCTGAAGACCCCACAAAAGCCGGTTTCTGAGGCGCCTTAAGCCCTGCACACTAAGCCCTGCTCTAGGGTTTATTTAGGGTTTAGGGTTTAGGGTTTAGGGTTTAGGGTTTAGGGCCTAAAGCCTAAACCAGAATCCTAAGCCCGGAAGCCTCCGGTTGCAGGAACTGCGCTGAGATGCGTGCTGAGTTGGAGGAGATGAGGCGGCGTGCTTGCTTTTACCGCACATGGGGGGGGGGGGGTGTCCCAATTTCGGGGTACCTTATTGCGCAAGCAGGGGATCCTACGATTTGGTCCATTTTAGGAGTCCCCGAACTATTTGGGGTGTCTTTTGGTAGGGGCGCCCCATCTTCGTAAACCCCCACATTGCATGTCGCAAGCAGCTCTCAAGCAGATTGCGGCAGGTCGCTGGCCAGGCCCATGCCTTCTCATGTGCACCCGGGCGCAAGAGCAATTGCGAATGGTTACTGGTTGGGTGGAAGAAGTTGTTTTAGTTGGGTTATGCTATTTTTGGATTAGACAATTATACTGTTCTGCCATTGTACCAGTGTACTGCTATACCATGATACAACTAGACTGTTACACCATTGTACCCACTAAACGATTACCACCATTATACCATGTTTCCAGTTTACCATTAGAACATTACACCAGTCAACTACTTTGTAGTTATATTCTGTTTTGTTGGCCAGTAGCTTCGGACCTGTTCGGTGGCTTTCAGAATATCCCAGATGCCTCTGTGCTCAGGTACAAGATTCGAATGCAGCGTTTGAAGGCGCGTAGCTGCTCGAGCGGACGCAGACCAAGAGCTGCGCAAGGGTATAGGGTTTAGGGTTTAGGGCTTGGGGCTTAGGGTTTAGGGAAGACTTGTTTGCCCTCTGGGTGTCCTTTTGCTTTTTTGGCTTGGGTTGTGTGTGTGTGCTTGCGGCAGATGGGCGGCCTGAAGCTAGAAGCCCCTGAAATCCTGCAATCTATAAAGCCTATAAGCCCTACAAACCCTTAAACCCGATAAACCCTAAAAACCCTACAAACCCGAACAAAACCAAACACCAGCCTAAAAACACCCCAAAAGCCCGAAAACCCTGTAAACACCAAAAACCCCGGTCCTGGGGAGGCTGAGCTCATCCTCCAACGAGACGAGCACCTGGTCAGGACTGAAGAGGCTCCATAGTTCAGAGAAGTGGGGGTTTACGATACTAGGGGTCTAGGGTTTAGGGTTTTTTGGGTACCTTATTGGGGTCCTTATTATGAGGGAATCTTACTCTTTGGGGATCTATTTTAGGGGTCCCCCCATTGAAGCCCTCAGCATCCCTCAGCGCCACAGACGCCAGTCGTGAACCCCTCAACGTCCCCCCAGCAAAAACCATGCGAGATAACCCTCAAGCCTCAACCCTCAACCCTCAACGCCAAACCCCAAATGCCAAACCTTAAACCCAAAGCCCCAAACCCTAAACCCCAAACCCTAAACCAACCCCAAACCCTAAACCCCCAAACCCTAAACCCCAAACCCCAAACACCAAACCCTAACCCCCCCAACCCCCAAACCCTAACCTTCCCTTTTGGGAGGCCTGCCGGCTCTCCGAGCAGGGGCACCGCCAGCGCCTGGCGAAGGAGCTTGCCGTGTGGCAGCACCGCTGCCAGGACCCCTGCTGCGCTTGTCTTTTTTGTTTTGCCAAGGTGTTTGTTTTTTTTTTTTTGGGGGGGGGGGGGGGGGGGGGCGTTTGGGTTTTGAGGTTTATTTTGGGTGTTTTTTCGGGCTTTTTGAGGTGTTTGTGTGGTTTTGGGGGTTCGTACAGGGTTTGTATAGGTTTCTTTTTTAAGGTGCTGATGATGATCATGAGAATGGTTCTGATTGTGCGATGAGAAATGGCTGTGGTGATAAATAGGGCCGTGGGCATATGGGACGGCCTTTGAGAATCGAGGAGCTCTCGAACAAGAAGGCTCTTGCCGAAGAGGACCTGGATACCGCTTCCCGACAGCGCGCCAAGATACCGAGACTTGGAAGCAAGGCAGTTTAGGGTTCAGGGTCTAGGGTTTAGGGTTTAGGGTTTAGGGTTTAGGGAGGTGCGGCGGCCAGGTGCAGCCAAGACTAAGTGGGGAGATGAGGTCGATTTGAGTTGTGTATTGCATGTTTCAGCCGAGCCATGGTTGCGAAGGACGGCCTCAAGTGCTGCTGCAACGCATGTGCAGAAGGCATGGCGCAACCCGGCTGAAGCGTGTGGCGACTGTCAGAGTAAACATCTCTCCCCCCCTCTCTCTTTGTCTCTCCCTCCCTCTATCTCATTCTATGTCTCTCTTTACTTTCCCTTCAGATATACAAGCATGACTATATGATGAATGATGATATGTGTGTGACCGCCCCCTCACCCGGTCTGATATGAAACGGGGTTAATATTCTTGTTATTTGTGAGTGTATAATTAAGGTTCCTCAGAACTATTGGTGAGTGTGTATAATTTGGTGTCCTTCTCGGAATATTCTCAATATGAACCCCCACTTCATATGAGAGAAGGAGGGAAGGGGGAGAGAAGGGAAGAAAGATACAGCGACATAAAGTAAGATGGGGGAACGACATAGCAAGATCAAAATAGAGCAACCGCGAAGGACACGAATGGTGACATGCATATTGGACATGAAGAACCCCATGCATAAAGACGTAGCGACGTAGCGAAATATGAACACTATTGACTGAATCAGAAGGCATCAAGTTATCTGACAAAACAGGGACGGAACACGCTGACAAAGCGGTGACGAAACATATTGCAAATGGATCCGAAGCGCACCCAGCCAACCATGTGCTTTCAGAAATACCTCCTTCCCTTCACAAGCAAGACGTATACGAACCAAAAACCATTCGTCGCATCAATGGACTGACACTCTGGCAACCTGCTGTAATAAAGCCAAACCAAACCAAGCCATATATCCGAGCGCGTTTGCATTGACCCGGCGGAAGCCAGCTCAACAAAGGCTCGCTTCACAAGCAAGGCTGTTGAATCAAGCCATGGTTTTGAGCTAAAATGTATATGGCGCTGCTTTGGAGTTGTCCTACAGCATTTGAAGCCTGTGAACAGCCAGCTTTAGATGTACAGTATTTGAAGTCTCTGCCCAAGTAGTGGTCCATAGGGGGCTCCTACGTTCAAGGTAAAGGAAACGAATAGGTTATGCGGTTATCCCTGCGGCGCGCAAGCACGCAGCCGCGACTCCTCGAAGACGACAGTCTCGCTGATTTCGCATCCGAGACGCCCCCGCGTAGTGAAACACAGAGCCGTCGTTGCATTTGAAATTTGGCCACCCTTGTAATGCCCCATTGGGTGGTCTTGGGTTGGGCTTGTGGAAGAACTTTGCTTTACAAGGAGTTCTTGGGGAGTGCTCTTGGCTGGGGAGTGCTCTTTTGAAGTGTTCCCCTGACGTGGTCTAATACATTTTACGCCTTGTTGTTGAACTGCTGTCCTTTTCGTTGCTACGCCGGCGCACGGATTAGGGTTTATGGGTTGTAGTAAATGCGTTTGTGCATTTGGAGCCTTTCAGCAGGCAAAACTTCTGGAGCTTGCAAGTAGGCGGAGAAGCCGTAATTTGACAGTGTGGGGGTTTTGCAAAGTGCAGTGCGTGCATCATGGCTCGAAATGCTGTGCGCATCAGCATTTCTCCAGCTTGAGGTTTTTGATCCCGTCAGTGTCACGTGTTTTTGATGCTTAGAAAGTTGTCTGCCCCACCCCTCAAGATAGGTGAGTAGGCGTATGGAGGGTGTAGAAGTCCCAAGGTATATGATATAATATACATACTACATATATACACACACCAAAACAACATTCAGCGCATTATTTCTTTCGATGTTTATTCGTTTCCTTATGTAGCCTCTTGCAAACCATTGTGTCAGATGACATGATGCGGTATCTATCAGTCATCTGGAACTCTAGGTTCTCAACCCTGCACACAAACATCCCCAAAAAAGCAGAATGAAACGCCCAAAAGCCCGAAAAACCCAAGAAGCACCCCGAACAAGGCCCAAACGCTCCTTGCTGAACTCCCCCCAAACCCTAAACCCCAAACCCCAAACTCCAAACCCCAACCCCAAACCCTAAACCCTAAACCCTAAAACCTAAACTCCAATCCTCACCCAGGCGGGGCGGCGGAGGTGCGGCAGTTCCGGAAGGCGCGCGGGGCGGCCACGACGCTGCAGCGCAGCTCGGCTCCAGATATCGGGCGACATCGGGTTTAGGGTTTATAGGGTTTACAGGGTTTAGGGTTTAGGGTTTAGGGTTTAGGGTTTAGGGTTCAAGGGAAAGAGCTGAGTGGAAGGGCCCCAATCAATAGCTATGCACCTGGCAGATGCCGACAGGTGGGGGCGCCAACGCTGCTCCCCTCAGTATCCAGGGTTTCGCCTGCACTGGGCCGTGCAGGGGTAGGAATGACGAACTGAAAGTGTAGGCTCACACCGGACGTACACATGCCTTATGCCCTAAATGCCGAAGTGCCTGGTAGCCCAGAAGCCCTTGAGCCACTCTTGAAACTCTTGAACCCATTTGAACCCGAAGCCCAAGTTGTCTGGGTTCCTCGTCCAGGTGCTTGGCGGAGGACGTCAGGGCGGCGTGCTGCAAAGCGGGCTAGGCACGCGGTTCCCAGCCCATGCAGAGGTCTTGAAAGGGGGTTCAGGAACTTGGGGGGTTTATGGGATGTTCAGGCCTATAGACTCAAGGAACTCGACAGAGGCGAGACGATCTACAGCGATCTTTCTCGGACAGGCGGCGGGAGCATGGCCGGCGCCATGCTGCGGCAACTACCCTGCAGTGCTCCTGGCGCAGTGCGCGGGCAAGGCAGCAGTTGTCTCCTGGCCACTTCAAAGGGGCATTGAATACCGTGCTTGATGTTGCTTGTCCATTGTGCAGTCTGCGCTCGTTGCCCTTACCATCCCTTGCCATGTGCGGCCGGACCGTCTTCCTGCGCCAAGGTTCGACCGGATCGACAGGCGACGGATCGAAGAGGAGGACCGGAGGGGAGAGTAGCCTTAGACTTAGATGCGAGCATGTACATGCAGACGCCGATCTGCAAAGGACAGGGCCGCGGACGGTGGGGACGGTGAGGATGAGGAGAATGACGAGCTTCCCGACTTCCTCTCACAGACGGGGCACGGACCTGAACTGTGGGGACGTGCTGTGCTGTGCTGAGCAGAGTATAGAATAGATTGGAAACCTGGATGATAGGGGGATCTCAGAGGCCGGAGCAAGACCTCTTCAGTCCCCCGCACGACGGGGATTCCTTGCTGGAGCTCACGGCCGCCAGCCTCAAATAGGTGACCGTACCATAATGCCATAGAGAGTCCATGTCCAAAGCGGAGTGCTGTGCTATGTCCTGCTATGCTGCAGAGCTCTCGCAAAGGAGGACCAGAGCCCATGCAGCCCTGGAGCACCGAGTGAGGACAGCCTGGAGGTTGGCCGCTAGAAAAATGTGTTTTCTTTTTCTTTGTCAACTGCTAGGACTAGTATACTGGTATCTGTGCTACGAGTGCACCTTGTAGCACCACGAACCATGGCCTCGCCACGACGCAGCACCTGAGGTGCGAGGTGCCAGTGCGGCATGTGCGGCCGGTGAGGACAAGGCTCGCGCCCATGAGCGAGGTGAGAAAAATAGGAGCCGAGCAGTGGACGAGGTGGCTGAAAGCGAGAAGGAACGGTATTCGGCAGCCGAGGAGGCGCTGAAGGTGGACGGGGATGCAGAGAAGCGTAGCACGAAAGCAGCAGATGAAGAGGTGGCAATCGACAAGGGCGCATCTCCAGAGAAGGCGCCAAGCGTGGAAGGTGATGCAAACAGCGTGGAAAGTGATGCACAGGAGCCGAGCAGGAAGAAAGATGGCTCCGGAGCAGCTGGCACAGAGGTTGCAAGCGAAATGGACGAGGATGTAGCGTCGGAGTATGCTCCAAGCGTGGATGCTGATGCGCAGGAGCCCGGCAGGAAGCCAGATAGCCGCCCTGCAGCAGCGGAGGAAGAGGCGACAAGCGAAAAGGACGCGGAGGCAGCAGCAGAGGCTCCCAGCGCAGATGCGGATGCACAGGAGCCGAGCAGGAAGAAAGGTGGCTCCAGAACAGCTGACACAGAGGTTGCAAGCGAAATGGACGAGGATGTAGCGTCGGAGTATGCTCCAAGCGTGGATGCTGATGCGCAGGAGCCCGGCAGGAAGCAAGATAGCCCTGCAGCAGCGGAGGAAGAGGCGACAAGCGAAAAGGACGCGGAGGCAGCAGCAGAGGCTCCCAGCGCAGATGCGGATGCACAGGAGCCGAGCAGGAAGAAAGATGGCTCCGGAGCAGCTGACAAAGAGGTTGCAAGCGAAATGGACGAGGACGTAGCATCGGAGAATGCTCCAAGCGTGGATGCTGATGCGCAGGAGCCGAGCAGGAAGCAAGATAGCCCTGCAGCAGCGGAGGAAGAGGCGACAAGCGAGAAGGACGCGGAGGCAGCAGCAGAGGCTCCCAGCGTAGATGCGGATGCACAGGAGCCGAGCAGGAAGAAAGATGGCTCCGGAGCAGCTGACGAAGAGGCCGCAATTGAAATGGACGAGGACGTAGCATCAGAGTATGCGTCAAGCGCGGATGCTGATGCGCAGGAGCCGAGCAGGAAGCCAGATGGCCCTGCAGCAGCGGAGGAAGAGGCGACAAGCGAGAAGGACGCGGAGGCAGCAGCAGAGGCTCCCAGAGTAGATGCTGATGCACAGGAGTCGAGCAGGAAGAAAGATGGCTCCGGAGCAGCTGGCGAAGAGCTTGCAAGCGAAATGGACGAGGATGTAGCATCAGAGTATGCTTCCAGCGTGGATGCTGACGCGCAGGAGCCGAGCAGGAAGCCAGAAAGCCCTGCAGCAGCGGAGGAAGTGGCGACAAGCGAGAAGGACGCGGAGGCAGCAGCAGAGGCTCCCAGCGTAAATGCTGATGCGCAGGAGCCGAGCAGGAAGAAAGATGGCTCCGGAGCAGCTGGCGAAGAGGCTGCAAGCGAAATGGACGAGGATGTGGCCTCAGAGTATGCGTCAAGCGTGGATGCTGATGCGCAGGAGCCGAGCAGGAAGCCAGATAGCCGCCCTGCAGCAGCGGAGGAAGAGGCGACAAGCGAGAAGGACGCGGAGGCAGCAGCAGAGGCTCCCAGCGTAGATGCGGATGCACAGGAGCCGAGCAGGAAGAAAGATGGCTCCGGAGCAGCTGGCGAAGAGGCTGCAAGCGAAATGGACGAGGATGTAGCCTCAGAGTATGCGTCAAGCGTGGATGCTGATGCGCAGGAGCCGAGCAGGAAGCCAGATAGCCCTGCAGCAGCGGAGGAAGAGGCGACAAGCGAGAAGGACGCGGAGGCAGCAGCAGAGGCTCCCAGCGTAGATGCGGATGCACAGGAGCCGAGCAGGAAGAAAGATGGCTCCGGAGCAGCTGGCGAAGAGGCTGCAAGCGAAATGGACGAGGATGTAGCATCAGAGTATGCTTCAAGCGTGGATGCTGATGTGCAGGAGCCGAGCAGGAAGCCAGATAGCCCTGCAGCAGCGGAGGAAGAGGCGACAAGCGAGAAGGACGCGGAGGCAGCAGCAGAGGCTCCCAGCGTAGATGCGGATGCACAGGAGCCGAGCAGGAAGAAAGATGGCTCCGGAGCAGCTGGCGAAGAGGCTGCAAGCGAAATGGACGAGGATGTAGCCTCAGAGTATGCGTCAAGCGTGGATGCTGATGCGCAGGAGCCGAGCAGGAAGCCAGATAGCCCTGCAGCAGCGGAGGAAGAGGCGACAAGCGAGAAGGACGCGGAGGCAGCAGCAGAGGCTCCCAGCGTAGATGCGGATGCACAGGAGCCGAGCAGGAAGAAAGATGGCTCCGGAGCAGCTGGCGAAGAGGCTGCAAGCGAAATGGACGAGGATGTAGCATCAGAGTATGCTTCAAGCGTGGATGCTGATGTGCAGGAGCCGAGCAGGAAGCCAGATAGCCCTGCAGCAGCGGAGGAAGAGGCGACAAGCGAGAAGGACGCGGAGGCAGCAGCAGAGGCTCCCAGCGTAGATGCGGATGCACAGGAGCCGAGCAGGAAGAAAGATGGCTCCGGAGCAGCTGGCGAAGAGGCTGCAAGCGAAATGGACGAGGATGTAGCATCAGAGTATGCGTCAAGCGTGGATGCTGATGTGCAGGAGCCGAGCAGGAAGCAAGATAGCCCTGCAGCAGAGGCTCCCAGCGTAGACGCGGATGCACAGGAGCCGAGCAGGAAGAAAGATGGCTCCGGAGCAGCTGGCGAAGAGGTTGCAAGCGAAATGGACGAGGACGTAGCATCAGAGTATGCTTCAAGCGTGGATGCTGATGTGCAGGAGCCGGGCAGGAAGCAAGATAGCCCTGCAGCAGCGGAGGAAGAGACGACAAGCGAGAAGAACAAGATGGCAGCAACAGAAGAGGCCCCTCATATCAATGGTCATGTTTCACGAGATGACAAGAAAGTTATGGAGGAGATGGAGGTCCCAGGTCAAAACGACAAGCACGCGTCGGATGAAGCTCCGAGCTTGATGGTGGGTACTGCACACGCGATTGGTAAGAAAGCTGTTCTAGGACAGTCTATCGACGTCGACACTTCAGAAGTGCTGCTGAAGAGTGACCTGGCACAAGGCCGATCAGCACTAGATGATGTGGATGGTTTCGGCTTGGAGAGAGCTGCTCAAGCCGCGCCAGCGCCAGCAAGGAGCCCGCCCCTCCCTGCAGTCCGTCGTGCCGTGCCTCCTGCAGAGCCTGCAGCGCCTGCACGCATGGTTTCACAGCCAAGCTCTCAAAGACCCGTCCGAGCTGCGGACCGGCCACAGAGAGCGCGCCCGGACGATTCGGACGATGACGACTGAGTTGCTGAAAATAGGGGCCCAAGAACGACTACGCGAAGCCACAAAGCCGTGAAGCCGAGAGAGGAGCTTCTTCTTGTGCACCCTCAGCCTCAGCCTCGCGGCGACTCACGGCGACTGGCGGTGACGGGAGATTGTCACACGCACTCGACGGAGATGCAGGCGCTTTCAGACCTCCAGAACTCAACTCATGATTCACGGAAGATGCAGGACCCTGAACCACTGCCGAAGCAGCCGTGGCATTCACACAGAGCAGACGGCAGCTTTGTCTTTGCAGTTGTTTGCTTGAAGCAGGCATCTGTGACATGTCCCACACAATTCTGAACCATGAGATGGGGGTTTGTGGGCCCCCTTGGGCCACCCGAGTCTACAGAGTCCACGTCCGCCCAGAAGGCATACGAACCTTTGCTTCGCGAGAAGGTGCAGCCTTGTGGGCTGGGCTGGAGCTGGGCTGGAGCTGGGGTCAGTCAACCTGGCGCTTGGAGCTTCCAACCCAGGTCCAGAGCTGTTCGGCAGGGAACGCGGAATCCTCACAGCCTGGCCTTTCTTTTCCCACTGCAGAGTCGCAAAGTTTCGACAAGCTGTTGTGATTGCGATCCGGCATGAGCCTTCCTGGACAGCAGGGGCGCTCTCGACACGACGTTCATCTAGTGACCACTGTGCTGTCGAGACCACTCGAGAAACATGAGCGCACCCACAGATCCGTCAACACAGGGTGAATGTGTCATCTTCAGGCACCAGCAATGCCCCTGAGAAAGTTGGACTGCAAGCGAAGCTGGCCGAGTTCATATGAGGGGGTTTACGAAAAAACAAGGAACCCTAAAATAGCCCCGTGAGATACCTGGCACATCACGTCCGGCCCAGGTGGAAGAAGGCGTCGAAGGAACCGAGCAGACAGACGCAGGCCCTCGTTCCGACTAGCACCATCTTGGTGCACCTGTGGCATCCTTATTGGCATCTTTTAGCGCTCCTCTGGTGGGTTCGGCTTCGGGCTCGTTCTTTTAAATCTACTTTGGGATCGATGCCTGCAGGACCATGAGAAGAGCTTCGCGCCTCTCACTGCCAGCGTGAAGGCTGGAGAATACTCGAGATGAAGCATGTACAGGAGCCTGTGGGGGGGGGGGGGGCCTTTGAGAGGGGACCGACTGTGAGCCAGCATCTGGCTCCTGAGAGGCCATATCGGCACAAATCTGAATGCCATGGTGACCTGAATACCAGACAACCTCTCGCTTCCCTATACCTCAAGACCAGACAACCTCTCGCTTCCCCATACCTCAAGGTATCTTTTGGTTTCTAGTCTTGGTTATCATTCCAGTCACACGCACATGCAGAGCCACACGCACCATAGCGCAGCCCCACGACGGTTTCGGCCTGAAGTAGACCTCCCAGCCGGGAAATGGCGCAATGTGCGGTGAAGGTGCTGTCTGCGCAAGAGGGCCTTGCCGATGTCGCGAAGCTGATGCAGGCCCCGGACATCAGCGGAGTGGTCCTGAAGGACTTCGTGGGCGCGCGCGGCCACGGAAGCTTGCTGACCTGGGCCCGGGACTTTTGCCGCCTGGGGGAGCCGGTCAAAGACCAGCTTTGCTGCTAGGTAGGCCTTTGGGACAGTTTACCTATATTTCTCTTATTGGGCTTCAGGAGGATCATATTCAGGAATAATGATCCTCTTAAATATATCCAAAAAAATATGCTCCTCTTGGAGTATGTGCTTTTTTTTCAGAGTCTTTTTAGGGGCCCTCTGAGGCTACTACGAGGGCCACGAGGCCCAGGCCGGTGAGCCCTTCAGCGAGCAGCTGAAGCGGCAGCTCGCGGCCGACTTCCGGGAGTGTGGGGAGGCGCTCCTGCAAGATCAGGTGGGGGGGGGGGGGGGGGGGGGGCTTTTATTGAGGTTTCTGTTGGGTTTACTAGGGTTTTGTTTTCATAAGGTTTACTTGATTGTTTGCTTGAGGGTGAGTTGGGACTTCTTGGGGCTTAGAGGGTTAGGAACCTCAGGTGGTGGAGGAGCAGTCCGAGGTTGCTCTTGGAAGCCAGTCCGCCGCCGAAGCCCTCTGGGAGATCCTGCAGGAGTTGATGGAGCTGCACAGGTCGAGCTTGGGATGTTCCCTAAGTTAATGACAGCTCCCTTCTCGGGATTCTCATAAGGGGGTACTAGAATCTCTATTAAGGACGGTTAGGATACTGGGGAACATCCCAAGGTCGAGCACAAAGTCTGGTGAGGACTTGCGCTGGAAGGTCCAGCTTGAGGTGAATCAGGATGGCGCCTGCACGAAATACCATGCGGACTCGGTGCAGGTGAGTCTTGCCATAGCTCTTGCCGGCGAGGGCCTGGTGCTCGCGCAGCCAAGCGAGGTAGATTGGGCCTTCTATGAGTCCTGTGAGGGTGTGGTCCCTGCTTTGGCAAATGAGGACCTCGCAGCCGACTCAGCCTGTGAGGCCATCAGGGCATGGAATGCGCGCGTGAGCAAGGGCGAGGTGACCACTGAACCCGGTGACCTTTCGATCATGAAGGGAGGCAGGCTGAATCCGGAGCGACCTTGCCTGCATCGAGCTCCATACAGCGCCGAGGAAGGCAAGGAGCCCCTTGGGCTTCTTGTGACTGTGGACCGCATTCCTCAGGAGGAGCTCCAGAACTTCGCTTCCATGGTCTTTGAAGAGCATGAGTCCCCTGAGTCCGCTCAGTCTGATGGGCCGGCCCATGAGGATCAGGAGATGCCAGAGGCTTCCGACCTTCTTCCGGTCACGGTTCTGAGCGGCTTTCTGGGTGCCGGAAAGACCACTCTGCTGACGAATCTTCTCCAAAACCAGGAGGGCCTTCGTATCGCTCTGATTGTCAATGACATGGCTGAAGTCAACGTCGATGCCTTGCTAGTGAAATCTGCCAGTCAGGTTCTCACGGGGAAGGACAAGATGATCGAGATGCAAAATGGTTGCATATGCTGCACGTTACGCGGAGACCTCATCGATAACGTGAGCAAGCTGGCTGCAGAGAAGCGCTTCGACTACCTGTTGATTGAAAGCACGGGTATTTCAGAGCCCATGCCAGTGGCAACGACCTTTGTTGACGAGCATGATGGCAAGGACATGCTTGGCAAAGTGGCCCGTCTTGACACCCTTGTGACCGTGGTGGATGCCATGAACTTTTCGAAAGACTATGACACTGCTCAATTGCTCAACGACCGGCCGGCATTGGGCGCGGAGGAAGGCGACCAACGCACCATTGCGCAGCTCCTCGCTGACCAAGTGGAATGCGCCAACCTGATTGTGCTCAACAAGGTCGACCTGGTCAAGGAGGAGGACGTCACGCGCTTAGAGCTCCTCCTGAAGAAGATGAACCCCAAAGCCAAAATCATCCGTTCTACCTACGGAAAGGTTGATTCCAGGCTCCTGTTGAACACGCGCAGCTTCAACTTGGCGGAAGCCGAGGAAATGCCAGGCTGGTATCAAGAGCTGCAAGGCAATCATGTGCCCGAGACAGAGGAGTACAACATCTCCAGCTTCGTTTTTCGAGCGCAGAGACCTTTTCACCCCAAGCGTTTGGACAAGCTATTCAGCAGGGGCCTTGATGGAATTCTCCGCTCCAAGGGAGTTCTTTGGGTTGGAGGCCTACAGACCTCCTCCCTCGTGCTGAATTCGGCTGGTGCGGCAGTGAGCATCCAGAGTGGCGCACCATGGCTGCATGGCTCGGAGGATGTTTCTGATTGGCCTGCTGATTGTCACAAGTACAAGACCGCGCCGTATGGCGACAGGCGTCAGGAGCTGGTCCTCATTGGGAAACTAGGCCTTTGGAACATTTTCAATTTTTTTCCGTATTGACCTTCAGAGGATCCTATTCAGGAATATTTTTCAGCGGGCTTCAAGGGACAGCCTAGGACGGACCTGAAAGAGCCCGAGCTGCGGAAGTCTCTAGAGGCCGCGTTAGTCACAGATGAGGAGTTTGCCTTGGGCCCGAAGGAGTGGGCCAAGTGGCCCAACCCGTTTCGAAGCAGAAAAAGGAAGAAGCCTTCCGCGAAGGGTGCTCCTCGAAAGAAGGCGTCAGCGAAGAAACTGGTCACAGCCAGAGAGCTCAACGACGAAGCTTAGATTACCTCTTGGCCATGCACATACCGAGGCTGTTAGCCTGACCCACCGTCCGCTCGTTTAAGGCGTTTTCCAATCTCTGCCCACACGAGCAGACCACACCAAAACATCCGTGCTGTCTGATTCTGACTCGTGCCAGGCACTGTGGCTGTTGTGTACAGATACTGTAGGCCTGAGGTCTGCTTCTGAGCCATCGACGTAAGTGCAGCTAGCTGATACGACCCCTGTGCCAGAATCTCGCTGCCAGTGAAACAACACTTCTTTGTGGCCACTTACAAGTGTTCAAGTTCCTAAACCCTAAACCCTAAACCATAAACCCTAAACCCTAAACCCCTAACCCCCTAAACGCCCTAAACCCCCTAAACCCCCTAAACCCCCTAAACCCCCTAAACCCCTAAACCCCCTAAACCCCCTAAACCCCCTAAACCCTAAACCCTACACCCTAAACCCTAAGCCCTAAACTTGAGCCAGCCAGGTGCATCATCCCGTAGCTCATCAGCTCGCTGTCGCGACCTCGGAGAAGCGGCAAGAGAGAGGGTAGTTCCAGAAGCTTCGAAGCCGCCATAGTAATAATAGTAACAATAATAGTAGTAACAATTATAATAACAATAAGAACAGCAATAAAAGTAGTAGTAACAACAACAATAATATCCGTAATAATAATTATTGAGGGGATTTGATCCTGAGGTGCAGAGGAGCTCCTGTGGGTTTCCTCTGGAGCTCCTCTTCTCTGAAGATGAAGCTGCCTGAGGCTCCTTAGGCCCTGGAGGCTCACCCGGAAAATGGGCCGCTGCTACGGAAAGTTCCACCCCCACTTTGAGAGAGAACTTCGAGGGAACTGCCAGGTAGCTGTTCGCCTCTGATGGCAAGGTCCTTGTGGCCGTACTATCTCAGCAAGTTGCGGTGTCTCTCGTTGCCGTTGCTGCTGGGATCAGCGCCGTTACATGAAAGTTCAGGACCCCCCCCCCCCAAAAAAAAAAGAAAGAAAAAAGAAACTAGAAAGCTAAACAAAGCTCCAGGAGACTGCCCCAACATCGTCAGGTGTAGGTAGGGTTTATGTAGAGCAGAACCCCGATAAGCCGTCAAGATGAGGGCCTCTTGCCATGCTTGGCCACCTTGCAGCTCAGGCGAGTTTTTTGGGGAGGGCTTGGGGTTCACAGGGTTTAGGGTTTAGGGTTTAGGGTTTAGGGCTTCATGGTTTTTCCTCTGAGCCCTCAGGCTGTGCCAGATGAGAAGTGAGCATGGCGAACGCCGGTGATGGAGCGCAGGACTTTCTCTAACATTTCGGGGCGGCATCTTTTCCGTGAATCATGAATCACTCGTGCGGCATCTTTTCCGTGCACCTGAATCCCTCATGCTAGCTCGTCAGTCCTGGTAGTTTCACCGGCACCCTCATGCACGCGACGAGCCCGCAGATGAGGGTTGCATGCAGGAGTCGGGATGGGCGGGTGCTCGAGGCCGACCTCCTCGAGCGTGCAGGGAACTGCGTTGCAAGAACCCTCCAGCAAGTATGTGTGGCCGGTGTTGCCAGTGTTTGACCAGGACTGGAAAACTATTTTTTTTTTCTTCGCTGCTAGTGCCTACTCTGAGCATCTACTGTGAGGCCCCCCCCCCCTCCCCTCAAATTCAGAATTCAGGAAGAGCTTGCTACAGAATGGTAACCCCCCCCCCCCCCCCCCACCCCTCGAGCAAGTCCAGCTCCTCAATTTCCTAATTCATTGTTGTCCCAGCCCCCTCACCACCCCATAGTACTTAGGGTTGAGTTTTGAGAGGGTTTAGGGTTCAGGGGGGACGTGGGCGTGGGGAAGGGAAGTTTTGGCAAGTTACATGCCGAGCGCGCCACGCCACCCCTAGATTGAATACGCCCTATGAAAAACCCTTTACAGCCCCCTACGAACACCCAACGTAAAGATACAGAATAAAGCCTGAATCAGTTGTCCTTGCTCGATATAGCCCCTCGACTCTGTGCCTCGCCTCGAAGAGGCCAGAAGCAGGTGCCCGAGCGATACGCGCAGCTCCAGGCTGCCCTCGACCAGGTGCAGCGAAGCAACTTGGGGTTCACCGGGCTCGGGGGATTTAGGGTTTAGGGCCAGTTTAGGGTTTAGGGTTCAGGGTTTAGGGTTTAGGGAGGGTTGGCCAGGTTGAGGACTCTTGAGGTTTAGGAGGGAAGAGGAGGGTCTACAGGAGTCGAAAGGGTTTGTGAGGTGATGGGAGCAATGGTAAAGAATGCAGATGCGGCCGACTGCCAGGCAAGATCGGCCTCTGCGGATGGCAGAGGAGGCGTGGAGTTACTCTTCCCTTTCTTGTTTAGGGTTTAGGGTTTAGGGTTTAGGGTTTAGGGTTTAGGGTTTAGGGTTTAGGGCTCTTCAGGATTTAGGGTTTAGTGACTACTTGGGTGACCTTTGTTGGCCTCTCAGGAATGGTTTCGACCCAACAGGGGCCCAGCATAGGCGCAGGGACCCCTGAGCAACTACTGACCAGAAAGATACACGCTTTGACCCATGTGTGCTCTTTGACCCATTGACCTGTGGAAGGGGTTTAGGGTTCAGCTTTCTATTTTGAATTCCCAAGTCTTCCCCAGAATATCTCCGAAAACGCGCTCATGCTTTATCTTTGTCCATTTTTTGTTTTAGTTTCGTTTAGAGCATGCGCCCTGAACCCTAATAGCTACTACCCACCCTGAACCCGTTATGGTTGCGGCTTCGCTCCGTGGGTTCTTAAATCTAGTCATGAGTGAGCTCACAGTTGTCGCAGGTAGTGGTTGCTCGTAATTAAAGCTTGCTTGTAGTTTGCCGGGGGCCAGGACATGCGGCTGCACAGGACTGTCCACCGGCGTTCCTGGACTAACCTCTCCGATACTGGATGTCCTTGAATGAGGTTCGGGATCGCGCTAGGATTGTGGAATGGATAGACAGATTGTTCAGGTGCTTCTCATGTCAAGTTTAGTGTTTGCAAGCAGTTGACAACTAGGAAGAGAGAATGAGAGGGGCGAAACTCCTCGCCTCTTTCGCTTTCTCACTTTACTCGCCTCCCCGCTTATTTGCCTTACATTCGAAGGGTGCCCCAATGTGCAACGAGCGAGAAACAACAATGTGAGCAAGGAATTTGCCAAGCGACGAACGCACTAACAAGCAAAAAACTGTGCCAGCTTTCTCCTCCCGCTTGAAGTTGCCAAGCGCAGAGGACCAGACGCGTGCAGAACAAGGTGCGGGCAAGTGCGTTTATGTGGTCTGGGGTGGCTGGTATCTTTGTGGGCGGATCTTGGACTGAAGGCTGGCTTAGATTTCTTCAAAGGCTGGGGCGCCGGTTGCAAGAAGGTGCTCCTTGCTCAGGGCACGGTATCGTTCCTGCAGTTAAGCGGTGGTTCTGAGAGTTGGCTTCCCCGAGATTGCCCTGCACCGCACACAAGACTTGACACCCCGAGCTTCGCGGGTTCCTTGCTAAAGGGCTTCTTTGCGTGCTCTGGAGTGTCATGGGGCAACCTGTCGGGGGAGACGTGATGCTCATGGCTGGAAGTGCATACCAATGCGGGGCTCTTCAAGGGCCCCAGGGCAGAGACTTCCCCTACCTTACACCAAACGTCCGCACCAGGAGAGTTGCTGGGATTTTGTTACCCAGAGGGACCCCCAATAATGGCGGCAGGCTGGATCATCCTCGCGAGTGGTGCTCTCCATCGCCACCGGCAAGGGCGTGCACGCGTTCCGCTCCCAGAGCCCCAATCTGCCCCATGGTCTGCCATCATGCTCTAGAAAACGCGAAGGGTAAAGAGGGAAGTCCTTGCTCCTCTCCACACTACTCCCCAACACCCTAAACACTAAGCCCCTACACCCTAAACCCCCAAACCGGACACCCTAAGCCCCACCACCGGCTGCTGCGTGACGTGAGGCTATGCTTCGAGGTATGTTCTCCGCTCCTGCCTCAAGGGCCACAGCGTGGACACAGGTTGAGGGACATCAATCAGGCCCATGTCAGGGGGTTTCCGAAAGTAGGGGGTACCCTTTTTGGGGATCTCTTTAAGGGGATTCTATTCTATTTTGGGGTATACAAGCATTGCTCGTATTTTGGGAAAGAACCTTTGAGGCTGCAGATTGTGTGTCTCCGCCGTCAGTTTTTGGTTCTGCACTTGAGCAGTCGGGACAGGTCGCGGCGGGTGGACCCCTCGCCCCTACACCTGATGACTTTCCAAGCCCGGTATAAAAACCGACGAGCCTTGTAGCCCTGCAGCACTCTCAAAACCCTTTCAACACCGTAAGCCTTATGAGAAGCCTCGAAGCCCGACCTAGATCTATCGTCAGCCCTAACCCTATCTAAGTATGAATCCTGTGAGGCACCCACGTGGCATTTCCCAAAATAGGGGTACTTGTACCCCGTAATATAAAGTATATGCATCCCTTACATCCACTTGGTATTTCCCAAAATCGGGGTACTTGAACCCCGAAGTATGGAGTACATGAATCCCCTTTTTTCTTTGGAAGCCTGCACATGTGCTGAGGATGGAAAGAAGCAGCGGCAGGAGCGCAAAAAGGATGCAGCCGAGCTGGAGGCCGGCCTCCTTAGTTTGTTGAAATCACCGAAAGGGTTTAGGGTTTAGGGTTTAGGGTTTAGGGTTTTTCATGGTCTTTGTGGTTGGATGTTGTTGCTTTAGTGAGGCACCACGTGTTCGGCCCACACCTGCCTTCAAGACTCCCGCTCGTTTCTCTCAGAGCTGTTGCTGATGGCTTCTGCGGGCTTCTATCTGACCTATGCGAATGTTCACAAGGTCTTGGCTGGTGGTCCTCAAGATGTGCATTAGTCCCTGACTCCCCAACCCCAAAGCGAGAAAAGGCGGGATTCAGGGTTGACGAACTGCTGCTTAGCAGCAGATATCAGCAGCTTTCCTGCATAGGTGCCCTGCATAGGCCTGTCAATGTAACGGCTCTGTCCGCTTGTGCTTCATTTGCCAGCTGTGACAGTGACCTTCCTGGCAGGAAGCACGTCAGAAGCAGCTGGAAACGGCGCGCCCCATCAGACACAAACCGTTGATGCACAGCTCTCTGGTGACATGCCCAGCTCATCTAAGCGACTAGACTGGTTTCGCTGGATTTGCGCCTCACATCGGAGCCATACAGCAGCGGACCTTTGCAAGTCAGTCACTCCAAACCCATGAAGCCCAAATCCTTAAGACCCTAAGATCCTCACCCTGAACCCTACAATGTTGCACCTTCTTTAGTGTGCCCCCCCCCCCCCCGAACAGTCGAGGCTGGATTTGTCCCTGTTTAGACTCTCGCGGGGGTTTATATGAATTTAATAGGGAGGAGTTTAGATAAGTTTACAAGGGGCAGCGATGCCCGGCAATTTTTTTTGAAGGCGCGCCACGTGGAATTTTCTTACGGCGCCCGGACGATTTGAATGTAAAGAGGGACCCCGAAACAGTCAGGGTGTCCTGAATAACACAGCCAAATGGACTTTATTGCGGAGGCCCCTACTAAACCAGCTGCAACATAAATCGGCTGAAATGCCCATCCAACATCCCCTCAAGTGCTTTCGGACGCAGGTCTACGGTTGCTGGAGCCTCCTCTCGGCCGGTCTGCTCAGGCCCATGAGGGTTAGAGCGACGATGATTCGAGGAGAGAACACAGGATGGTGCCTGCCTTGCTGAAACAGTTGTGATCATCACGCTCGCTACCTCTGCGGCTGTTTGCGGCTTGTCTCCCCGATCAAAGGCAACAAACCTACGTAAACTAGAACCCGAGACCCTACAAAAGCCACGGCAGCCTAACCCTCAGCAGCCCTGAGCTGCCATTCTGCAAAAACGCCACACAAAAGTCTTGGAACCCCTGTCCCCAATGACCTCAGAACCCCAAGAAGCCTCCGAGGCTACACTCGTCACCCTACGCCCTAAGCTCTTAGAGCCCTAAACCTACTTTGTTGTAGGTTTCCTAAGAATCCTATGTGGGGGTTTTATAGCAATGTCCTGCAAAAGAAGTAGGTTTGGGGATCTTAAGGTAAGCTCCTAGAGCCCCAAAGCCCCCCCCCCCCCAAGCTGCAATGAGCGCAGCAGCATCCCGGCTGAGCAGCGCGGGCGCGGGGGCGCGATCTCAGCGAAGGGACCGTCTCCGGAGGCTCTGCCGGGCGTGCAAGAAAGTGTACAGCGTAGTTTTGAGGTTTCGGGGTTCAGTGCTTCTGAGGGTCAGGGTGTTTGGGGGTTGCAGGGTTATGGGGCCGGGATGCTGCGCCTGTCTGTGTTGTGCCACGAGGTTGTACTACTCAGGATAGGAGGTTTGGGATGCTTAGGGATCCCCCTTCCCCCCCTCCCCCCCCCCCCCCCCAAAAAAAAAGTTAATGATCCAGATGCCCAGGAAATCCCTCCACACACTCCCCCATCCCCCCTCCCCGCCCAGAAAAATCTTGTACGTGCGCCTAAACCCCACAACCTTAAATGGGCGTTTCCCAAAACAAGGGGTTCGGGGTTCCGTTAATTTGCAGACCATTTTGGGGTAAGAGTTATAGGGTGGGCAACCCGAAACCCAGAAACCTAAACCCTAACCCTGAACCCTAAGCCCTAAACCCAAACCCTAAATCGCCCTGTGCCCTAAACCCAAAACCCCAAACCCTAAACCCAAAACCCTAAACCCTAAACCCAAACCTAAACCCTAAACCCAAACCCTAATTGCCCTGAACCCTAAACCCTAAACCCCCCTGAGCCCAAGTAGCCTCGAGGCCTCGCTTCTTCAGCTTTGTGGCTCTCTGTGTGACCCTCTCCGGTTTCAGCTTAGCCCCTCGACGCGCCTAGGGCAGAAGCCCATGGAAGGTGAGTTCTGAACTCTGAATCCTAAACCCTAAACCCTAAACCCTAAACCCTAAACCCTAAATCCTGAGCCCCTATGTTTTTAGGACACTCCGAAACCCCAAGCCCTGGATACCTGAGCTGGCCAGGCCCCCCAAAAGCCCACCTGAAACCGTACCTAAATCCAGTGTCTGAAAGCAGCTCAGGCTCGAGCCTCTACTGCCTTCATTGGCACCAGGCCGGGTTTGGGGTTTGGGGTTTGAGGCTTGAGGGATTGAGCCTAAGTTGGGGTTTGTGGTTTGGGGGTTGGGTCGAGTATGCTGCTATCCTTGAGCTTTTTGTGCGACCTGGTGGTAGCAACATTCCCGAGCACACAACCCGGCAACACTCGCCGCCCCTCAACGCCAGACACATGCACCCCACATGCCACAAAGTTGGATAATTCTTCAAGGCAGGTTTTTTCACCCGCCCTGAACTCCACTGATTTGCAGCTGTGTTCCGCTCGGGCGGCAGATGCACCCTGTGATTTTGCCGTGTATTCGAACGCTTTGGAGCAGTACGTCTGTGGAAGCAGGGAAGCTTGCAGGGGAGACGAGCTTGGAGAGGCGATGAGCATCTTGGGCTAGCCAAACAAATGGGATTCGCCTGTTGCGCGCGTGTGCCTTTTTTCCGTCCTCTCGCGAGCTTCAGCCGGCTCCGGGCACTTCGAACACTGCGCGTTGGCAAAGATGGGGCTGTGGGCACTGTGTGCACGCAGCAAACACTCGTATTAAGTCCCCCCCCCACCAAAAGAACAAGGTCTACTTTGAACGTAGCTCTCTATCTTAAAGGGAGGGGTTTAAGGTTTAGAAACCCAATGCCCCCCCCCCCCCCCACCCCCTCCCGAACTCCAGACCTTGTGTGTGATGTGTTCCAGGAGGTCCAATCCCACATGCGTGCAAAGAGCCGCAGAAGCCGAGGTGGCCTTGGGGGCAACGTTGCGGTTTTGGGCATTTTGTTGAGGGCTCGGGGTCCGCATTCAGACGTCAGTCGCAGCACGAGGGGATGTTTAAGGGTACGCAACGTGGACACTATGTAAAAGCTGATAAGGCTTATGTAGACTACTATTATTGTTCTAGCATTGATATATCACCCCAAGAAAAAAAGTGGTTCAAGGCCCTGAAAGCCGGCGAATGAATGAATAGCCACTAGTAGACCTGCCTGAGGTGCCGACGAAGCCGCCGAAAGGAAACTGGTTCGAGGAAACCAAGGCTTGGACCTCCCCTAAACCCTAAACCCTAAACCCTAAACCCTAAACCCTAAACCCTAAACCCTAAACTTAGGCATCCACCAGGGTGTACAACTCACGCTGTGACATCTCGACAGTCCCGAGGATGGATGTTGAGGGTTCGGGGTGTACCAAGAGCCAAGAGACCTATGATGCCCCAAATACGGTGTGTGGGAGGGGGTTCGGGTTGGGTCCCTGAGGCATTCTGGGATGACCTGGAGGTCTTCATGCCCCTCGACCAGGCACAGCAGCCCATGGAACATTACATCGGTATCATTCGTTCTTGCGGTTATGCCTTTTTTTCTGATTCACTCAGGTTCTTCTTATTCTTATTCTTACTCTTCATCGTTGTTATGCTTCGATAATTTTTATTCTTCTGATTCCACTTAATATTATTCTTACTATTCTTATTATTCCTTTTCTTCTTGTTCTTCTTATCATCATGTTCATGTTCGTGATCATGTTTCTTCTTACTTGCGATCATGTTGTGACCTATTTCTCTTCCCATGCATCTCTGGGAGAGTTTGTGGATTCCAGGCGGGTTTGATGCCTGTCCTGCCCGAATTAGAAATTTAGGGGTTAGTGGGTTTCGTGGGCCTTGGTGGGCTTAGGGGGGGTGAGGCAGCCCTAGCTCTGTTCTTTGCTTTGATTTCGATGAGATGTTCCGAGTTGGGGGCAAACCGTCTGCTTGCAGAGGATACGGCCCCAGAAGCGAGAGCTCTGCTGAACCAGACGGAGCGCCTCGGTAGACGCCCGAGATCACCCCAGCCAAAATCAAGGGTCCCCGCTACCGGTTCATCTGAGCTACTCCGGACTCTGGACTTTTCCCGCCGCGAGGGCGAGCCTTTGTCTTGACAGCGAAGTTGCGGTCTGCAAGTCAATCCCGAGCCCTGAAGTGTTTTCACCCGCTCGGGAGTTGCCGGGGCATCTCAGGAAGGTGGAGCAGATGACGGCGGAGCAGGAGGGCTGAGGGTTGAGGGCTGCAGCTGCCAATGCCCACAAATACAGGCAAAGGACCAGGAGGAATGCAGGATGCACCATGCGCCACACCGGTTTGGTCTTGCTCTGTTTCTACACTGAGGAGCAACTTTTGGTGCGATGTGTCTGATGTCCATGCCCGGTGAGGAAGCTGTCTTGGCCAAGAAGTCCTACCTCCGTGGCAAGTCTGATGAAGCACTGGGCGAGGAGCTCAACAAGCTGCAGAGCCTCTCCTATGAGCAGCTGAGCTCAATCATCCCCAAGGGGCTGCCACCAACGTAACTGCAATCCTTTCAGCACCCTACTCAAAGCCTAAGCTGCGGTCATTGCAGCTGGTAGCAGAGGCCATAGTTGCCAGTAGTTGCCAGTAGTTGCCATCACGGCTTTCAGTGGTAGTTTCCCCCTGCTGTACTTTGACACAGCTCGTCGCAGTGTGTGCCACGCATGTTTGCAGTTTTGGTTGCGGTTTGGCCAATTTTGCATTGTAACATAATGCAGTCTGGTTTTTGTAGCTGGGCCATACGGGGTAGCGCAAGACTCTGCGAAGCAAAGCGCAGGGCAAACACAGTTCATGCTTGAAGCGTGCGTTCGAGGAAGCTCGTGCATGGGCAGCTTGTGTCAACCTGTTTGCGCATGCGGCTCTCGCGCATGTCCGAATCCTTTGCTGTGTGTTTGGATGTGTTCGGTGTATAACCATATACGAATGTAATAATTTCGTAATAAGAATATAAGAAGGTATTATTACACGAAGACACCAAAAAAGTAAACATGGTAATGTAGCAATATACTGTTTATTTTATCCAAGCATAAAAGTATGTACAAATACGCAAATATTTATCAAAACATGTACAGACGCTGCAGAGCAGCAGAGGGTGCGCATGGAGCCGTGCCCAGCGAAGTTCCCCGTTGTGACCTCAGAAAAAGCACCTGACCCTTGCGCCAAAGTAATGTCGTACCCCACAGCTACTGATCTTCCTGCCAAGCCACATAAGGCCATGAAGACTTGCACTTGAGAGTCATACGGCTCTGCGCATCCCGGAGGTACTGGAAGATGCGCGTCTACAGGCCAGGGGCGAACTGAGAAGCTCTGTGACCGATGTCAAGAAGCTATGATGTCTGCTGAAGGGTACAGTGAGACCTGGATTGCTGGCGGATTCTATTGTGCACAGTGGCTGTCCGGTATGAAATCTTGCTCACATGCGCATGTGCTGATGCAAGGGTCTTCAGCAAAGAGTCCGTGAAGGAGGGATTTGTTCGGGACTTAGCTAGCCTTGTGAATCACATCGCTGCGCGTCGTCCGTTGCAGAGTAGAGGGCTGCAGCGGCTTCACCAGCAGAACCGAGCTTTGCAAGGAGAGCCATCGCGACAAGTGCTCGTGACACCCTCCCTCTCCTGCCAAAGGCAGTCCTGGGAACACTGCAGCTCTCAGTCTCCAATGTGTGCTGAGGTCAGCTTTCTCACCTATGGCAATGCGATTTTCATCTTGATTTTTCTGCGCACCGTCGTGCCGCGGCTACTCGTGAGTCTCGACTGGCAGAATGGCAAAAAATGTTTTTGTTCTATTTGTGGGCATACAATGGCAAAAAATGTTTTTGTTCTATTTGTGGGCATACATGGTTCCCCCCCCCCCCCCCCCCCCCCCCCCCCGTTGGAGATTTGGGGTTCAGGGGCCTAGGGTTGAGGGTTAGGTTTCGGGTTAGGTTCAGGGTTTAGGGTTGGGAGTGGGGGGATTCCGTTCGGGAGGGGGGGGGGGGGGAGGGGACTGGCGAACCGCGAGCCGCGATCATACATGGGAAGAGGATGCCTGTTTAAGACAGACGCCGTAAGTTGAGAACGAGTTCTGATTTGGCTGCGGAAGATCCTCCCTCCAAACTCAGGATTTCTTCATTAGACGATTTCTTCGGCTTCGCCAACGAGATTGGCGTTCCCAACAGGCAGACTCTGAACGAAGCTTGGCGTGAGCTTGGGATTTGGGGGATTCGGGGTTTAAAACTACAAGACTACAAGTGTAAGGCATGTTTCATTGTTTCTTTTGCTTGTGATTTTGGAGCTTTCGGGTAATCTGCTCTCCATGCTGGCTTGTGATGAGGATGTGGTCCGAAACATCGACAATTACGACACTGTTTTCAAGGTTCTGATTTACACAGCGGCCTTCATTGTGGAGAAATTGACGTTGTCTCCTGCTTAGCCTGCCATGTGCCTACTTGCGAGGTTGCCGTGCACGACAGCGCTTCGACTGAACCTCTGAGCCAAGTGTCCGCGCTAACCGAGGATTTCTGAAATTCTGCCGGTTCAGGTGGCCTTGAAGACAATGTCTCCAGTGGCTTGCTGTTGTTCATCGCATGGCGAGTGTGGGTCCATGTGAGAATTTTCCACACTGACAAGAACTTTGGCTCCGAGCCACTTGCGCGAACGCACTCGTTGAATCTCACGTGCTTCGAAGCCCTCTTTCCTACGCCCAAACCATCAGCTTCGCTTCCCTCCATGCCCTTTCTCTGCTGCATCCCCCCAGACTTGAACAAGAGGCTGCAAGCCCTGCTGACATTGCTCTGCTCAAACACACCAAACCCCACTCTAGGACAGGTTTAGGATTCCCCTATATAAACCTTATATAGACCCTACATGCCTAAGTAGCGCCCTGGGAACCCCAAAATAGCCCCCAAGGTCCCTTATAAGGGTCCCCCCCTGTAGTCCCTTGGGCCTCCGAGCTAGGTCGTCTTTGGTGGCCTGATCCCTGGGGCGCTGGTTGCTGCGACCTGCGAGACGGTGGGAGCCACGGTCGCGAGCCTGCAATACGCAGCTGTTATTGTGAATCTTTTGTGCTGCACCTTTTCAGAAAAGGTTCGAATACCATGATCTGCATATATATATAATAATATATAAGTCAACTAAGTCACATCTTTACACATACATCATGCACGATCTTTCGGTTTACTGTATAAGAAAGGATATGGAATATGCACTGTGAATATGCAGGGTGTGTTATGTCATATGGAGAGTGTAATATGTCACATGTCAATATGTAAGGTGTCTTATGTAATATGTAAGATGTAAGATGAAAAGGTATAAGGTGCAACATGTAGTATGAAATATGCCATATGTATTACTCGTAGGCAATATGTCATATGCAATAGGTAATATGTAATATGTAATATGTAATATGTAATATGTAATATACAAAGCAAGACATAGAGTAGATAATTGATAGCAGAAAATAGATGATACCTAATATGTCATATACAGTATAAGCGATTTAGACAGTAGAGACCGTATACAATAATATGTATATATGTATATATGTATGTATATATATATTTATACATATATAGTATGTGGTGTGTAGTATGTAGTCCGCAATACAGTATTTCATACATAATGGGAACTCTATACAATACTTCCCAATTTCTACCACGGCATTATATGTAGCCATTGAGTTTGTATTGAATGAATTTAACAGGAATAGATAGTACATAGTATGTAGTGTATATGTTTCAACAGAGAAGCGACAAAGAGAATCTACATAGCGCAATACATGACATAGAGTGGATCATACATTGAACAGAGCGCTTATTTCCCCGAAAAAGACCGACTCAGGTGAACTTCTTCATCGGACGCACGTTCTTCTTTCAGCGCGGCCGGGCCGCGCCAGAGAGGGCTCACAGCGTCTCCATAATGAGACCCTTTACCCCAAGGCCTCAACCCCTAAACCCTACTTGAACCCTAAACCCTCCAACCCCCCCTCCAACCCCACACCCAACACTCTTCTTGGGACCCCCTGAATCCTGATCCCTCAACCCTAAACCCTAAACCCTAAACCCTAAACCCTCAACCCTAAACCCTAAACCCTAAACCCTCAACCCTAAACCCTGATCCCTCAGCCCAAATGAGGCCTCAGAGACTTCCAGCTCCCTGGGGAGCCCAAGCTCGGGGAGGCGCTTTGGTTTGGCAGGCAGGACTCAGGTTTCGGGTGTAGGGTTTAGGGTTTAGGGTTTCGGGTTTAGGGTTTAGGGTTTCGGGTTCGGGTTTAGGGCTATGGGGTTAGGATTACATGTTTTTAGGCTTTAGGCTTTTTTCCTTCCTTTCGGGTGTGGGGGGTTGCATGTTAGACGTTTAAGTCGACCATTCCTCGCCTCCTCGCCCGGTGTCCCGCCCGGCCTCCTGGCCGAGTGACCGTCCATAATTCCTTGCCCGAGAACGGCAGGATGGCGTTCACATCGGGTAGCGTGACGATAAACGACGCGATTCAATCGGTGATGTTGGGCGGTCGCGCAAGCGTCGCATTGGGCTGTCGTCGTTTCCCCACCCGTTTCCTCACCCACCGTATCGTGTGCGCCTTCTCCGTGCTGTCGAAATCGCGCTCCCGCCTTCAAGTCGCTCGTGAAGAGCAGAACTGTCATTGCGTTTTTGGGTTCTTGGTACAAGAACGCATATAAAATACACTGGAACCCAGTCCTGAGATGTGGATCCTCATTCAGTTCTGTGAGTGACACTTCCGAAGTGCCGTCGTGTGCTTGTTGCGCTTTTTGGGTTTTAGGTGGCATAACTTCATTCTTCAGAGTTCTGTGAACTGTTTGCATTCCTTCACTTCGAAATCCCTTTATCCAAGTATTGCGCTTGAAAGTCGAGGAATCGTTGGCTTTTAACCACTTACCATTCCACAGAAGCCCACAAACGGTAAGGTTTCTGGATTGTAGAAGATTGAAGAGTCACGCATGTAAAGACCAAAGCGCTAAATGCAAGAAAAAGCACCATCGACCTCCTCCCCTCAATTGCACCCCCTCAGGTACGAATCCCAGATTTTAAGTTCTAACCTCCTCAGCTCTAGCCTCCGGAAGTTCCGAAAACTTGAGAGAAAATCCAAAGCCATCCCCTACCAACCCACCAGTCTCACCAAACTGGAAAGTTGTAGACATAATCATAGGCGCTATCCCCCGCAACAACGTGTCTAGGCGGCCTTGGGTTTGTTAAATGCAACTTTTGGTACTCACACAAGCTCACGGCTGAAGGGGACAGTGGACATCACCACCAACACCCCCTCCCCCAAACCCCGAACCCGCATGCTGGCAAGGCTTGAGCGCGCCGCCGAGAAGGAAGGTCTGAAGATGACTCTTCTGTGACTGAGCTTGCAAGTCTAAGCTAGATCCTAGTGTCCTAGTGGACAGTTTTTTTGTAGGGTGCACACTGTGCGGTGCCAACAAAATAGTTTAGACCAACAAGCCACGACCCTTTAAACTTTTGTGGGGACTTTAACAGCCTTTGAACTCGTCAGCGAACCCACCTGTTCCAAACCCTGCACAGAATGGGCATATGTGAGGAATCCAGCCCCCCCCGCCCCCCCCCCCCCCTCCCCCCTCCCCAAAGAAAAGAGAAGCTCGAGACCCTCTTCCACACCAGGCTCCGGCTGTCTCACATTCTCCCGGTGCCCTTCGACTCCTACTGGTACATCCTGGGGGCGCTCCCCGTAGGTGCCAGGTTTGTTAAGGTTTAGGGTTTAGGACGGACCTCCTCCACCCTAAACCCTAAACCCTAAACCCTAAACCCTAAACCCTAAACCCTAAACCCTAAACCCTAAACCCTAAACCCTAAACCCTAAACCCTAAACCCTAGACCCTAGACCCTAGACCCTAAACCCTAAACCCTAAACCCTAAACCCTAAACCCTACACGCTAGGGCTTCAAACAAGCAAGCCCCAAGGGTGGGGGAGACAAACATGAAGGGTTGATAAACCCCATCCCAAGGGCTGATACACATAAGCCCCAAGGGTTGAAGCATGGATAAACCCCTATGTTCAAGAATGTTCCGACTTTTTCTCTTCTGGAGGTGTGCTGGAGTTCATAGTCGCGCACTGGGTCGGCTGCTTGAAGACCGCCTTCCTCGACGCCTCCTTGGGGCTTCTGCTCCTCACGCCTGAAGCCCGGCCATCTCCAAGCCGCAAACTTTCGGTAGTCAGTTCTCTAGGTGAATTAGGGTCGTAGTGCGTAGGGAGCTGCCCAAACAGACACTTAACACCCTCCGATCAAAAATTGCAGTAACATTGTACCGCAGCCAGAGTTTTAACTGGTTGTCAGCACGAATGCCTGTACCCCCACAAGCTCCTGGTATTCGCATTGTGAATGTATCAGCGGCGGGTTTTCGTGAGGTTTGGGGGGGACACGTGCTTGCAAAGCTTGCAAAAGCTACACCCTGAATCGCCTTCTTTTGCCCTTCTGAGGTCGGTGGTGAGCCTGGAAGGTGCAGAGAAGCAAAACATCATCGTCGCCGAGTCCGCGTTTTGTCCGCAGGAAGGCCCCGCGCCAGTGGTCCCAAGACATCTCCGGCAGGTGAGTTTTGGGCCTTCAAAGTTTCAAAGCCTCGAGGGGGCAGAGAGAACAATCCGCAGGTGTGAGGCCGACTGAGAAGCATCACCGCAACGTGCCTGCAGTAGCGCCCAGGTCGGCTTTGCATTGGTGGCATTGCTGGTGCCTGGCTGAAGAATCCCCCTTTTTTGGAGGGTCACACGGGGTGCTTGGAATCGTATAGAAGAAGATAAGAAGCTTTTCTCTGCAGCGCTTCGGGTAGGGCTGCGCGAACCATAAGCCTATAAATCTTAAACCCCAAAACTGGCCCCAAACACCCTAAAACGCGAGGGTCTATGAAAGCCCCGCCCCAACTGCCCAAGCAAAGCGTCATCCAGGTCCAAACCTTTGCTACGGGCCTGGTGAAAGACATCCTGGGCCTGGAGGAGACCGCAAGGTTTTCTTGTGTGTGGGGTTTCCTAAATGACGTGGGGTCCTTATGTTAAGGGGCTTCTACTACACCTGGGGATCTGTATTAGGGGGCCCTATTATTATTATCATTATTATTAGTATTATTATTATTATTATTATTGCTATTATTATTATGGAAAACCCCATGCGGGCGCGGGGCTAGGGCTTTAGGGTGGAGGGTTCATGTTAAGTGGATTGCTGATGGCCCTCCCGGGGTACATTTTGAGCTACTGGAGAGGTTGTCTGGAGTTGCACCTATCATTGCCCTGAGGGTTTCGGGTTCATTCTCACTTACGTCAGTCTGACCGAAGCCACCTTCGACACGCCGTTTAAGGCCCGGTGCCCTCCGTGCCAAGGAGGATGCAAAGAAGCCCGAGGCCACAGACGCAGCGGCCGTCCAGGACCAGGTCGTCCAGCGGGGGGCGAAGGAAGTTGTTGGGGAGGGGTTTGGGGCGGTCGGGCTTAGGAAGTACATGTAAGATGAAGTGAGGTCACATGGTTTAAGGTGCACCTTATGGGCAAGGCCTCGTTTTGGTGCAGTCACGGGGGCCCTGAGCCCTGTCGGGCTACCACTTCACGCCCTTCATTGCCCAACTTTGTGAACCTGGGACTGGATGATTCCGGAACCACGGAGTTGTGGATGCATGGGCCTCTATATGAGATTATAGATTGACGTAGGATACCTATTAAAGATCTACACACAACCTCGCAGCTCGAATGGGAGAGCTGCCTCATGTCTACACTCCCTGCCCGGGTGCGGAGAGGCCAAAGCAGAAGCACCTGGAGCTGCCGCAACTGATGCTGACAAGGGCACGATGTGATCCTGTCAAAAGGGGGGTTTAGGGTTTAGGGTTTAGGGTTTAGGGGTTTGTGTCGTCGCTTATCTTTTGCAGTCGCTAGTCGTAGTCCCGGACCTCCTCGGAGAAGGTGCAGTAGTACTTAGTCACTACTTTAAGTCATCCTGACACGATCAAAGTTGTTGGCAAATCAGTCATGGACCGTCATGCAACACAGAAGTTGGCGCGCACTTCTTCATGTAGTTAGGTTTCACGGATGGATTTGATTAGGGCCGCTTGCCACCTGCACGCGGAAAAAGAAACACCCATGCGCAGCAGGCTAAGGTTTTGAGACCACCCCTCGTGGCCCCCCATATGGTCACTTCTCCAGATTGGGGGGCGGTCCCTTTTGGGGTTGCTACTAGAAGGCAAGCCCCCAACATATTCAGGGCACCCCCAGAGGGGACATAATTTAGAGAACGGACCATATGGCCCCAAACAGAGAAAGTCCCCTCCGGACGTAAAGAGAAGCTGCTGGTACGGCGCTCTCAAACCCCCTGATCCAATAGGATTTTAGGGGTTTAGGGTTTGGGGTTTAGGGGAATCCGCCCTAAACCCCACGACCCCTCGCCTTCCCGCGTTGACGGTGAGGAACCACCGGCGAACCGTCGGGAAGGCAAGGTTTCGGCACGAGAGGGCTTGGGGGTTTCGATCAACCCGAATCAAGGAGGAATTTGGGTGCGTGTCTCAAGTAGGCTGTGTCTGACATGACGCATCCGCTCACGAAATAGGGAGTTCAATTCGGCGAGATTTCCGCCTCCTGCGCGCAGGTGACACTACGCAATGCTCTCCGGAAGGCACTCCAACGATGCAGGATGATGTTTAGGGTTTGTAGGGTTTAGGGTTTGGGGTGGTTTAGGGTTTGGGGTGGTTTAGGGTTGGGGTGGTTTAAGGTTTAGGGTTTAGGGTTTGGGGTTTCTTGGGTTTGGGGGTTTAGGGTTTACGGGCTTTACGGTTTTCTTGTGCATCTCGCTCCGTCTGCGGCGTGGCACCATCCTTGCACGGAGTTTCGGCGCCCTCGAAGGAGTATGGGCCCTCACAGGCCCTCACAGCCCAAAACCCCCTCCCCCCCCCTAACCCCCCCCCCCCCCCCTTACCCCCCCTCCCCCCCTTACCCCGCTCCCCCCCCCCCCCCCCCCAAAAAAAAAAAAACCGACATCCCCAAGCCCGACGATACTGTAGAGGCCTTAAAGCGCAAGGCCACGCCGACGATGCAGCACACGTCCACCGGGGCGGACCAAGCTCAGGTCTCCACTCCACAGGTCCCAGCTTGCCGGGGGGCACTGTTCAGGTTTAGGCCTTTGCTTGTGCTGTTGTTGGTGCGCTTAAGTTTTGTGGTGCTCTTCAATCGGAAGCCACGAAGTAGGGTTGGATCCTCTTTGCGACCTGCACCCTGGAGTAGGAGGCTGTAAGTTTCCAGGCTTCGGGCGTGCTCCGAAAATCACAGCTACACCCTGAAGCCTAAACCCTAAACCCTAAACCCTAAACCCTAAACCCTAAACCCTAAACCCCCTTGTGCGCCTCATTCAGGAGGTCCCCTGGCGACCTCCTGGCCGGTCCGGTCCGCCCTGGCGCCACTCAAGGAACACCCAGGGTTGAAAGTTGCTGTCCCTCACAAGCAAAAAATGTGAAGATGATACTCTTCCGTTGCTTTTATGAGAATACTATGTATATATATATATATATATCATATATATATATATATACATATAGATAGATAGATATATATATATATATATAAACAATAGACGAATATATAATGGAGAATGACAATCATGTCCACAATAATCATCGCTGGCCGCTTGCTGCAAAGGAGCCCTCGGGGCAAGAAGGAAGCCGAAGAGGCGACGCCGAAAGCGAGGCGCGCTCCCCTCTCTGCTCTGGGTTTAGGGTTTAGGGTTTAGGGTTTAGGGTTTAGGGTTTCGGGTTTAGGGTGTCGGGTTTCGGGTCTAGGGTTCTGAGGTATGGGCCCTTGGGTTGTATAGGGTGTACGAGGGGTATATGCCGGGTTTAAGGGCCCGTATGAAGGACCATTTAGTTACCCTAAGATTACTCTTGAATAAATGGGCATGGCCGACTGCTTTGAGGAGCGTCTCCCCTCGACTTCAGATGGGCAGGCGCGAACATGAGCATGCAACACACATGGTCATGCGTATGACATGGAAAGACATAGAAATCTTTGCAGGAATCGGGCAAGCATCCGTGATCCAGAACAAGATGTAAATAGCAAGAAGACTGCTAGTCAGAATCCACGGCGAGCTGTGCAGAGCAGCGCCTGGTTTCAACGATCTCAAAGTCGAAGCATCGGCACCAGGGAAGTTTGAAACCCGATGGCAGATGAATCGGGACTGTGCTGGAGCAGTGGGCAGCTCAGTTTTTACGGCCCCACTCTCTGAGTGCGTGCCCTTGCAGGCGCGTCGATGGCGGTGAAGGTGAGAACTCACAGGGCGTAGTCCAAGAAGAGGAGACTGGCAGGAGCTCCAAGAAATCAGGGGGCTTTTGCAATCGGTTCGCATCTCTCTTCTCGCATTCCAGACAAGGACCATTGCAGTCGCATGCAATCGCTAGCCCGTTCCCTCCTGCCATGCCATGGTCCTGTCACAGCCCGTCCATGATTGGAACATTCACAGGAGCCGTCACAAGTGGAAGCTACGAAAGCCGACGGACTCGGAGCCCAGGCCAGGGACACTCCGGGGCGACTAGTAGTTTTCGAAAACGCCGTCGGAAGAAAGGTTTGAGAGAACTCCGTGTGGGGCTCCTCTGCAAAAAGCGGAGTTCGTCACCAATGCCCCGAGCCTGGACCCCCCCGAGCTCGAGTAAGTAATTACGTAGGCAGAGGCATCGACGGGGGAATTATCAGGAGCCTAGCCACATGCAGTCCGCGTCTCTACGCGAAAGCGAAGCCACTGTTTCAGCTTGGGGGAAGAAGGCGGAAGCGCCATTTAGCATTTAGGCTACTTTAAAGCACCCTTGAGGTGATTTGTTGAGGTGTGCGGCAGTTGAAAGAGGTGAGTGAGTGTAGCGTTTGACGGGTGAGGGTGAGCGAGTTCGACTGAGCCTGGAGAGTGTTTTCACGCTCCATAGCCGAGGACAGTGGAGCAGTAGGCGGCTTCAAACAACAAAACGCAACCCCACTTGGGCCCCACTACGTGCAGTACTTCTACAGTCTTGCTGAGCTCGTACCATCTTCACAACTTCCAGCGTCCTTCCGATGTGATACCAACATGCCATTCGCTGCTCGCTGTCCTCGATGCTAAAGCTTGTGCATCCTCAATGGCCTCGGATTCTCTGCTTCTCGACACTGAGACTCCCGCAGCCTTGCAGGCCTCCAGATCCAGAGAGCGACGACGTCGAAGGCACGCCCACGAGCCGCCGGCTACCACGCATGGTGAGGACCCCCCCCCCCCCCCCCGTTTAAGAGTTTGGGCTTCAGGGTTTTTGGGTTTTGACAGAGAAACCCAGGGGAGCCCGGTGAGGGTTTAGGGCGACATCTCAGCCCTTGGGGCTTATCGGGAGGTCACCCAGAGGCCTCTGGCGAGGTTCTTGCGCTTGCTTTCAGGAGCGCCGACCAGTCGGGTGATGGAGAGCGCAGGCAGGGCATCGTCACACGCTCGAAATTCCACAGCGCTCTCGACTTCTCCGGTGGGGATAGGATACAGAGAAGAACGGAAGACACACTCGGACTCAGTCCATCCCAACATGGGACTGTTCTGCAGAAGGGCCCTACGTTTGGCTACGTAAGAGTCGGACGCGGTCGGTAAACCGAGCCTCTGCTAGCTCGAGGCCAGCTGGCCCGAGCTCGACGTTCGCTGGGTCCTCGCCCAGGCAAGCCGTGTGATAAGTGCACATATAACCCACTTGTATAAGTGTAGCTATAACCACTTATAAGCCCCTGAAGTGCCCTAATAGGGTTTTCACGGTTATATGTTGAAGTCTCTCCTTTTTCAGACAAGATTCGTGGATCGGGCCTCTGAGGCAACTCTGTGCTTGGTTGCGTGTGTCCTTACGTGTGTGTCTCCGTGTGGGGGTTTACGACAGCAAGGGACCCCTAATATAGCCCCCCGACTAGTAGCGTTCCCTTATAATAAGGACCCCAATAAGGTACCCCCAATTTCGGAAACCCTCGCAAAGAGAGGCCGATGAAGGAGATTCAGGAAAGTCGGAAGTCAGTACTGGTTGCTAGTGGCTACTCCAAATGCAGGATGATGAAGCTCCCGAGGCTCTGGGAATTGGAGAGAGGACTTGCGCCTTTGTATGTAGTGGTGCAGACAGAGACATTTCCGCAGATCGGACGCGGACTCTGCCTCCGACGACGTCTCACAGCTGCCGGCCACGGGCGCAAGTGAGGCGGTGCAGTGCTGAATGCCGCAGGCTGTGGAATAGGCTGGACGCTCGCACGCGAGGAGCTGCCCGAGCGCTACGCCCGCTTTGCGCCCAAGGATCCCAGGCACGGCAGCTAGAAATTTGTTGATCAAGTTTCGCGTGGTCATTCTGGAACGCCTGGGCAGGCTGCTGCACCAAGAAGGCGTGGCCGAAGACAGTGCCAGGGCAGACGAGAAACCGGCAGACGCTTCCGCGAGCTCCACAGACGCCGATCCGGTTGTTTCCAGGATCGAAGAGACGCGGTTGTCCCTCGTGGCTTCAACGCGTAGTGACTTGCAACATACAGTTGAAGTGTAAGTATGTCATAGTATGTGTACGGTCATTGTCACACGTTGTTCAGCTTCTTTGTAGATCTGCATCGCCAGCGAGGAGTGCCCGGAAAAAGGAGCCGGACTCTGCCAAAGCTGCCAGTGCTCTGAAAGCCAGGCCAGGTTCTCGTGCTGTGTTTGGAGATCCCGAGTCATGCGGCAGTCAGCATCAGTGATGATGTAGTGATACTGGGCACGTGGGCTGCACAATAGTTCTGCCGTACGGGCTCCGTGGCTGGCAGGAGTGAGTCTCCCAGGCTTCAGACGAGCAGGCCGGAAGGAAAAGACACATGA